AAATAATGTTTATCATTATGTAAGTTATTTCTTAAGGCAAGAAATTGTGAAATGCCCCATGTGGGTTTTATGCTCGGTAAGTAGCATGTGATAATCAAAATCGTTTGTCGGAGTTTCAATTCGTACAAACAAACAAACGTGGAGGTCGGACGTTACGCTTCTGGAATCTGCTATCCAGATTCCAGACGTCTATCTGCATTATCATCATGAGCAAAGAATGTTACAACTAGTAAAGATGTGTATAGTGTGGTTTCCTTTCTCACTATTCTCTTAGATCTGGTTCACTCGTTGCTGCAACTCTAACGACTGGATGGATTGGCTGTAACGACCACGAAGCAATCAAGAAACCGACGGTTTCCACATCTATATACTACATAATTGGAAATTATATCGTATGGTACCACAGCATGTCTGATTTTATAACGATTCACTAAAGCTGTTGCTTGCCTAAATCATATCCGGTGGTACGCATCTGATCCATCTCAATGCGAAGAACATGTCTCATGTTTCCCATATCTATTTCAGCGCTAAGAAGAAGAAATGGAAGTTTCGAGGTCCCAACCAGTGGTTCGCACTGCGCAGTCAACATCCGTAGTAGCCTACCGTGGTAACTCTGTGTGCTTTTGCCACGATGCGCAGTAGGTCAAGCATGGGCGCATCCGTACTCTTGGAACAAATTGCAAAAGAAGCTCGGAAGATTGTCTAAGCTATGTCCGTCCTTTGTGCTTCTCCACCGTACGTGCAGGAGGAAGACAAGGTAATCAAATGCCGTCAACCCATAAACGGTCTCTCCTTGGCAAACACGGCCGCCGTACGTTGAGCAGCTCAACAATGCTTCCACAAATGATAGAACCAAGGGGTAGAAATACTTGAAATTCTGAAGTTTCCTTGCCGTTCCCTACTTTCTGTGCGAGTCGAGCTCGTCCAGAAACCCCGCTTTGTCCTCGACATACCTGATACCTGCCTTCTCAACTTCAATGGATTCTACTGGTAAAGATATTACGACAGAGCAAATAATTGTTCCAGTCGATGATAAGCAGGATGGAAATTCCACCGCTGGTACTGCCGACATACCGAAGCCAGAAATTCGACCACAGTACAGGGTATACAAATGTCGATATGCCGGTATGCTCGGGGTCATTGTCCTCAACATTGTCGCGGCAATGGCCCTGACTTGGTTCGGACCAATTGCTAACAAAAGTCAGCCTCATCTTTCCTCCAATCCTATATTGATATAGCTTCACCAAATAATCTCTTGATCGTAGCCACACAATCGTTTGGTATCACACTTAACCAAGTCAACTGGCTAGGAAACGTTGTAAACTTCATTTACATCGTTTTCTCGCCGCTCGTGCCCTCGACTTGTTCCCGGGTCGGTATACGGGGAGCTGTGAGGGTTCTACACCTTTTTGAGTCTCAGAAGGCCACAAGCTAACTAACCAGTCGACTGTTGACACTGCACAGTATGCAATCGGCGCGGGTTTCCTCGTTGTCTCGGCATGGGTACGATTTGCAGGTACTGCGCATTCACTCAATTCACAAGGAGCATACGCACTACTCATTATTGGCCAAGTTCGTCTTTCATTGCCAGTTCCTCTCTTCGTTTGACGCTAATTACGGTAAATTTGCCGTTTCGACACCAATTGCGACCATGTACTCCTCTGTCCAAACGAATGAAGCTCTTGGGTGCTATACCGCAGATAATTTTCCAGATAATTTTCCAGGTTCTTGTACCCAAGTTCTCAGAAACATGGTTTGATTTGAAGGGTCGAACAACGGCGACAATGTTGATGACTATAGGTGAGTGTATTTCTGTGATCCGTCAAAACCATCAGCTTCGACTATCGAGCACCTTCTTTCCCGGAAAATGCCTTGATTTGAGGGAAAGAGACTAAGCTTCTTGATCATTCAGCGAATCCTATTGGTAACGGACTTGGCCAGCTCATTTCACCGAACTTTAGCGATACGCGTACTTCTGTTAGCGGTTCCGTTTTGGCTCTGGCATGCTAACACCTTTGTTAATTTCTCTACAACCCTTAAAGATTCTCGTACTTGGCATTATTTCGACAGCCGTCGCACCGTTCTGTCTTATGGTGGGCTCGAAGCCACCTACCCCGCCTTGTACGAGAGTTCTCCATTAATGCACAATTGCGTTGAATTAATCAAGGAACAAATTACGCTTTACTGAAAAAAGCATACTCCGGCTCCAAGCCCTCTCAACATATCCTCACGACTGTCCGCGCCATCTTCGGTCTTCTTCCGCATCCAAGTCAATGTGGATCAATTCCACTTCATGATATTTCATCGTCTTCCACGCCGAAAGGCGGTGATCATAGGTGGAATCTGGGAGGCTTGATTCCAAGGACATTTACGGGTAAGAATGATGCAAGTGAAATTGTGCCCACGCGAATAGGCGAACGGACGAACGACGGACTGCAGCGTGGTGGAGGCGGGGAGATCGAAACAGGCACGGATGTCGACGCGTATATGTCATTGCGCGAGCGGATCGATTTCATTATCTTGGTTCTAATATTTAGTACCGTAACATCCGGGTGCGTAATCGTGTCTAAAAGGTAGTATGAAGTGTCTAAGAATCGTATCATTCCTAGCGTTGTTGGCTTCTCAATTCTCTCAAGTCAAATATTAGCACCTCATGGTTACTCGGACAACACTGCTGGTCTTATGGTAACATTTCCAAGTTCAAATGGCTTTCTATAGCTGACTATAAATGTCATGTCAAGGGAACCGCTCTACTCTTCTCAGGGGTTCTCGCCGCAATGGTTACCTCACCGCTCTTTGATCACGTCTTCACACATCATCTCGGCCTTTGTATACGTATATGTGCACCGATTGTGGGCGCGGGCTGGCTTTCACTCATCTGGGCCGTGCGCCCGGGTAATACTGGTGCACTTTACGCGATCCTTGCGGTGATTGGCGTGTTCTCGACCACCATGCTCCCTATTATGTTGGAACTGGGATGCGAACTTACTCGGAGTGGCGATGCCGCCTCTGCGATCCTTTGGACTAGGTATGTGTTGTTTTTCCTTTATCCCCATGTTTTGCTTGACCCGTGAGCAGTGCAAACTTGTCTACCATTATATTTATCGAAGGTACGTATCACCAGAGGGCGTAATACAACGCGTTTACCCGAGCTCATTTCACTGTGTTTGTAGTCCAATCTGCATTACGAGCTCCACCCACTGCGTCTCCACCTTCGAACATGCACCGTGCTCTAATCTACAACGGTGCTTCGATCTTCGGATCCGCCGGTTTCGCTCTCTTTCTCCGCGGTCGTCAAAAACGTCGTGAGATGGATATGCTTGCCGCGTCTGCGGCTGCGACTACTGTTCCGGCGGTCTAACTTAGTGCTACTACGTCGAATATGGGAAATACACAGGAGAACGGGATCAACGGATACATCTGTCGGGATTACTCAACATGGGAAAGGGTGCTGTAGCAATAGAGGTAGTCACAGCAATGGACACTCCTAGGCTATCGATGTGCCTTTCATCCCATGCCATTCTCTATGTCTTGTGTTATTTCATCCTCCTAACGATGTGATGTTTTTAACTTTGCGCGGTTGCCTTTTTGGTAATTCTACATTGTTTTGGACTCATAAATTTACGTCCGCAGTTTATTGCTTTACAGATCTTCCGGTAAATAACGCCATAGGCTTTGCTCCGCTGCTTGATCGAGCTGAGATGAACTACCATCCGAGCTCTCTTATTCCGTAACACCGATGAAAGACAACACTTTTGTACAGATTCCATTCTTCACATTAACCAAACTTAACAGACCCTCGTGCTATTAATCCTTGTTGACGTCATCATCGTGCAATTATTTCCCCTTCTTGACCTGAGACTGCTGGGTTATTTTACCCCTTGGAAGGAATCTAGGAGTAGGCCTATCTCAAACTCAGCCAAAAGCAAGGTCAATTGTTAGAGTCAAGATTAACTCACGCTGCGTCCTCGTCCTCGGGGTCTGCATCTGCATCGACAGGTTCTTCACCTTCAACGGGCTCGTTTCTGCAAGCGATTAATTGTAATGACCGTCGGATTCCTTGCAATACTTACACTACATTGACTGCCTTTGGAGGCTCAGCTGGTTCCCCACGAAAGTCACGCGGAGCGTCATCCGGGCTTATCGATTGCAACAAATGTATTTGAGATTCATGAACGAGGTCAGATGGCAAAGATGAGAGAAAACTAACTTGATCGGGGCTCTTTGATCGTCTGCCATGCTATGTACAAAGTAGAATAATGGATGCAGAGGAGCAGAAACACGGAGATCTTGGTGGTTAATAGAGGAGAGGTGGTTAAGGGTGTGTAGGAGCGCACCTTGTCGAATTGGTATTTGAAGTACGCGATAAGCGCTCGTGGTGTCAGCAGACGAAATGCTTTGACACCAACTTAGGAAGGTGTGCTGAACGTGTTACAGATACATCTAGGAACTTAGGAAGATGATGCCTGACGTTCCTTACTGCCTTCATCTGTCTCTTTCTATCCATCGCCTCTTTTTCCATTTGAGCTGAATAAGGTGCAGTTGTTGGTTTGACTCCTTTTCGCCTCATCCCGAGCAAAGAAATCTGTTACGAATTCTCTTCAAATAGATGACATACGTAGAAGAAGTGTCAACCGGCGATTCCTTTGTATCTTCCAGGTCCCGAGGGCAGACAAAATGAATGACAGCGAAATCTTTAAATCGTTTATTATCGGGCCCATCTCGTGAAATAAGTCGTCTTGATGATTGATCTTCCTGTCGCCAGATCACCTGCTTGTTGCCTAATGTTTTTGTCGTCCCTTTTATTTGGTTTATTATTCCTCTGTTTGATCGCTTCTTTTCTGCCATCCTTCCATAGATAGAGGAAATGTTCGCTTGTAGAGGAGCAGCTGATGGGCTACTAGACCTTGGAACAACGTTACAAGGGGTGTAATGTTATTTCCCTTCATTGCCAAACGGCATTTAGAGTTCATGGTAAACACCTGCGGTCACTGCAAAAAGGGATCGTTAAGAATAGCGTGAGAATATTATGTGATAACAATAGCATTGCGACATTCTTGCTTGCAGCAATGTGTGAGACACCATTGTGGAGGGTCTGTGAAGTGGAAGGCATAGGATGGGGTGGCACAGCAGAGGAAAATACATAAAAATATATCTCTTCTTTCAAGGTTCAAGAACAAGAGTAGCGAATCTATTACTGCTAAGATTTGATTAGAACATGCAAGACTATTTATTAAATGGAAAAGAAAGCTACTATTACTAATGGCACAGAGGTGTAATAGTCCTACTATATACTTAATGATACTATAATCTTATATGTAAATCCAGCTTGAATCAGTATAGTAGTACTTGAGAAGCAAAATCACCATGGTAGCATCTGGAGAGTTCTGAACCAAGCAACTGAGCATACTCTATAATTTTATCTTCCACAACCTGTACATTTCACAGTTTGCTGTACAATACAGTTTATTAGATGTCCTCGCCATGCTTGGACCATGATGGTTGCTCAAGACTTGATCAATAGAGTCAGGTAGTGGTAAAATCCATTGAGTGTCTGACTCTAAGTTTGAAGTTCAAGATTGTCAACAGTTGATAAGATTCAGAAGTCAGAACCAAAGCAAAGCTTTCAGCACAGACAGAGGCTGCTTGACTTGAAGTTACGGAAATACTGTAGCAGCCAATAGTCTACATTGCTTCTTACAAGAATGTATCATATTAATACCTTAGATCTGCTGTACCTAGTTGTATGGTTTGTTGCATTTTATTTACAAGACAGACAAGCGTTTATACAGGCACATACTTGACTATTCTGAATCACAAGAAGTACTTATAGTCCCATATCCTTTGCCATGACCAAACCTGACAAGCAGCAAAATCTTTATCTCCAGGTCACCCTTACAGGTGTTAATAGTTATGCCTTCCACGTCTCCATTTGGACTCTTAATTACCTTGCTTAGGAGGTTTCGTTACGGCTGGTTTGGTAATCCCTCCTTTCGGAATATACCTTAGTGGTGAATTAGCTTATGAACAAGATGGTGAACGATGACAAGGAAATCGTCTTACTCTGGTTTTTTGTTCTCATTCTTGTCATCTTCTGTCGCCGTTCCTCCATTGACCGGCTTCTTTCTTAGGGTATAATACAATGATAAGCCTAACTGTAGAAATTCTGACTGCTGGGAAACACTCACTCAGCCATAGCTCTTTGTGCTTCAGAATCGTTATTCATTGTGATCTTGCACTGGTTTCGCGTATGCGCGGAAGTAGTTCTCGTGCAATAGGAGTAGCAGGTGGTGTGGTGCAACTTATCGGGATGCGTCAAACAGCGTAGCTGAGTGAAAGGAAATCGGCTTGCAGAGCCGTATTTAAGCTTACAATAAGCGCCTAGAAGGTAATCAGATGAAACCCCTAAGCAGAAGCATCGACAAAATGTCCGCGCCGCAGGATTCAGAAATAAGCGCTCGAACTTAATCTAAAATTTCTTTATTTAGTAATTCCCATCTATCGGAGTTTTCAAAGTAGGCTTTCAATTTCGAGTTACTAACAATTATAAAGATAGTAGCTCGACAAGATGAATCACATAGTATTTGAGACGTAGTTGACGACCTGAACATAGAATACTCAATATTGACGATGATTGCTAAGACCTGTCTGGCACAGTCTTGGACTACATGCAAATCTGATGCGAGGCTATAGCTGAATATTACTAAAATAGAAAACAAAGTCGTCAATGGCATACAAGTACTTCATTCCTGTTTTTTTTTTTCGTTATTGTATATGGCAAACAATTTCGAATCGGTACAGTGGCATTTAAGAAGCAAAAGCACTATAACAATGTCTGCAGAATTCAGAAATACGTTTCTGAGCTCGATTTATAACTCTATCCTCTACAATATTCAATGTTCTCACTGTGCCTTGTGATGCAGTTTCTGACTATATTAAAACAAACCTTAATAGTATGAGGCACGGGGTAAAAGACTCGGCCATTGGTTGCCTGAGTTTGGATATTAGAGTTGCTAACAGATGAGAAGGCCCAGAAGTCAGGACCGAAGCAAAGAAAGGTTCCGCGATAGAGGCGGGGATTGCTTGACATTTCACAGAAATATTGTAGTAGGCAATATTAATAGCCAGGATTGCTTCTCATGGGAACTTGTATTGATATTTATATCCATCATATTCAGTTGTATGCTTTGTTACATTTTATTTACAAGACAGACAAGCGTTTACATAGACACGTATTTGACTATTCTGAATCACAAGTACCCGCAGTCTCATATTCTTTACCATAACCAAATTGAAAAGAAGCAAATTCTTTCCCCGAGCCACTTTATGCTCTCCCTTTCTTCATTTCTACTCTTAATTCTTTCCGGTTGTCTGCTTGGTTTGAGTCGCCGACGTAGTAGTCATTTTCCCTTTCGGAATAAACCTAGGTGATGATGTACAAGTTTGCAGGCGATGAGCTATGAAACAAAGGACGATCGTCTTACCTTATCTCGACTTTCTCAGTATTCTTATCAGCTTCGGCGGACTTGTTCCTTTGGAGTATCATACTATGGTAAGCCAGGTTGTAGAAAGCCTGTAAGGGAACAAGACTCACTGCTCAGCCCCGCTGGTTAAGGTCTAGTTAGAGCTTGCTGAGGCAACAGTTGATTTAATGATCGGTGATGGGAAACACTCACTTAGATGTAGCTCTTTTCGCGTCGGAATCGTTATTCATTGCGTTCTTCTTCTCGTTTCGTATACACAGGAGTAGTTCTCGCGCAGAGGGAGCAGCAAGTGGTGTGTTGCAGCTTATCGATAATCGGGGTGCGACTAACAACGTTGCTGAGTGACAGGGAATCGACTCCTCGAACGGTTTTTGAAGCTTACAGTAAGCGCCTGGCAGGTAATCAGAAGAAACCCCTAAGAAGCAGAAGCATTGAACAATGTCCGCAGAATTCAGAAATAAGCGCTCGAACTTAATCCTTACTTCCCCTGTTTGGGAATTCCCGGACGATCGAAGTTTAATTTGTTCCCGTAGTGCGGATGTTTGGACGGCCCATTCATGCACTCAGTTTGACGGAGATAGCGGTTTGTGAGAAAACTTGTTTGACTGTCGACATGTTCTCGCGCGAAGTCCACTATTTGACGCCCTGGGCTTTAGGTGAAATTCCAGAGTGTATGCAGGTGGAGTCTCTCGATTGATTGTGGTGATCAAGTCAAGAAGGTGGCGGATGTCTCGTAATAAAACTGCGAACATGTGATGGTATTTTCTATCCTATCGTAAATGCATACAAAGGCATACAATGCGCGTTACATGAGTTGAGTTTGTGATGTCATGATTCATATCCTGCGAATCGTGAATGCGGGTCGTAGACGGTACTCGTGACTAGGCATGAGTTGTTTTACAAATGTTGCTACAAGCAATTGAAGTGATAAACGGGAAATAGCGGTTGAAGTGGATAAATATTGGCCTGACTCCGCAAGCCGTAAAAAATGCAATAATAAAATGCAATTTATGAAAGGTGCGAATTGCAAAAAGGCGTCAAAATAAGGCAGGGATCAACCTGAGAGAATAAAGGATGATATTGAAGAAAATAATGGATATATGTCGATGCGGTGGTATCAGCGACCTCGCTGGTATGAATGAATAAAGAGGAATAGAAGAAAAAAGAACAGGCGTAAGAGAGACAAATTATGCTGCAACTGGCACATACGATGCAGCAGTCCATTTTGATGCGGGTCCCTTTTTCACCCGAGTTGTACAGTCGGATGGCGATCGCGAAGTCATGCTCGATAGCGCGTACCAGAACCAGTTTCGCGCACTCCGCAGTCGAAAGAGAACGTCTCGTGGAGATCCTTTCGTCGGGGCAGGAGACATTGAACGTGAACGCCGACGCGATTGCGACCTAGAACGTGTAAAAGACCACGTTCGAGACTTCGAGGCACTCGCGGATGGTCTCCGGGAAAAGATTTTTGAAACGGGGTTTGGAGACTCGGGTGCCTCAATTAGCTGACTCTTCGTCTGCTCCTTGAGATGAGGGTAACTGGCCGATCGAGGGCGCGTGACCGACTGGGCACTCGTTCCGAGTGATGCTGTCGTCTCGCATGGACCATCACTCACTGCCGCAGAAATGCGTCCTCCGTCTTTACCCGCGTAGATAGCCGAAAAGCGCGCCGCAAAACCCGTAGTATTCTGGAGGCCAACCTCGGAATCAGGCGTCGTGACACCGGCTGCGTGGGAGGAGCGGGCAGGAAGGAATCCCGAGCCAGAGGACGAGAACGGACGCCGGCTGACGAACTTAAGTAGCGACCGGGGTCGGGAACGACGTCTCGAGGAGAGGGAGTCTTGTCGGCGCTGACTCGAATGATTGGATGCCTCCCGGCGCTGTATAGGCGAGGCATCTGTGGGCGCGGAGCTGGAAGTTGTGGCAAAGTTCGTGAAGTGTTCGGCACGAAAGGAATGCACCGAAGTTACTGGGGTGACTCTGCTGCTTCCTGCTACGGAGGAGTCTATGTAACGCAGATAGGGCACATACTCCCGAAAGTCTTCCGTAGTTGCGCTCGCAGCTGGTTGTACGTTTGTCGGCCGTTCACTCGCAGTCGTGTCCGTTGTAATTGCCATGAATGCCTGTGTGCCGTGTGAAGAGGTTGATGAATTGCTCGTCTGCGATACGGCCGAGTTGTTCCATGGATTTGGGGACTCGACTGCAATAGCATGTAAAGCACGCAGCGCCTGGTCGGCGGAGTTCGTCCGTGAGCGAATGCTCGGAGGCGGGACACTGTACATTACGGCGGACGAAGCGGGTGCATCTGCTTTAGAATTACGGGGATTTACCGAAGAACGTGCAAACAAATCCAGCCCAAGACCCTGAATCCCGGACTCCGACCTCGCAACAGGAACGGTATCCACCATCTCCGGCTCTGCAGATTGACGCTGCCCTTTCCTCACTGAAGTAACAGGAGATGTCGGAAAGGAACCTGGAAGGCCAGGTAGATTGTCGGCTTCATCGGTCTCCATCATCGCATTCCCATTCTCCTCGTCCACCACGCGCCTCAGATCCTCTACCCATGACGCCCCACTGCTGGCTACACTTGAGCGCTTTGCAAGGCCTTCAGAAAAACCTGCACCGAACTCATCTGTATCCATGAATTCTCCGAGCATGTCTGGAAATGCATTGTTCGCTCCGTTTGAGAGCCGCGCCTGATACAACGAGGACGACGCTGAAGGACTCGCTGAGCGAAGAAAGCCGCCGTACCCGTATGCAGTCTGTCTTTGGGTCGCGCGACTCCTGCGCTCATCGGAGCGAGTGGATTGCGGATAAGCAATGTCTGTAGGCGACGTCGTATATGTGCTACGGTCGATCGTCACCACGCCATCGTCATTGGCTGTGCTTGGCGACGTCAGAGTAAGGCCAGACGATGATACGCGAAACGTATTTTCCTGTGCATTCTCGGTCGCACCGGCAGGTGAAGTACGACTCACAGGCGACGGTGTTAGAGAAAACCCGTCAAAGCTCGTATGAAAGGAATCTGGGCGGCCAATCTTTGAGTATCGTTGAGCGTCTTCTGACCCGAGAATCGCGTATTCCTCTTCATCTGGTACAGTGCTTGGACTAATCATTTGTACGTCGTAGTCCGGCTGGCTCTCATAGCCGTCTGCTGTGGCCTCTTGCTGAACGGCGTCGACCTCCATGTCTGGGCCAGGGAAGAAGCTTGCAGACTGCGATACACTGTATGCGAAAGGGCAGCTCTCTACGGATTGCTCCTCGGCACGTCTTCGGACAGCAAGAACCGAACGAACGGGGGAGCGTGAGCGAGTGTGAGTGCGGGCTGTCGCGGAACCGTTCGCACCAGATTCACTTGGCTGCAGTGGCAAAAACGGAGGCAAGTCAACATTGAGGCGAAGTTCGGGCTTCCGCCTACGAGGCTGAAACTTCGCACGTCGCGCTGCGCTATCCCGCGAAGTCGGTTGAGGGTAAGGTTGTCGGCCTCGACTGCGTCCGCGGTAACGACTACGCCGGGAGGGAGTGTAGCTTGGTTGAGAATAGATGTCGGGGTAAGGAGACTTCAGCTGCGGCTCTGGCTCTGGTTTGACGGGAGGTTCAGCTTCTGCAGCATATGCGTATGCATAGCCCTCAGCTTCATCCGTAAGTGTGAGATCGGCATCCGAAACGTGCGGTTCTGGCACGATATGTTGCACACCCGGCGTTCTTGTCGCTGAATACTCAGACCCAACACTGGATACCTCAGACGAGGACGTGCTCGATGCCGAAGAGGAAGCCGAAACTACCTCAGCATCTGAAGCATTCGCAAAGCGGATCTCCGACACAGCCGAATCATGAGGGCTTGTAGAGGAATTTGCACTCCAGCGAGATGTCAAGCGTGCCGAACCAGTTGACGGTGAGTGCTTGCTGTATACGACAGATTGAACCTCTACAGAGGCCTCCTCCTTGGCTGGCGTCGAGGGCGGTACGTCCGACGCTTCAACCATAAATGATGGTGATGGAGATTGCGCTACCGAAGGTGCGTAAGACCCACTAGAAGAGCGAGAGCACTTTCTTACGGGTTGCGGTTCAGTCGTTGCCTCTTCAATGAGTTCCTTCGGAATGGGAATCTGATTTGAGGTTCCACTACCACTTGAGCCGGAGGGAATATGCATGCCAACTTCCCATGGGCACCGAGCCATTCCACCCTCGAAGACAACGTCCGGAGCATACATTCCAGAGCGCTGTTTTCCGAATCCACCGAGGCTTCGACGCGACCGTGATGATCCTGATTCTTCAAAGTCCGCAACTAGGCGCGCCACGCCTTCCGCGAGACCATCGACCCCGAAAGCTTCACGACGCTCCCATCGCACATCCAGTGCGCGTACGAGTACGTCATTGAGGCCGCTTGAGATCGGCAGAACTTGTGGCAAAAAGTTTCGCGGTGATGCCAAGTAGGCGGAGAACGTGGGGTCGGTAGGCGATGCACGTGCCCAGGGGTTACGGGCCGTCAAGAGGTTGAGAAGAAGAATCGCAAGCGACCAGATATCGTTCGCAAGTGGTGAATAGGGGGGAGAGCTTGCGTTGCCATTCTGGCATTCTGTATAGATTATCAGATTACGTCCGGTGTTACGCAAAGGACGTAAAATATTAATACGAACCAGGGCTCATGTGGTAAACACTACCAGTTCGCCACTCCCTGCTTCGACGCTCCGTAGTCGCAAGGCCGAAATCAGCGAGACGAACTGTTGCTCCGCCGTCCCAGCAGAGGACGTTTTCAGGTTTGAGATCCCTGTGGAAGATACCCAAGGAATGGCAGTGCGAAACTGCAGCAGCTAATTGAGCGAAAACTGAAACGCGACAATCAGACAAAGACCCAGCATTGCTATAATTAGCATACCTTGGCCAACAAGACCTGTGCGGCCTAAAAATACCTGCTTGTGCAGGATAAGAGTGAAGAGATCACCGCATGGTGCGTAATCCATCACTAAGAATGTATAGGGAGAAGGAAGCGACAGCGACCCGTCTTCTGCAGGCAGTGCCGGTTCGATAATACGATGAAGGCGAACAATTCCGGGATGAGCGCCTGCGCCAGCCAGGCGATGAAGAGCAATTTCGCGCATGTGAAGACGTCGCTGCCGCTGCGCTTGCTTAGGGTTGTTAGGATTCGAATTGCGCAAGAGACATTTGACAGCATATATGCCGCCAGCTCGCGAGACGGCGCGGTAGACAACGCCATAGCCGCCGTAGCCAAGTACAGAGGCAAGTTCAAGTGCACCGGCGTTCGTGCCGTCATCAATGAGTGTGCCTAGCGGAGGAGGAGCGGGTGTCGGAGAGCCGGCGCTGGCACCGGTGTGGGTGTTGATATCGGGGGAAGGCATCGTTCGTGAAAGTCGTTAGGTATTGAAGCTCCTAGGTAGATGTGTTGCGACTTGCGCCAGGGAGGAGCTGAGGCACTTTGACTAGCAGCGAACGCAGCTGAGGTAGACATATTTTTGGGCGAAGGGGAGTACTTAAAGGACCTCGGCTGAACCTTGAAATGAGGCCACGGCGTTGTGATCCATTCATGTCCCGGAAGCAACGCTGTTACAACGAGGCAGCCCATTTCTCACGCTTAGGTACACTCGGAGGGGACATACAGCCTTTTAGTGCTATAGAACTCAGAAGAAGACAGTCTGAACACGCCGATCTCGCCCGATCAGCATGCCATCTAATGCACATTTGTCGTTCCTTTCCATGGTGCACTATCAATGCTGAGCAAGACCCTTGAAACAGTGAACATCCCATTTCCTCGTTGGACACGAAAAAGGAAACGTACGACAAGGATGAAATAAGTATATGAGCGCGATGAGCGCCGGGTGTGCTTCCGATAGGTGCAGTTTTCGGGAATCATGAGCCATTGGAACGTGGCCTGTCCATTGGAACATTTGGAAATCTTCCGGTACGGGGGTACCGGGTTATGAGAAAAGCTTCCGTAAATGCCAAAGTGCCTTTCATTCGCCGTGATCATAAAACTAGCTATAGAACTAGAAGCTGGAGACATGGTGGGTCTGCTGGACAAGGTAGACGCGTGCTGTGTGAAGAGCAGGTTCTGTCCGAAAGAAAGACTACCAAAATGGTACCACGCTGGCTTCATGAGATCAGCAAAATGCGCACGTGCCTTCGTCGCTTTCACTCACTCAAGGATCAACAACTTCGACCACGCACCTTTCTTCCATGGCAAGCTGCGACCTAAGTCTCATGCAATTCTATCAAGCAAATTGCGTCGAATTGCCAGTGCTTCATCCGAGGGAAACGTACTAGCAAACTGCCTCTTCTATTGATCGGGAATCGAGTTCACGTTCTAGGCGAATACCTATCAGGACAAGAACCCACAACGAAAGTTCACACCGCCAACATCACGGATACTTCAACCCTTCTTCTTCGTCTCGGAAATGAACTCCCTCTTGGAGTATCGATCTACAGGAATATGGCTAGAGAACCTGTCTGGTTCTATTCTCTTGAGTACAGCTCTCGTGACTCTGAAACTCGTACACGGGACGCAGGTCTCTTGTATCTTCAATGAACAATTTCGCAGATAGCTAAGTCACCTGTAGACAGCAGCTATTGACTCGTGGATAGGCCGATAAGCAACTGTGTCAGTTGCCAGTGAACCTGACATTCATACACGGCGCTATCTCTGTTATCTGGCGAGCAGAACCTTTGCCCTTGCTAAGCATCTCTGTATGATGGTCGTCCCTTGGAACTTCGACTTAACAGCTCGAAAATAGAAGCATAGCAACTTTCTCTCAGATCGATCTCAATCTCACAAGTCACAAAGCTTCTCCAACGCCCTCTTTCACGAATCAAGTTATCCTGGACCATCGACCAAAGGGGGAGAAATGTCGGTGGAGCTCTTTCGATGATGCGACGGGTATTTTCCTTTCTTCATTGGCACGTCTAAAAGTACTGATATCACGTCCTCTATCCACAGCGGACCATCTACCCTATGACATACGTTCCATGCGTGTACGTTGCCTAGCTAGGACCGAGGGTATTCTGCCATTCTCACCGTCAATACCCGCGATAACTCGGGCTTGACGGATTGAACTATACCGTAGCGCCGAGACTCCGTCAAAAGTCCAGGCTTTCCTGACTATACTTCATAAAGCTGATCCGTCTAGGTCCCTTCAAATGTATTTACTGAATACGCCTCTACCTGCTGACTTCATACATGGTATTAGGCCTAGTCACCAGAACATTCCTGCAACCCTGAAGCGCGAAGCACGCCACGCCATCTGCTGATACGGTCTTCACACTCAGAGGCGATACAGCTTGCCTAGGGCATGAATTCATTTTATGAGTCTTTGAATGCATCTGCCGAAGTGTATCGTTCTAAATGAAAGTCAAATGAACCAGCTCACGATCGACACGTTCTCGGTTCCTGCGTTGCCAGCGGAGGTATGTGAATGGCTTGATGCATACTAATGTACAGGATTCTTTGAAGCCCTCGTACTTTAACCCATTATACTTCCGGTCCGGCCTACGTTGTCCATCGGGAAACTTGGTAATTCTCCTTCCAGAAAAACAAACTTACTCACAAATCTCTAAGGGTCGGATAATACTGGACCCTGGCGACTTGTTTATCCGCGAACCAACTGTGATGTCTAGAATCAAGCCGGATCACCCTGGTCGTTCAGACAGCAAGATATTTTCCCATTCACAGACACGTGGTGTACACGACATAATCACCCATCCGCAACGTCAGCATGCAGCTTTATGACTAATGTCTTCGGATGAAATCTCATTCGTCCCCTTCTCCCGCTGCTCCATTCCGAATGGAGTCGCTTGAAGATCGTTGCCTTCTTCTGTTCCGACTTCACTACCAACGCAAGGCGTTGTGTTAACTTACCTACTTACTTGAAGCCTATAGCTGTTGGTACCTTAACGAATGTGAAAGTATGAAGTCACTGTGGCTGCTTTGATCCGTGTTGCAACGTCATGTTTATGAACCTTGCATGGCGCTGCTGTGCGTATATTCGAACGTCACATAGACGTGCAGGTGAGGATACAAGTCCTTTACATTTACATTGATCTGTGAAGGTAGACTAAAATGGATTTATGAGATCGTATTTACAGATCTTGGGTTTTACGAGCATAAGAATTGTTTTGAAGTTCCACTTTCTCGTATTTGAATTTTGTACAGCCTACGTATGCCTACGAAGAGGTCCTACAAACGGTGCCCTTCCCGATTGAAACGCTGCGCAGAGCATGGTCTGGAAAGAGTTCTACCTGGCAGCTCCTAGGAAGCAATATACGTACCTCAAGCCCTGTTGTCTATCTGCTGGTTCATCTCACCAGTACTCCCTCTTTGACGTTTTAGGGTCGCATTGTCTGCGCTGCTTGAGGATCAGTGCTTGCACACTCATTATCGTCAAACTTTAGCAGTTGAAATGCGAAAGTCTGCAGAATTTTCTTATTGCTTGTTCTGTGCCCGCAATAACGCCTGCGGTGAAGCACAAGAGATATTGAAGTACATGGGTTCTTCTCGGTTGGTCTTAAGGGTATAGTCATGAGACATGAATACCCAGCCAGAAGAATGCGTTTACAAAGGACCACGGGTACGGCACTCAGAAACACCGGAGGTCCAAAAATACGGCCGGTTCGAAGTATTTTACTGGACAACTCATCAAAGTCGAGACAAGGCGACATCTCAGCGTTAGTTTTAACTCTACCACGTTAGCGTGAACGGAAAGGCGGTGTCAGAGAAGTCACCATCTTCACATTCCATAATTATTCCGAATTTGGCAACAAATCTTTCACTTCATCTCGACAAATCATCAGGTGATTCGGGCCATTCGGCTCCGCGTTTCAAAGCGCAGTGCGCAGCCACCCCACGTTTCCTTTGACGCGCCCTTTTGACAGCGCGCAGTGATCTGAACTATTCACCGCCAGTGTCGGCGGGAGCAATGGAATAAGTGGCTGTGCATTGTGTACCTCAGCTAATTGTTTAAGACAGAACGTAAACCTCCCCGCAGCAAATACTTACTGTACCATACCATACCAAGCCAAAGCCATCACTGCGCTGTGCCACCTCCACCGTCATGTTCCTTGCTTTATATAAAGTGATCATTCTTGAGGTCTTTGATAGCAACGCACGTATACGCATCTCATAACCATGGGTCAATCACCTTCAGTCCCAGTTGAACACGCTCGTCTTACCTTTCTTCGAAACAGTCTCAGCAACAATACCATCCAATGCGACGCCTTGGGCATTCATTATCAACTCTCGACTCCCAAAGGAATAAAGGCCACATGTACCACGACGGTGTCTAGATTGGACGTACGTCTGGAGAAAAATATACCTGTTGCTGAATGGGAGAAAAAGATTTTTGGATCTGATCGAATTCAATTTACCTCTAACCGCCCGTTGATTGGAGATGGTAAGGAGTCTGAGGATGGGTTTATACCGATAGACTCGTTCTTCCCTCGGACTGGTGGAATGCGGTGTTCGACTCGCTTGTAAGTCCTACCTTGTTACACTCTTTGAGGAGTTTATCATACTGAGATCGATATTGAAGCCGACGTTCGTTCACTGTCAACGGAATAACATATACCTGGAGGTCTCGTCAATTTTCACTCACGGTAAGCGCAGCGTTTGTATCACTATAGCCACGCATTAATGTGTCTTACGAAGCTGTACCGCGGAGACGATGACGTCCCAGTCGCAACGTTCGCCGAGAGACGGTGTTTCATCCACCGTCGAAAGCCATATATCACGCTTGGACCGGGCTGCGAAGATATCCTTGACCAATTGTTAGGTAAGAACCTTTTTTTGACCTGTTGTTACATCATGCCAAACTTATTCGTCTATTACATCCTAGTAACTTGTCTGTATGCTGAGCAGAGGAGAAGAGCGGCCAAGAGTATGTCTCTCTATATAAATCCGCTCAAATTTTCATACTCGTTTTCGCTAACTTGTGTTTCATTAGGACGACAGCGAGCAGCTGGCGGTGGTGGTCCATGAGCTGGACCATCTCAGTTCATGTGAATCTATTAATCGACTCCCTTTTTCTCTTCTCTTTCTTAGCTACACTCTCTTTACGAAACTTTGGGGTTAATTATTTTCTGAACCTTTTCCTCTTCCAAATGTGACCCTTCTATAGTTGACGGTTTCGCTTGTTCAATTCATGTAAATGTAATATGTATATGACATGCAGTAATCTGACTGCTTGTATTTATGTACAATGTCAAAGTCGTGGCTAGCCTGATTAAGTGAAAAATGTCCTTACTTTGCAGATATACTACGTCCGTTGACTTCAAAACAACTTTTATTTCAAATTCAAAAGAGTCGCCATCACCTTTCTCAGTTTCTGAGCAGAGCAAGACTGTTTGACACCACTTGAAACGAGCCAGCACGTGACCCAACAACTGGACATAAATACTTAGGTGGCTATGCACTGTCTACCTCGCCCAATTCTCCAATACGGAACGTAGACCACAGCAAATATGTCAAATCTTCACCTCTGCTGCTGCGCCAATTTTAATCGCACCGGATCTGCCGTCATATCACCTGCGTTATATATAGCAGCCTGATAGCAACGCACCTGCACCGACGTCTTAACTACGGGTCAATCGCATTCCGTCCCAATTGAGCACGCCCGTATTATCTTCTCTCGAAACAGTCTCAGCAACAACACCATCCAATGCGATGCCTTGGGTATTCATTATCAACGCTCAGTGCCTAGAGGAATAAAGGCCATACGTACGACAACGGTGTCTAGATGGGATGCACGTCGGGAGAGGGATGTGCCTGTTGCTGAATGGAGGGAAAAGATCATTGGAGCCAATCGAATTCGATTTACCTCTAATTGTCCGTTGATTAAGGATGATACGGAGTCTGAGGATAGGTTTGTACCTCTCCCACATTGAGAAATTTGTTCGGACTGAGGAGAGCAATGAAGCCGACGTTTGTTCACTGTCAACGGAACGACATGGTTGCGGCTCTACTGCGCAGACGAGGATGTCTCAGTGGCAACATTGGCTGAAAGGTGGCATCTTGTTCACAGGCGAAAGCCAAATATTATGCTCGAGCCAGGCTGCGAAAATATTCTTGACCAACGGCTAGATACGTACGTTTCTCATGAAGTAAAGCCGCGTCAAGTCCACCGGAATATAACGTCCTAGTGACATGCCTGTATACTGAACAGAAGAGAAGGGAGATCAAAAGTACGTTGCTGTATACAAATCCACTCAGCGCTTTGTATTAATCTTTGCTGGCTTTTATTTCATTAGGGCGACAACGGGCAATTGGCCTGCGGAAGTGGTAACCCATGAACAGAACTATATTCATGCACTCATCTATGGAATGTACTTGCTTGCTTCTACCTCTCTTTCTCTTCTAATTGGGCTAACTGTTGCACGGTTTGTCCACGGGAATTAAGCTTACATGCATCCCACTTGAGCGATATTGCTCACCCTCATCGTAAATGCTTGCGTGCGTTGCGGCGGATCACCAAAGCCGTAGCTCTAATCAGCATCTCGTGTCTCTGCTATACCATCGGTTAAAGGAGAAAAGTAATGTCAGTGGAATTCTCTCGTTAACACGACGAGGACTTTCTCATTTCCTTCATTGACACGACTAAAAGCAGTGACAACGCGTTATCTATACACTTGGATAATCTATGCTATGACGTGAATTACACGCATGCACTGTCCAGCCGATTCCAGGGCCTATTCCGCCATTGTTCCAATCAGAGTCAATAACTGTGATAATTCGGACATATGGACTTAAATTGTCCTGTAACGCTGAGACTCCTAGCGAGATAGTCTGGGCTTTCCTGAAAAGTACTATACTTCGTAAAACAGACCCGTCATGGACCTTTTGAACCTATTAGGTGAATACCCTCCCACCTGCTAACTTCACGAACAATATTAAGCTGAGCCAACAGAACATTCCTGAGGCTCTGAAACGCAGTACACACTATCCACTAATACGGTCTTCACACTTTGAGGCGATACAGCTTGTCTAGGGTATGGATTCTTATATTAGCCCGTGAATACATCTGCCGAAGCGTATTGTTCTAAATGAAAGTCAAATGAAGCAGCTCACGATCGACACGTTCTCGGTCCTGTGATGCCAGTGGAGGTATGTGAATGGCTTTGATGTTTAGAGCTCTGTGAAGCTCTCAGTCTTAACTCATTATACTTCCGGTCCGGTTTGTTTTGGCCAATCGCAAACTTGGTAAGGCCACTTCTCCAAAAAATAATCATGCTCACAATTTTTTTAAAGGTCGGATAATGCGACATCCTTAGCGACTTGTTTATCCGCGAACTACATGTGATGTCTGAGATCAAGCTGGATCACTCTCGTTATCCCGACAGCAAGTCATTTTCCCATTCACAGCCACGTGGTGTACACGACACGATCGCCCATACTGCAATTCAACATGCCTTCTCTGTTCCGGATGAAGTCGGTTGAAGATCGTTGCCTTCTTGCGGACCGACTTCACTACCAGCGCAATGCATACTGTCGAGTTACTAGAAACCCAAATTGGGACCTTAACGAATGTGAAAGTATGAAGTCACTATGTGTGCTTTGATCCGTGTTGCAATGTCATGTTTATGAACCTTGCATGAGCGCTCCTGCGCGTATTCTGAACGTCACATAGTCGTGCAGGTGAGCATATAACTCGCTTGCCTTTACTTGGGTATGTGAAGCTAAATTGGATTGTATTTGTGAGAATTCATTCAGAGATTCTAGACTTCGCGGGCATAAGGTCTACTTCCTCGCATTTGCCTTTTGTATGGCCTACAATACCTGCGACTCCGAAGAGGTCCTATGGATGGCGTCCGTCTCGAAAATGGTACCTGCGCCAGGCATGGTTGGAAAGCGATCGACTCAATGACTCCTCGGTAGCAAGATACCTCAAGCCCTGTTGTTTGTCTACCACCTCATTATCAATGCTCCTCCCGGCGTATCAAGGCGTCATTCTCTACACTATTCAAGCAATAGTACTGGTAAATCCGACATCGCCAAACCCTAGCAATCAGATACAATTACGTGGAATTTGTTATGTCTGGTCTTCTGCCCGCATTATTACCGAGAGTGAAGCCTGGAGTGTATTGAAGTATATTTTCTCATCTCTCAATCCTGAGTGTACAATCAAGGGTCAGGAGACATGAATGCCTGGCCACCGAGGATCACGGCACTCAGAGAAATAACGGGTGCCCAAAAATGCGACCGCCTCAAAGTACCTGCTAAACAACACGTCACCGTTGGTTCTGGCCGTACCGCACTGGCATGCACGAAAAGTCCCAGGTGTCGTCAGAAACCTCCCAAATTTCTTATTCCGCAAACATTCTGATTTAGCAACCTTCCCTTTCGAGGAGTCACATGCTCCACATCATCGGGTGATTACGCTTCCGCGTTTCAAAGTGCAGCGCGCAGCTATACGACGGAGCATCTTGGCAGCACGCAGTGATCGCAACTTTGTTAATTCCCCCGCCACTGTCGGGTCGCACCTCGGCTAATTCTCCAAGATGGAACGTCACCTCCGCAGCAAATATACCAGACTCACCTCATCGTTGCGCCGCTAATCGTTTCGCATCTACCGCCCTGTCTTTTGCTTTATATAAGGTGAATCCTCGAATATTTTGATAGCAACGCACCTACACGGACCTTTCAACTATGGGTCAATCGCCTTCCGTCTCAGTCGAACACGCCCGCCTTATCTTCTCTCGGAGCAGTCTCAGCAATAATACCATCCAATGCGACGCCTTGGGCATTCATTATCAGCTCTCAACACCCAAAGAATGGAAGAACACACGTATTACGACAGTGTCTAGATGGGACCCGCACCAGGGGAAGGACGTACCTGTTGCTGAATGGCAGAAAAAAAACTTTGGATCCGATCGAGTTCGATTTACCTCTAATTGTCCGTCGATTGTAGATGGTACGGAGTCTGAGGATGGATTTGTACCGATCGACTCGTTCTTTCCTCGTACGGGTGGATTCGTGGGTTCGGCTTATCTGTAAGTCTCCCCTTGCTTCTCTCAATTGACGAATCTGTAAGACCGAGATAAATGATGAAGCCAACGGTCGTTCACTGTCAACGGGGTAACATACACTTGGAAGGCTCGTGTGGACGGGGACGCGGTAAGCGCAGAAATTGGACCACAACGAACATAGTTTAACGAAACTGTGCAGCTATACCGTGGGGACGAGGACGTCCCAATAGCAACGTTGGCTGGAAGACGGTGGCTTGTTAACCAACGAATGCCATATATCGCGGTTGGGCCAGGTTGCGAAGACATTCTTGACCAATTGTTAGGTAGGAACATTTTCATTGACTTGTGGTTACCTTGTGTCCAACTCACCTCAAACATAACGTCCTAGTTACGTGCCTGTATATTGAGCAGAAGAGAAGGGAGGTTAAAGAAGGTACGTTACTGTATATAAATCCACTCGGTATTGTGTATTCATCTTTGTTGCCTTTTTGTTCCACTAAGGCGACGACTCATAACTGGCGCGCGCAAGTGGTAACCCATGAGCTGAATTATAGACTTCGCGGTCATAGGACTTGTTTCAAATTCTATCCCCTCGCATTTGAATTTTGTACTGGCTACGCATACCTACAAGGATGAGGTCCCGTAGATAGCGCTCTTCTCGAGAGCGACGCTACACCGGGCACAGGTTAGAAAGTGTCTGGCCTGATGACTCCCCGGTGGCTAGATATCTCAAGTCTTGTTGTCTATTTATTGCCTCTTCTCTACAAATCAAACAAGCAATAGAGCTGGTACCTTCGACATCGCCAAACCCTAGCAGTCAACTCCAACTTTGCGGATTCTGTTGTGGCTGGTGTCCAATAATACGGCCACCTCGAGGCACTTGCCAGACAGCACATCACCGTTGGTCTTGGCCGTACTGCACCGGCATGCACGAAAGGGCAGTGTAAAAACCCCACGATCTTCTTATTCCACAAATATTCCGAATTTGGCGACCTATTCTTTGACCATATGCATATCCCATACACCAAGTCATCAGGTGATTGCGCTTCCACGTTCGAAGCGCAGTGCGCAGCCACACGACATCTTCCGTCAGTGAGCATCTTGATTGCGCAGTGATGATCGCAGTGTTTGCTTGTTCTCCCGCCAGTGTCCGGGGACAATTGAATAAGCGATGGTTGTACCCTGACTTGTTCTCAAAGGCGGAATGAGATCTCCGCAGCAAATTTATTTAAACCGCCTTTGTACTGCGTCGCCTCAAATCGTGCCAGGTCTACCGCCATGTCTTTTTCTTTATATAAAGTAATCATTCTCGAGCGATTTGATACCAACGCACCCACACAATTCTGCTAATTATGGGTCAATCACCTTCTGTCCCAGTCGAACACGCTCGTCTTATCTTCACACGAAACAGTCTCAGCAACAATAACATCCAATGTGATGCGTTGGGTATTCATTATCAACTCTCAACGCCCAAAGAAATAAAGACCACACGCACCACAGTGGTGTCTAGATGGGACCCGCACCAGCAGAAGGATGTGCCTGTTGCTGAATGGGAGAAGAGGATAATTGGATCTGATCGAATTCGATTTATCTATAATCGTCCAGTGATTGAGGATGATACGGAGTCTGAGGATGGACTTGTACCGATAGGCTCATTCTTTCCTCGTACGGGTGGAATACCGAGATCGTCCTATTTGTAAATCTACCTTACTCCTCTCACTTTGAGACTGTAAGACTGAGATAAGTGATGAAGCCGACGGTCATTCACCTTCAACGGCGTGACATACACCTGGAGGTCTCGCGCATATTCACTCGTGGTAGGCGCAGAACTTGGATCACAATGAACATACATTAATATGGTTGTGTAGTTATACCGCGGGGAAAAGGACGTCGCCGTGGCGACATTCGCCAGAAGACAGTATCTTGTTAACCGACGAAGGCCATATATTGCGCTTGGGCCAGGCTGCGAAGACATTCTTGACCAGTTGTTAGGTAAGAACATTCTTATTGACTAGTGGTCACCTCGTGTCTAACCGACCTCGAACATAACGTCCTAGTTACCTGTCTGTATGCTGAGCAGAAGAGAAGGGAGGCCAAAGAAGGTACGTTACTATTATTAATCCACTCAGTATCTTGTATTCATCTTCGGTATTTTTTTAATTTCAATAAGGCCCTGTTCGGCGCAATTTTGAGGACGTGATAAGCCAATGATAGCTTAAAAGGTGGCAGGGAGTGTGATATAAATAAATTGACAACTGATTGGAAAGTTTTACCTTCAAAAGTCAGTTTGATAGGAATTTGTAATTGATCTCGCTTACTTATCAATCATCAATCTTATGTGGTAGGGAAAAAAGCCCTACATAGTCGAATAGCTCTAGAGAGTCTTTGTGACCTTACTCTGACTAAATAGTTAGCATAGCTTATCATGGCTAAACAGTTCCTTTAATACTGTGCCGAACAGAGCCTTATACTCTATCCGCTTATTGTTGTGAAAAAGCAATGCTGCAACCCATGGCAAGCATAATTAAGAATGAGTTTATATTCAAAAGTCATTGTATATTATTATAAAAACGGAGTGAAGGGATGAAGCTTGAAAGAAGAGCAGTGGCAAACATATGTAAAATTGCAGCGAATCGGGGAAAGTCGGATGTTAATTATGATTCAATAAATTGATACATGAACAGTGTATTACAGAGAATGTCAAAGAAGAAGGAAGTGAAAAAGGTACGTGCTTGGTCCTTAGTTGCGCTTCGGATGCGCGAATTTGTGGAATCTGGTCATCACCGCCTGTCGCAGACGAGTGCTTACGCGTCGATGTAGCTTGCCCTGATCCTTTTGATCCTTCTGCCCAAATCCTTGAGTAGCCAGAGTCGAAGCGGAAGTCCCAATAGACGAATCATTCTCGGCGCTTGCGGCCGAGTGTCCTGTTTCGATTGGCAGTACTTGTGAAGATGCATTAGTTTGCGACTCAGCGGCTACATGACCCTCCGCACTCCCGTCATCCACAATATCCTCGCCGGAACATATAGACTGATGAGAAGTCAAGTCTGGCGAACTTGAAGTATTAGGTCGGACACCGTCATCTCCCACATACATCATCCTTTCCACCTTTTCTTTGGCAGACACGGAGAGTGGGTGTCCAGATCCAACGAAGCTATGGTGCAAGGAACGCAGCAGCATAGCCGAGCGCGGCCTCTTCTGGTAAGCAGAGTTTGAGCGAGACGCAGGGTTTGGTACGATCACGCCGAATCCAGCGACATTGTCTCTAGACGAGGAATGTACAGCGCTGGACGAATTCCGATTTACGTACGGATTCGGCCCGATTTGAAACTCGATAGGAAGTTCGCCTAGTTCTTCAGACTCACTGAAGAGGTCTCCTTGTTGAGAGTCTCGTGGCGAGGCTTCGTTATCCGTTTCGTTTCCTGTATTCAACGATTCCTCGGTCACTATTGTCTCCTCTCCTACCGCATTCACATCATTTTCGTTTGAATTCCCGTACACGGTGGCAAGCTTCGCTTCCTCCTCCCTTACCGCTCGCTCCAGAGGTGCCTCCTTCACAGTCCCGAATGGATCGAATGGACTATGCGGAACTTCAACTCTAGAAATCCCACTGAACTTCCTCGACAATCGACGCACCAACGGAATGCGTGTCTCGTTCTTCACCTCCACTGTACTATTACCCATAAGACCAACCGACATAGCTATTGGCACGTCATTTTTATGAAATGGCTGCGAGCGTCGGCTAAGCGGAATCCCGTTTCGGATACCTTTAAACATCGGCATCAAGGCACAACCAGGAAAAAAGACCGTAGGAATGGGAACTGCAGGAACTGCGAGATTCGGAGCGGACTTCGGCGGTACTTTCTTAGAGTATGAGCATGAATCAATACTTGCAATACTGTCCACGGTGTATGTGCGTTTCGCGATTCGAGGTCGCTGGTGATTCTTCTTGTTACTTGCTGATTCGTTGGAGGTAACTCCATTAACTTCTTCTCCCCCTTCATACACAGGGTTCGTCGAATCTGTACTGGACGTAGACCCTGATCTGGAACAAGGTTGCCTGAGCGTAGGTGTGATAGTGGTTCCGAATGGATCCTCTTTACTAGCCATCCAAGAAGGGAATCGCTTCAATTCGTGCTCCTCGCTTGAGTGAGCTGGTATTGGCGCTGGAGTTTGAAATACTAGGCGATCTCGCCTAATGAACATTGACTTAGCTACTTTCGCCGAATTCGAAAAGTCACAATAGAAAAATGTACCTATTCGCGTTCTCTGCAACAAGCGAAGAGAAGAACATGGCTGTAAACGAAAACAAAAGATAGAGAATTAGAGGGCTAAAAGTCACCAACGGCGATTTATAGATGAACTGAGATTGAGACATCCGCCTTTGGATGTTTCGGAAAGGGGCTCGAGAAACATGACGTGAGATACAGTATACACTGTAATGGTGCGGCTCGGCATATGCGCGACTTGCCCGAACGCCGTTTCACGAGGCATATTCCGCCGCCACACAATCTGTGAGAAACGTTTTTCACAGTGGCATTAGATCGCCCGTGAGATTCACATAGCAAGCAGTGCTAAGCACTGCTAGCACGTCTTCCGTCGGGCAACCGAGGCTGTAATTTAGAAATGCGTCAGATTATGCAAGGCTCTGTAGTAATATCATTCATTCAGTATGCGTCCTTACTGGCCTACATTCGTGGTTGAAAACCACATTATCCGAGACATTTTGTTTCCGTCCGAAAACTGAATTGTAAGAAAACGTGGGGTTTGTGCGCGCCGATCATGCGAAATGTCCGTCCGAAGCTGTGGCTTTGATCGGCATCTCGCGTCTCACATCATACTTCCCAAATTCGGAATAGCTTACTTCCATTATTCCCTCCCTTTCCCTCGTTCGTGTCTTATATATTCACAAACTCGTCGATGTTCGAGCGCGTGAATAAATTTTTTATGAGAGAAGGCACATAAAACTCGTGAATATATGCGCCTAGCGCGAATAACCACTACTACTTAATCGTAGTACTATCTAAGAAGATAAGAAAAAGGCAAAGAGAAGGAACTTATAGAGATGGAGGATAGACGATGTGTGGTGCTACATATGGTGTTACCGTCCCAACAAAGCCTGAATCCTGATATATGACAAGATACCCTATAAAAAGAATATGAGAGAAATATGATGAACGACGATTATTGTGAGGGAGGGGTCGTACGATGCCCCAAAGAAAGCAATACCGAAAACAATACCAGACAAAAAAAAACACATCGGGGAAAGACGGACAGTGGTAGAAAGCAGGGACACGTGTGTGAGAGAATATGAGAGTGACGTCGTGACGGGCGTGAACATGAATGTAAGTCATAAACGACAGCAGCGAGGAAAAGAAATGTAATAGAAGAAAAAACATAACGAAGTTTATGCAAGGGCGTCGACGAACTCAACTTTCCCTTCAAGGTTTTGTGAGAGAATATTAGCACGATCCCATCGAAGATCAGCCTCATCATAGTATTCGATGCGCAAACGCTCAAACATATCGAAATCGAGGCATAATCGTAGGCGTTCAGCGAGGACCTCGATCCCGTGCAGGTTATTGAATCGACAACCAGAAAATGTAAGGGTGGACAGTGGCGGGAGAGACGCGAAGGCGAAGTCCGCGGGCTTGTAGGATGAATAGCAGCAGTCGTCGATTGTTACATGCCGCAGATGAGGGAATTTCGAAAGTGAACGGAGCGCCATGAGAACAATGCCCAAGTCTTCACACACGAAGCGCAAATCGCGTAGTGATGCGAATTGGTGCGAACCGAGTCGGCTGAAGAGATCAACGACGTTGTCGAGTGCCGTGCGTACGTAGAGCCGTTCGAGATGAGGGACCTCGAGCCTTGGCGCTATGAGTACCCAGAAGGTCGTATATGCGCCGGGGATGCTACTAATCACTTCGAGCGTCTCAAGACTTGGTAATCGGATTGGTTCGTCTGAGTGTCCGTATGCGATCGCCTCGCGATCAGAGACGTTCAATATACGGAGGAATAGGTGCCGAAGGTTCGGGAAAGGCGTTTCATTGCCAAGGAACATGTTCGGGATCGCGTTCACTTGGCAAGTGAGACTAAGGTGTGTGATTGACTCTGCCTGGAAATTTGTTGGGACGTCGGGGACGACGCCAGTCCCATGGAAAAGTCGTAAGTTTGGCGCACACCATTTCTTGATGTTGCATGACACATCAACGTCGCTGTCCCATTTGTAGCGATGAAGGTGCAGTTGCTGAAGGGAATCAAGCTCATCAGAGTCATCTTTGATGTGCTGCTGCACCTCGCTCATGAGTTGCGAGATTGGTCGACTAGGCGTTGAAGTTATCCGCAATTCTCTCCAACGCCCTTTAGCAGGAGCAAGCGCCTCCATAAATTCTCGCAGATCGTCGACGGACATATCGCTAGCAAACCGTGTGTGGTCCTTCCCGTGAATTATGATAGTAAGCCCGCAATCCGGTGAGCCTTTTATCTTTGACCGTGATCGCTCTACCCATAATGCCGCTTCGCCTTTTGGCATTGATGAGTATATGACGGACCAGAATTCCGGGCATGAGAGAGCCAAGGAGCGGAAGCGTTTGCATACTTGGGACACACGTTTAATAAGGAGATTTGAGCGAACAGAGGGGATGTTGATAGGAAAGCCAGCAAGGGAGTAATATGCCTGCTTGAAGATTACTATGAGTAAATCATCCGGTAGCCTTTTCAACCCCCGTCGCGGGTGGTTTGATTCCGTTTTCTTCGAGTGATTTGTAGCAACAAGTTCAGCAAGAAGCGGGACTGCCCTGCCAAACTCAGAAGAGAGGGCCTTGAGATCGTCAAGGCTTGCAGTGATGCCATTTGGCTCGACCACCGTCACTCTTATAGAGCGAGTAATTACATACATGGACGTATAAGCGTGATCTGTACTAGATTAAAAAGGAAAGTGAGATACTTACTCCTCGAGCATGACGTCTAGGAAGTAGAGACTGCCGCGCGACGTGCACAAAGTGAGGAAGCAGGATGCTGGGGAGACAGGTGAGGCAGGTGAAGAGACGAAAGGGAGAGAAAGGAAAGAGAATTATCGGGCGAATCAGCCCAAGTTGGCGAGACAGAGACGCATATGAACGTCGGAGGCCATCTGCTCGCGGCGCTGATCGCAGTGGTCGAGAGGAGGCTAGAATCTGTCTAGATCTCTTTGGGAAGCCGATTCCGTCCGGCACTAAACCTTCAATGCTGAATTAGTGCTGATGTGTTTCAGCTGACATGTCCACCTTCCCACAAATACACTCTGTCTATACATTTGTCTTCACTAATTTCTTCTGTCTCTTCCTACTGGGAGCCGCTTTTATCTTCTAGCTCGTTAGAAAACTTTAGTCCTAGCTCTCGACTGTCCTCTACCGAAAATCTGGGACACTCAATCTAAGTTCTGATCTATTGCCTCCGGGGATATTCTTGGAACATTCATCGCGCGAGGACGGCATCCCGCCCGGAAAAAGGGTTATCGCATATGTTTCTCCTGGGCTCACGTCAATTCCAAAACACGCGGGAAGACGGATACGTCACTCTAACATATCCCCGGGATCATTTGGGGAACAACGTCAATTGGCTGACTTGAATGAACCCTCATCAAAATCGTCAGGATCGTCCCCGCTCGTGAAAGGCACCCTGTCTGAGCTTTCCCATTCATCAACTGGGGTACATGCTAATTTCGAAACCACTGACTGTGCTGGCACTAAAGCTATTCTCAAAGGCGTGGTACCCTGCTGCGTATAGCTTCACTGTCGATTGAAATGACTGCCGCACGCTAGAATACACTAGTATTTGACATGGATGTTAGCCTTCTATTGCCAGAGCGGAAGGAATGCGCCTACAAAGCGTCGAATCGGAGGTATCGTCAAAACAGCCGAAGTCCAGAATCAGGATTTTGGCGAGCCAGAAGGCTCTCAGTGATTGATCGCTTGCTCATGTGATTTACTTCCGGTAATGAAAGGGTTTGTCTACTTTGCAACACCTTGATAGCAATGGCACTCCCGACTAACTATGGAGTCATTCTGGGTTGTAAAGTATTGCTTTTGATTTTTTTCACGTTGTGCAGATGCTAGTCAGCACTTCCCGAAGTTTCTCATTGCACTGGGTCTGCTTCGGTGTCAACCCCTTGTGGAGATGATCTATTAAAGGAACGAAAGTCCTCGGAAGCTTAACTCGGGAATCGTCTCTTCAGCGAAGGAGGCAGGTTTTACCGCCGCCGGTCTTCCCGTGGAATCCGAACTTGAAGATTTTCCGGTCTAGACCGCACACTTTAGTATAAACCTTTTTTTGCCATGTAGCATTGATCGAAAGGGGAAGAATGATAGGATACACATGGCTCTAGGGAACGATTGCTGAAGTAGTGCCGGTCTTAAATCCCTTTGCAGATGCTGAAGATTCTAGAGGCGAGGTTTTGACACATCGTGAGAATTGCTTTGTTGAATACTGCCTATTATGCATTTGGCACAATCTGTCAGCTTTTAGTGAACACTCAATCATTCATAGTTAACAGAATGCCAGTATGTATTGGAAAGCTTCACTCTAGGCATTGCTTTCAAAGTTCAGCTGAGCAAACAACTATAATATTGATTTCTTTTATAGCTGATTTCAGCAGTGACCAAACCTTTCTACTAGACTAATATCCAGAAATTCTGTTACTTGCATGTCAAGAGAAACCTTGAAAGCTAAGATAAAATGTTGTTAACTATAGATAGGCTCTGGAAGAGGTTCAACAGAAATGGATTGAATAATAAGAACAGATGTATTAAATTAAAATTGAAGTTGTTTGCTTGCACAGTATAATTTTTAACCAACTGAAACCTTGATACCTGGTTCTGCTGTGTGTGCAGCATGAGAATCAGTAATTAGATAGCTTGACCTGATAGGGGCTATCTACGGGGTCGCGGTAGCTTGGAAACCAGAGTAAGACCGGATAACTTTGTTGTTGGTTGCCCCATACATAGGTTAACGTGTTATGGAGATTGATTCAGCAAGCAGAAGTAAATTGTAAGTTACGAAATTAAAGGAAGTACGAGCAATATTTTCGTGTTTCGAATAGCGTGACACTCTGAGAGATTTTCACAGTGTCAAAGCCACAGATTGATTCGCTACTTCAGGTCATTCGCAAAAGCAACAAGAAGGAAGGATTTAGGAAATTCGGGCGAGAGGCTGTGACTGAAGATCATGTGACATGAAGTAACAGCCGTGTGACTTGTGGAATTTGACGAAAGCGTGTCGTGTCAAAGCAGTTCTCCACGTCCACGTACGCATAACTTGGTCAGTTACCTATGGCATCTCCCTCTCAACAGCTACCTCCTGGCTGGACAGCGGAATGGTGAGCATGAATGGCTTGTTCAAGTCCGAAACGTTTGCTGACCTTGACGCCAGGGATAATACGCATCAGAGATACTTGTTTACTGGTACGTGTGATTAATATGCAGTAGACGATAGACTAAAGTACGCGAACACGTCTTCCAGAGGCTGCCACAGGAAACAGGCAATGGGAAGTCCCTGGACAGCAAGTTGGAGGTGTGCCGCAGGCGGCTCCTATAACTCATTCAAAACGAAGGCAATATGCTGCTGGTGCAACTCAGGCATACTATGGTCCCACAGATGGATATAGTGCTGACCCAGGGTACATGGCTGCCGCACCTCCAGTGCCTGGTATGACCCCGCCTATAGGTGTTCCGGCCACTGCTGCAGGTGGTGGTCAACTCTTCACTCCTGGTCTGGCTGCAGAAAATCAATTCGCAGCTCAGCAACACCAGTTCCAACCTCAGCCGGAATACATAAATGCGCCGCAGGCAGCCCAGCCAACATTCCAGCAACAGATGGGTGCAGTCACAGATCAGCTTGGACAAATGGGTATTGGTGGACAGAAACCACACGCGCTTTACACTACAAACTTGCTCACCGCACCTCCGGACCCACGCGAATTGGCCCTCCCGCCTCCGGAGATCCGTCTTCCTCCTAACGCCTGTGTCTCCCCTTCTCCGTTCGCAAACGCGGATCCATCATATCAACGTTGTACAATAAATGCGGTGCCTACGACGTCTACTCTACTTAACAAATCCAAATTGCCCTTCGGCTTGGTTTTGACGCCATACCGTTCGTTAAAAGAGGGCGACCCGCCTGTCCCACTGGTAACAGATACCGTCATCGCTCGATGCCGTCGTTGCAGGACATATATTAACCCTTTTGTACAATTCATTGATGGAGGGAACCGCTGGCGTTGCACCCTCTGTATGATGTCCAACGAGGTTCCGCAACTATTTGACTGGGATCAAGAACGGAATCAACCCGCCGATAGATGGGCTCGCGCGGAGTTGAACCACTCGGTTGTCGAGTTCGTCGCCCCAGCAGAGTACATGGTTCGACCACCCCAACCTGTTTTCTATTGCTTCCTTATCGACGTAAGCCATACTGCTATCTCGTCGGGTATGGTTGCAACTGCCTGTCGGACGTTGCTCGAGTCATTGGACAGGATTCCAAATGAAGACAATAGGACGAAGATTGCGATTATCGGATTTGATGTTGCATTATACTTTTTCTCTATGACGGTGCGTTTTTCTGGTTGACGGTTCATTGGCGCGTCTCTTATATGCCGAATAGCCTGATTCCACCGATGCAACTATGATGGTTGTTTCGGATTTAGACGACGTCTATCTGCCGAAACCTAATGATCTTCTTGTAAACCTTACCGAAGCTCGCGCTGCAATTGAGGCACTCCTCGGTCGCTTGAACGAGATGTTCCAGGAATCCCACACCGTCGGAAGTGCCTTGGGCCCTGCTATGCAAGCCGGATACAAGTTGATAGTCAGTGGTGCACGAAATCGTAACCGTACATCTAACTTATCAATTATTTCGCTGTAGTCGTCTGTTGGCGGAAAGCTTGTGGTCTTATCTTCGAGTCTACCAAGTTTAGGCTCGGGTGTGTTGAAAAATAGAGAAGACCCTAAAATTCTCGGAACGGCAAAGGTATAGTATCCACCAATCCTAAGAGGGTCATCAACTCAATGGAATTATAGGAATCGAGCTTATTGCAGCCTGCATCTTCGTTCTATAAGACTTTTGCTATCGACTGCTCACGCGCACAGGTCTCTGTAGACATGTTCCTTTTCAGCGCCTCGTATCAGGACGTTGCAACCTTGGGTAAGTGGCATGATCAGTACAATTGGCATGATGGTGACCTTGCCTGGCATACAGCGTGTTTACCGCATTACACGTCTGGTCAGACTTACTTCTATCCTGGGTTTAACGCTGCGAAAGCAGAGGATGCAATTAAGTTTGCGCATGAGTTCGGAGAGGTAGTTGCTATGCCCATCATGCTCGAAGCAGTCATGCGCGTACGTGCTACAAAAGGTCAGATATATGCGGCGGTCGTTTTATTGTTTGGAATGAAATTAACTTTCTCTTTCCGCATTTCCTAAACAATGCATGTAGGCTTGCGCATGGCGTCCTTCCACGGTAACTTCTTCGTTCGGTCAACCGACCTTCTCGCCATGCCAGCAGTACCACAAGACCAGTCTTATGCTATTGAGATCCAGATCGAGGAAAACATTACGCAGGCATTCGTTGTTCTTCAGACTGCCATTCTTCATAGTACCTGCAATGGTTGGTCTAATTTAATTGAGTCCATAAGTCGATTTAACTTTTATCATTCCAGGTGAACGGAGAATTCGCGTCGTCACGCTTGCCTTACCGACAACGACTAACTTGTCCGAAGTGTACGCCTCCGCGGATCAAGTTGCAATTGCAACCTTATTGGCAAACAAGGCGGTTGAGCGTTCTCTGTCACACAAGCTGGAAGATGCGCGCGACGCTGTCGTAAATAAGATGGTCGAAATTCTCACTACGTACAAGAGTAGCATGACTGCTGCGGGCTCTGGTGCGAGTGCACAGCTTTCTGTTTGCGAAAACATGAAGATGCTTCCTGTTCTATTGCTTGGCCTGTTGAAAAACGTGGGTCGTGGATCTGGTTCCGCATTCTCTGAGCATTTACTGACGGGCAACATTAGGTCGGAATTCGTCAAAGCGCGCAAATTCCTCCAGATCTCCGAGCATATGCGCAAGCCTTGTTGACTTCTCTACCATCTCAGTTACTAATGCCCTACATCTACCCGACATTCTACTCTTTGCATAATATGTCACCTGAGGTGCGTTCATTCAATCCCTGCAACTCTTCATCTGTTTTAAGTACATATGGATTAATAGGCCGGGACGATGGGCGAGCACGGTCTCGTTATGCCAACACCGCTCCCTCCAACCTCAGAGCGCCTTGAACGCCATGGTCTGTTCTTAATAGAAGACGGCCAGACAATGTTCCTCTGGATTGGACGTGACGCTGTCCCGCAACTCGTACAAGACGTGTTCGACATTCCTTCATATGATCAACTCCGAGGCGGGAAGGTACGTCATCTTTATCATTCCATTGCATTCAACCTCAGCGCATTGACTTTTCCTTCCATTTTACTTCTATGTAGACGACATTACCACTCCTGGACAACAACTTCTCTCAACGCGTGAATGCTATCATCGCCAAGACGCGTGAAATGCGACGCGGACCCTACTGGCCGCACTTATACATCGTGAAAGAGGACGGTGAGCCGCCCTTGCGACTTTGGGCACTGAGCTGTCTCGTACAAGACCGAGCGGACGTCATGCCGAGTTATCAACAGTTTATCTCGCAGTTGAAGGACAAGGTGCGTCTGTCTTTTCTTTCTTAAAATCCCCTCTCTTTATTATGTCTGTTGTATTTGCATACGGACTGATTGATTGGTGTAGGTGAATGGTTCGAGCTACTAATTAGACTATATACGTACTTCAAATTCATGCCTTTTTCATACCCATACTCTCTGTTGACTTGTGTGTGGTGATGATGGCATGCATGTAAATCCGTCTCTTATAATGGTTTCTCTTTTCTATACTTTGCTTTCCTTGCTCCTTAACCTTCTGCCGAATGAATGTGGGAGTGGAGGGGTGAGACAAGCTGAATGAACGTATGAATGAATAAGCTCACTCACTTTCTTGTCTTTGCTGTGTCTAAGAGTGGGTTTGGGGTACGAGAAATTATAGTCTTGCAGAATAAGTTGGGGTAGTTACTAGTGAGGTGAGGAACATCGAGTTTGACACGGCTGACTTATCGAAGATTAACCAAGTAGTGTAGTGAAGCACAGGAAGAGGATTTCGACATGACAGAAAATCCAAGAGACACTGTTTGCAAAACGCCCACTCTGGAGTATTGACAAGTAAATCTATCTATTGCACAATATATGCAAGCACAGTGAGTTGCAACAACCAACCGACCAACCGACCAACTACTGGGCCAATATTCATGATCAACTCCAACAAACAGACGTACAGCAGACAGCAGATGTGAAGAAGGCTCATTTTTCCTTTCCACCCATATATGTGCAGAATACGGAATAGAAATCGAAATGAGAATTGAAAAAAAGAAAAGAAAGAAAGAAAAGTGCAGTATATAATATATACACAAAGCAAAATAACAGCGAAACATTCAAACAAAGGGAGAATTTTGTATTATAATCCACAGAACGAAAGCGTAGCAGATGAATCGGGAAAAAGAGTTGCAAAATGTAGAGAGGTAAAGGAAAATGGAAATATATTTGATTGTAGAGAAGAGAGAGGAGGGAAATAATAATTAGATAGAAAGCAAAAAAGCGAAAGAGCAAATTTATGTAGTTTCGTTTCCAACGTCCGAACAACCAACAACCAACAACCGACAACCAACAACCAACAACCGACAACCAACAACCAACAATGAAGTATTCATCATTCCTCATCGTAATAGTTTCTACTCCACAACCTCACCTCACCTCATCTCATCTCCTCTTCGAACCCGAAGACCCTCTTCCAACAGTAGTAGCACCCGCCTCAGACGCAGTTCTCGAACTTTTCTTCGGTCTTCTTTCTCTTCCTCCTTCTCTTTCTCTTTCTCTATCCTTATCTTTACCCTTTACGTGCACACTCATCTTACTCGCATTAATAGCCGCAGTCGGCGACACCTCCGCACTCTGCAGACGTGAAGACCTCCGAACGGGTCTACCCGTCGATTTCGAGACGAGGTTCTCATCCGGTTCGGTAGAGTTACTCCGCAACGACCGCGTGGTACGTCTTTGTGGCGTCCGCAAATTGTTGTTCGAGTTTGATAGTGCACGAAGGGAAGGATCCGTCTTTCGTCTATTCCGTCTCTCGGAAGGTTGTTTGGGTAAAGGTGCGAGTTCGTCCGCCTCTTCTTCCGCTTCTTCTCCCTCTTCGTCCGTGGTCTCCGTGCGTCTATGTGTTCGTCCATTCGTCTGCTGATGATGATGATGCCGACCCTGATCTTGTTCTTCCTCTTCTTCGAACAACGTCCCAGGGATACTAATATTAACATGGTGGTGAGCATCGTTCTCCTCAGGGCTCACAGCCCGTTTCCTCGTCGACCTTCTAACTCCTGCTCCCGATGCCGTACGAGACGCCGCAGCCGGGGCGGTAGCGCCAAAGCGTAGACGATCAGCATTCGCACTCGTCGGACTCGGTAACTCATGTTCATGTTCATGATCTTCCTCCCCATCTCCATCCATGACAAAAGCACCCGGTACGGCAACTTTCAGCTTCTTACGTTGGCTTCCCTCTGCAACAGTACTATAGGCATCATCGTTCCTCCAAGATGGCGACTTGCGCACGTTCTTAGGTGACGTCGCACCTGACGAAGGCGTTCTCATCGGTGGGATAGCACCGTTGAAGATCGAGTATCCTAGACCTTCGTCGCGTTCTCGGTCGCTTATTTCTTCTTCCACTTGTTGTTTGTCGACGCTTTCGTCTATGGAAATCACCGACGGGGTTTCTCGCTCTTTGCGTCTATCTGCGTCATACACTTGGTCTTGTTCTTGTTCGCCGTCATCAGTCGGACTACTCTCCTGCGTCCGTTCCGCATCGTCATCCCGCGGTGGAGTGGGGAGCCGTGTGGTGGGCTTCGTCGGTGCGCGCTTTGGCGACGCACTAGCCATCGGGTCGACAGGATGTCTCTCGTGGTGGAATGGTTCCGGACTTGGGTTACGCGGAGCCGCGGGTTCAAAGAACGCATTGCGCGTTGTAAAGCCATTCTTCTTCGCAATACCATTCGCAACTCCATTCGTCTTTGGCTGTTGGGAGTGAGGCGCCTTCTGTGCGAATAGGCGTGCCGCAGAAGCGGGAGACTCCGCAGTACTGATGAACGTAGGGAAGCGATGCGCAGGTGAGTTCATCGAAATCGAACCCGTGCCATTTTGCGAAACAAGAGTCGACTGTGCCGAAAGTGGTTGTTGACCAGCAGTTGACGGGCCAGCACTAGTAGTAAACATCCCCGCCGGCTTCGCGGGAATCCCATTGGGCAAAGAAGTCCTCGGACGAGCGCCGAGACTCTTCCGAGGAGCATTCGCAGCCGTCCGACGTCCGATGTCTTCCCACGATGTTCCAAGGTCCGTCGAGCCACTCGCCCCAAGGCTCCCGCCTATCCATGATTGATTCGCGCTTGAACTCCCCATAGTCGACGTCCTTATACGTGTATCCTCGCCAAGAGCTGCAAGTTCGTTCTCCAGGAGGTCACGCTCGACAGCAGGCATGATCGAGAGTATGTCTTTTACAATACGTTCGCGCTTTGCGCTCCATGTTCCACGGGCTCCTACTCCGGAACTCGGATATTGACGAACGAAGCGTACGGCGGCGGCGTATTTGCAGCTTTGGATGAGCCTCACGCAGACCATGTCGCGTACAACTCCTACTGATGCGGGTGGGACGTTTTCAGGTGGATGCATTGCGAAGTCCTGTAAAGCGGCATCTTCGTATCTTGAGAAGGGTAACGCAAGAAGTTGAGTGAGAGGCTGTGGCTTCGGTTTGGCTGTAGAATTATTAGCTATGGTCTTTTTTTAAAGACAAGAACGCAACGTACGAGTTAGTACCCAAGTTAGAAGGACATGCAATAATTTCTTCCTATCTGAATAATGATCAGGAAAAGTCCGTTGATACTTCCACGCTTCAACAACACTATGCTCCGCTGTCGCGACAATGTATCGCTCGATGGCACTCGTCTCTGCAAGTGGTGGCTTACACGTCCGTACAAATTTACGTATCAAGTTTGCTGAATCGGAATCGAGCGCAAGTGTCTCTATTATTTTCGTAGTATAGTTCCTGACTATCCGCGCATCGGAAAGCTTCGATATGGCACCCTATAAGGCAGTTAGCATTCTTCCAATGAGAGACGAGGTTATATTGCGCACGTCAAGGTTGATGCCATTGTCCAGCTGCCAATACGCATCGGCAAGAGCCACGTACTGAGGCGAAATGACTTTTTCATCAATGTAGCGTTCATCACGCCCATCCGAGGTCTGTTTAAGAAGGTAGTATACGAGACAGTCACGCTTCATGTCGTCGTACGAAGCGGATTCAATAGCGTCGAGAAGATGTTTTAAGGCGGGAATGGATGAGGGTGGATAGATCGTAGAAGGATCAGGGACACCGCCGAGGTGAAGGAGAATGTCGAAGAAAAGGCCGGACATGGCTGTACGACGCGCGAGGATGTGTTCGCGTACATTGTCGCTCCACGCAAATTGATCAGGATGAGTGGGAAAATAGGAGAGGAGCGTGAGGTCCACGGGCGGAAGAGTTGGCGAGTCCTGAGAAGATTGTACATGACTTAGTCGATGTAAATGAGGAGGAGAATATGGGACTTACTATGTCCATTGTGCGGGAGAGGAGGGAGGAAGAGGAGACGAGAGCGCGACGTGATGCACAAACACAGTCACACCTTCGAACAAGGGACATCACGTGTATATTCGGCTCGTTCCGTTTCCACATTCTCTTTTGATTCCGTCAGCAGCCACGACAAGAGCGTTGGAGCAACTTGTTCAGCAAGTTTCCATCTTATTCTAATTGCTCCTACCGCCTACTATTCCGAGCTTTGCACGGATAAAGTATATAATTTTGTAACATAAATAGCACTTCTTTCTTGAGGTGTGCCAGCAAGGTCTTCTGCAATACAGCCACCAAATGTTAATCATATGGAGCCAAGACGCCCCAGGCCTGCGGGCATGTGCCTCGAAGATAGGGAGGAGCTTAGCACTATATCCCAGTTATCTCAGTAATCAATGATTCAATGTGAATGAATTTTAACCTACTTGTGAGGGTGGTACGTGGGCTTCTCCCGTACTTCGGAATCAGATTAGGCGAAAGGGTAAAGACCCTTATCTTATCATACCACATGTAAATCCTGCACATGGATCCAAGGTTCATGAACACCTCTGAACCAGAGCTTTGACGGTGTATATCATGGAATGACGTTGCACAGGGCTTTTCAGTATCAAAAAGACGTATATGGCTATCTGGGATGTTACGAGTTATATTCTATTGGTTACTGGTACATTTATCCTTCTACTATTAATTTAAACCAACTCGTAATGCAAGTATCTCCATTTTAAATACCCACTACACAAACGTCATCGAGCCGTATCCTGTTGTCCGGACGCTCTCTCTCGCACTCGATCAACAAGCGACGCGTCCGCCGCATTCTCAGCAGGCACTTCCAACTTATTCGTCCCCGCATTTTGCACTTGTCGCGTATCGCCTTTGAAACCGATATAATATATCCTCGAAACTTCTTCTCCAATCGATTCATTCTAATTAATTAAAACACATGAAACGCATCAGTAACATGCAAAATACCTTCCTCGACCTAAACACGAGGACAAAGAAGGGAAGAAGAAATGAGACTTACGAAGTGGAGAGATAGTGAATGCACGTTCGCAAACACCGCAGCTCGCAAGGGATATTCCACAACACCCGTCTCACCCTCCTGAAGTGAGATATTAAGTTGTGGTTTCGTCGATTCTGCTTCGGCGAAGTCGACGATGTTGGTGTGGTTTGCGTATATGCGTAGGTGCCTTGGTGTTAACTCTCCACGGCCTAAACATCTCATAATAATACAAATAAGTATGGGCGATTGGATTCAATTTGACAATTTGAAGCACAGGAGACTTACCAAGCTTGAGAAGAATCGACCTGACACGTACGTTCTGCGAGAACGGTACGTGTATAACGAGCTGATCGTCTACACCTGAATCCGCGTATCGGTCTGTATCTTCACGTTCATCCCAAGGTTTTATTAGCGCCTTCGCATCTTCGGGTACACTCAAGTTCAACCCATGAACACTAGCATTATCAGAATGCTTCAGTCAGTCAACTTATTAACAAAGTCTCGCAGATTACGACGCGTAACTCACTTATCCCGATCAACAACATGATACAAATTCGCCGTCTCCGGACCAGCTATCTCATCTCGTACTGAGTTTCCATCCTCTCCATAGTGTTCATACGACATAATATAGTCAGAAGGAAGGGAAGCAAGAGGCGACTACCACAAAATGGGTACTGATTCTACGGAAGGCTGAATTGAGTACTTACCTCCGAGGATAGGCAGGTTCACGTGACGTACTGTATGCTCTTGTGTGCTCCGCCCTCCTGCATTGGTACTTCTTTCCTTCAAGGGCTTACTTGCGTACACCACCTCTCTCCCGTCTTACCAACACCCTTGTACCGCTAAAAATTAGGAAATATGTCTCTACCACGAGCAACACCACGCGCAAAACACTATCACGGCGGCGCGAAGGGCAAAGTAACCGGAAACACGGTCCAACCAGCTCCAGCATGGCGTGTACGAAACATTCCCCCCGAGTCTCAGAGTCAGAATGCCATAGATCTGGGGAGTAAGATATTGTTGAGTAACTTACCGCTTGATGTATCGGAGGATGAGATCGTTGTACGTTGTTTTTTTTCTCTAAGATTAATTTGATTGTTCTTCGGCGCCTTGAAGAAGAAGCGCTTGTGATTTGTGAAAGAGTTATGAAACGACCGAGCTGACGTTGATCTTATTTTAATTTTCTTCTCGAATAGGACTTGATGAAAAAGACGATTGGGCCTGTTGTCTTACGAGACTCGTTTTTAATTTGCAACTCGAAGGGTGTTCCGCGAGGCGCAGCTATCGTCACGTTTACGCGCGGAATTGACGCGTCGAGGGCGCGAGCGAGGTATAATGGGAAAGTTATTGACGGCAGTGAGTCTCTCGTTCCTAACTATCCATCCGTCTTCTTTCTGCGATTTCCCTACATCATTGTAGTCGCATAATCGTTGAAGTTGCGCGTCTATCAATATTTAATTACCCCATCTAACTCATTTCTTTCTCGAACATAGAACGCGCAATCAAACTCGAAATAATCTTAGACCGAGACGTCGACTCCTCACGTCCATCCCAACAACAGCCACCCACCGCACCGAATGGTGTACAACAACAAAAGCCCAAAACATTATTTGATCGTCTCGGGCCTCTACCTTCCTCTCCTTCTCATCAACCAACAAAAGCAAATGGCGTAGCAAATAGTCGGTTCGTATTTTACACTTCACACTTCAACTCTCTTCTCTTTCGCATACGCGCATGAAGAGGTTACTGACATTCGAACTCTTACTCCCAACAGACGAACACCATCACTACTCGACCGCGCAGCAGCAGCCCCATTCCTCTCCACACCTCCATCCAAACCCAGATCCTTCTCAACACCCATACAACCACGCGTTGTACCACCATCAGCACCAGCAGCCCTTAACAAAAAGCGACAAAAGAAAGGACCCAAACGCGTTAGGAAGAGCGTTGCAGACCTTGATCGCGAGATGGAGGAATACGCTGTTGGGCGGAGGAACTTCAATAGTGATGGTGTGATGATGATATAGCCTCATATAGGCTGATTGATAGTTTTGGTATTAATGATGAAATGCTGTTTTGTTGAGTGAAGTGGATTGGTGTTTTGTTTTGTCTGTTCTGCGTGATTTTGAATTTGCTGTGTTATTTCTTCTTTCTTTGCCCTTTTCCTTCCTTCAACCTTTGGCTAACAATGATTCCATTGTCTTTTGTTCACTTCTCACTTCTCACTCTCCAATCTATCCGATATAGTGCACGTTTCTTCAGTTCGTTCCCTTTCTTTATCCTGTTGCTTCGATAGAATGATTAATGTTCACTGTTTTCTCCTGTGGTATCTACGAATCTATAATAGACCATCACGTCCTCTATTCTCAAAGGAATCATACATAAAGTATGTACAAGAAATACTGAATGAGTAGCCTTCTGGCAAAATTGTCTAGAATTCTTTCAAAATTCAAAGTTAAGTTGGCTGGCCCTGATTTCACTGATTTCACTAAGTTATGTCCTAAAAAACAGTTAGTGAATTTGCTCTGTTCCTCTCCCCTTCTATTCACTCCATTATCACTTGCCTTCAGCAAAATTATTCTCTTCTAGTGCTAGAAATACACACATACTAGAAAATGTGCTAAAATTACTTGGCACTTTACTACAGTAGATACAACCTTGGTTAGTAGATGACCTGTTTTGAACAGTACTGTCACAGAGCATGACTTGCTTGTAATAAAGTAGTTCAATAGTACTTTTGTCCAATATAATATAATATAATTAGTATAAATTGGACACGTGGATTCACAGGTCTTCTTTGAACGAATGCTTGCTTCTCTCCTCCTTCAACTTCTTCAGCTCAATACTAAATTCTTCAAAGTACTGCATGCTGGTTCTTTTTTTCCAACTTCCAAATAAAACGCTACAGCTGTGCAGGTTCATATGTGCCATGGCTGACTTCGTGTACACCAACGAAGTGGCACCAAAGATGCCACTTTACGTCTGATGGTGAGCGCTGAAGAAGAGGTTGTGAGAGCAACTAACTGGAGATGCCGGATTTCAAAATGGCGTGCCGTATGGTCCGAGATAGAGGCTAAGAAGGAAAGGGTGAAGATGAGGCACTTTCTGTATCGGTATGAAGGACTAACAATCAGGAGTTAATGATGGTCGTGGTCATTACGCAGACGGTATCCACATGGATTCAAATAAACCGAAAGGCTTAAACAAAGACGTTTCAATAGATGGCAACAACACGTGGATGACGCAGATAATTTCCGCAGTTAGCCTGATGCATTAAATACCTCCGTCCATGGTGGAAAGTTCCCACTACAACTTAAACAACGGTCAAACAGCCATGAAGACGTTCAGGCTGTTCATTGCATGTTATACACTCTGCTCCTCAGCTTTGGCTCAGAGTCAGCAGAGCTTCTTGTCAGGCAGCGTGAGACAAGTTGAGAGGTACGACTTTATGTTGTTTGGAAGATCATTGAGTACCGACATCAATATTAATGTCGCAGTAATGGTGCATCTGGTGTTCGAACATTGCAGCTCTCTTCAATTCCAGCCAATGCTTTTACAAGTTTTTCTCATCCCGCATTTCCGGGGAGAAGTGCAAGGATCAAGAAATCAGACTTTTGTGATGGTGGGGTTGCGTACGTTACTTCTTGCCTGTTTGCTGTCCAGTGTGCGTCAGTTGGCTTATTACCGAGTAACATTAATAACTTTTTTATTAAAAAAAACAGTGCATATACTGGCTATATTGACGCTGGTCCGAAACATTTCTTCTTCTACTTCTTTGAGAGTAGAAGCAACCCCGACAAGGATGATGTCCTTCTCTGGACGAATGGTGGACCAGGTGGTTCCTCCGCTCTTGGTCTTTTTGCAGAACTTGGTGCGGATTTATGATTATTCCGAGATAATATTATTTATTTTGGGGTGGTCAACTCGCAACGTTTCTCACTTTTTTAAAGGACCATGCCGAATTGCAAGTCCCAATAGCACAAAATACAATCCGTACTCCTGGAACACGAATGCAAACATTTTCTTCATTGACCAACCTATCGGAACCGGCTTTTCATATAATGATCTTGGGGACATAGTTGTGAGTCCCAATACAGGGAACTTGTTTCTTCGCAATTAATTCACCATATCTGTAGTCGACGACAGAGGATGCTGCACAGGATATTGCTGCTTTCATGGCCACGTTCTTCGAGACGTTCGACAAGTTCAAGGGAAGAAACGTCCATTTGACCGGAGAATCATATGGTGTAGGTACTAGGTACCTCCATCATAGGACCATTTTACATTTGAATACCGCTGTCCCTAATGTTATGCGAATCGTACAGGGACGTTATCTTCCAGTCTTAGGAGCCGTTGTTTACGACCAAAACTCGGTGCTTGTTGAAAGGGGGCCAGAACCCATCAACCTCAAATCAATCATGATAGGTTTGTCAATATTTTCTTCTCGGCAAATGCTTGTCAATTTAATTCCTTGCTGCAGGAAACGGAGTGACGGATTTCTTCACGTGTGTAGTGCCTTTGCCATCGGGAATAGCTTAACATAGGTGGGCTGACATAGATTCGTGAAAAAATAGAGTCATACGCTCGTATTACGACATGCAATGCACGAACATGGGCATCGGGCCTCTCCAGCCCATTTCGACATGCGTTCGCATGAAACAAAGCGTGAGCCTGTCTTTCTTCTATCCGCTGTCTGTTACTTCCGACTCAATTTCTATTGATCCCATTCAGCTTCCTCGCTGTGAGAAGCGACAAAAGGAAGCTTGCATTGATCACTTCGATTTGATTGACTGCTCTTCTGCATTCACCTTTTGTGCAAATGAACTCTTCGCGCCATATAAAAATGCAGGTAAGGGGGCCTGTGCCATTTATACGCACCTCGCTCAGAATTGGGTGCTTTTAAAAGGATACAATTCGTATGATATGACAATGAAATGCAATACTTTGGACTGTTATCCGGAAGACAAGTAATACTTTCATCCATACAAGCTTAACCAGACTTACCATACGTCCCTATACTCAGGAATTTTACTACATACTTAATTAATCCGGCTACCCAGAAGGCACTAGGTGTCAACGATGGACGGAATTTCTCAAACGTTGCTATGGATGTTGCATTAGCCTTCTTTGCTTCTGGCGACGAAACACATGACTCAAAGCAATACGTTGTAGAGCTACTTGCGCGTGGAGTCAAGGTCCTCATCTATGCCGGGACGTATGACTTCATTGCAAACTGGCTTGGCAATGAATGGTGGACGCTGAACTTGGACTGGCCTGGCCGATCTGAATTCTCAAGAATGCCTCTGCAGGAGTGGTTTGTGGGTGGTAGTCCTGCAGGTAAGACACGTACGCACGGAAACTTCTCGTTTGCTACAATATATGGAGCTGGCCACCTTGTAAGTGTATCTTCACGTCAGATTTGAATGGTTAGGGTTTATATATCTGTTAAACTCCCTCTTCTTCTTTTTAAAACAAACATAGGTACCACATGATAAACCAGTGGAGTCACTAGCAATGTTGCAACGTTGGCTAGTAGACAAGCCTTTTTGAATGAGCTTAACTTCTTTAACAAAATATAAATCAAGTCTGGGGAACTTACATTGTCTTAGTCTTAGACTTGAGGTGGTTAGTAGTATAATTGTGCTGAAAAGCTAAGCTACATTTGTGTCATGAATAAACAAATTATTAGACATCCTTCTAAACAAGTATATTATAATAAATACTAGTAAGTGTTAGAAGATGGAATTTATGTAGTGACAGTAAGAGAGCTAGTGTGAAGCACTAAAGTCACTTATATTCTATTGAGAGGATAATGTAGAAACTATTAAGAGCCAGATTGTTTACTACTGTGTGTCTCCTATATATTAATATACATGGGTCAAAATGTAGAGTATACAGATACAATAAAAATAAACAAACTATATTAAGGTGAGCTATAGTACTGTAGCATTACAATTGTGTACACAAAACCAAGTCATACAATATTGAAGAAAACAGAATTATTTCTCAGTTAATCCTAGTTTGGAGAGAATTTTTGAGATACTTGCATCTTCCCTTCCTTTTAAGATTATAACACTTACTCAACTCTCTTCAAAAAAAAATTTAATAAAATTGTAGAACACAAATTCACTTACCTTGTAATGTTACAGTGCCTTACTATAATTAACTTTTCCTGAATCCCAACATAACCATCCCTGAACAAATGCCAAACATATAGGATAGAGATGTTGTTTGTCAAAATCTTTCCTTGTCTCGCACGTGACTCAAACGCGTCGCGACGCGTCTCAATCAACACAGAACTGACGTCTACTTCCCCCCACCCCACCCCACGAATCCTACCCGACTTTCAATCTCACTCACTGTCAAAACAAGAAAAGAATGCACTGCAATTGTTCATTAAAAGTAGTAGTACAAACAGAGACAACCGCAAGTGCAGATGATGGTATTGGTGAGTCAGAATAGGAGGGATCTTGGGGGTAGGTAAGAAGGTAGAAGGAAGACGGTGGGATTGAGAATAGGAAAATAGAGAAACATGTAGACGAGTTGTTTATGTAGAATCCAGACACGATTCGTTGGATGACTCTGTATGGAGTTGGAAATGGGAAAAAGAAATGAAGATAGAAACAAACAAAGCGAAAGCAAGAGACAAAACAAAACAAACAGACAGAACAAAACAAAATGAATCCGATCCGTCATGAAACAAGGGTAAAAAGAAGTGAGGAAAAGAAGTACAGTGAAGAGGAAGAAGTGAAAAAGGCAAAATTGCATCAAAAACAGAAGAAGAATGACGTATAATATTACAAAAAAAAAGGGGAAATGACAAACAAATCAAAATGATGTGGAAGGGGCTTCACGAATGTGCATGTTCGGAGAGAGAAGTGAGAAGTATGCAAATGCGTATGGAAAGCAAAATGAACAAAATGTGCATAGAAGGATGAGAATAGAAAGAGGAATGCGGTTGGATGCGTGGCTCGTCTTGAGCCTACATACAAGCTTTCCGCTACGGAAAGCTCGGTGCGGTTGCCAGGTCCTGACGCGACGCAGCATGCTCGCACTGCAAGCGAATGCTGAGCCGCACAGGGACAACGCATCATGATAGGAACGTCATTTTTGTTGACTGTATGGTTGGTCGTTAAGGCGATCATGGGCGATGGAAGAATGCCATTTTATGTACGCTGCGAGGTCGTCGGTTGTGCAACACCGGCTGGCCCGCGTGAATTAACGATTACAATGACAATGGGCGTACTGGAGAGGACTTTGGGGTCATGAACGTGAACGTAGCGTAAAGCTCCTTACGCTCGGGCGTGGATAGCGTTACAGGGTCGAATGAAGGGGATGTGTTGTCGTCGTCGTCTTCGACAGCATTTATCCTTGTAGTACAAGGAAGTGACATGCTACGCGTGAGCCGCTGTGGCTGTTTTGGCGTAACCGGCTTCGTCTTGTCAGCACTTTCGCTTTTGGTATCGTCAAAGGCAGTGAAACCAAGCGTGTCAGAAAAGTCCAGCTCATCCGCGGCGCCAAAAGGAATAGCCCCGAAGCCTGACGACCTAGCGATGGAAGACTGTGGACGCATATGAGGCCCCTCAAATAGGAAATAATCCCGGATCTGCGTAGCAAAGCTCGGCTCCTTCTCGCGAGTTATTACGAGAATTACGAGAAATTAGCATGTACATTCACTACAAAAAGAGTTAATCAACTAACCTCTTTTACAATATGAAGCTCAGAAGCATCTTCATCTCGGACTTCCTCCTTCTTAGTATCGGAAGACTGGAGATAGGCGTCGGATACGTCGGCCAGGGGAGACACCGTGAGCTCGTAGCATCGTGAATCAATCAGCACCTGAGTAAGCGATTTGGAGTCAGAGCCAGGCTTTTCCTCGTCGGCGCTTTGCGTGGCAGCCTCTTCCTTGATGGTCTCGAGTGATATTGCGGAGGAGCTGTGTGAACTCAAGCGAGAGGGAGTCGCTCGATTTGCGGGTGAGGCAGGCGCAACATCGGAAAGAGCCTTCCTGTCTTCACAGGTCTTTCCTGATTGCTCCTTCTTGGCCTTCGTCTTTGCCGAGGACGCCTGCGAAGATGCTTTGCGCTTGAGGTCCGCACGTTTCGGAGGCTTCGACTTAGCTGCGCCGGATGACCCGGGTGCACAAAGAATCTTTGCTTTGAGTACCGTGTTACTGTCCGAGGCTTTTCGTTTCTTGCTTGACGTTACTGAGGTGGTGCCGAGCCCAGTCAAAGGATGGAGATTTTCTTTCTCTGGGAGGGATGGAATGCCGCTCTCGGAACGGCGGGAGGTAGTCAGCACGGCGGCGGCCGATACAGACCTTCCAAGGAGACGCGGGGCAGATGGTTTCGTAGATGGCGCATCGCGGTAGACGGTGAATGTTCTACTGGGCATGATGGTATACGGACAGTTTTGATGAACGGATGAGTGTGGAGAATTGAGTTACGCAGTGTGTTCGTGAACATGCAATATGTTGAGATAGCGCTATAGGAGGTGGAGGATAATGGGCGCAGTGATGAAGAGATGTGTACAACGACGACCCGGGATGGTACAAGAGGGAACGCGGGACTGGTCGTCGTGAATGGCAGAGGAGAAGAGAGAGCGCTGAAGCCACGCGCATCCAATCTGCACGGTTATCTAATGGGCCAAGGAAGGAAGGAGAGCGTGTTTTGTTGGAGGTCGCGTAGCTTCGATTCGCGCACGTGAAGTGACTTCCTCCACCGTCACATCGCGTTGTGATCATCTCACTGATTCTCAGCAGACTGACCGAATAATTGCTGTATGTAGGTAGGATTGTGTAGAGAAATATTATTTAGATTAAAGCTAGTCTACCATGTTCGCCCATCCATAAGTTTCCGGCCATGATCCCGCTCAATCGACTCCTTGTTCCGCATTCCAACACCTGCATCCAATCTCTTTCCCTTCCCTCCAATACCATTACCCATCGACAGCGGTGCATTTCCAGCCTGTATAAGCATGCACGTCGCTTTAACCACTTGGATCGGATTTCTACTTCCCCAGACCTTCGCACTAACGTCTTTAATACCCGCCGCCTTGAGCACCTGATGAATATTCGGGTTGCAGTGCAAGCCAAACCCGACGGGGCGTGGTCGCATAAGTATCCTCGTCGAACCAAGCTTAATCGACATATCCGTCCAAATCGTACGGCGTTCAAACCGATCCACAGCATCCATATTCCGAACAGCTTCAATAAACGCCTTCTTATTCGCTTCACTAACCTCTGCATGTTTACCCTCTCCATACCCAACAAGTCCATCCCCATTCCCAACGACATGAAGCGAGTAAATCCGATGTTTCTTCCCCTTCCCAGTCTGCTGCGTCACGCGTCTCCGAACGAGTGGGTAGTTATGCACTGCAACGTCTTTTTTGCCTGCGATTATGATCCGAGCGTCTTTGCCTTCGTTCATCTCGACGTTGTTGTTTTCTTTGATCATGTCGTTGAGTTCTTTGTCGACTGCCATGAATGATGGGTCGTTTCGGACTGTGACTTTCGAGATACGTTTGGAATGCGGTCCCTTGAAGTAGCTGGTGTGAGCGGAATCGTATAGCACGTCGGGCTGCATTAGGTTTGGGAATGGAAAACGAGGTTCTTCGGGTTCGTCATTCGTTTGCGAAGGACCTGGTTCATCCGACGAAGAGCGAGCTGACGACGTAAATCGGCGGGATATTTGCCTTGAAGAGGAATAGAGAGTTGGAACAAAGCAAGGTCTCAGGACGCTGCTATGCGCCAATAGTGACGAGCACTTGTTCATCGTCAGGAATAAGCATGCGATTCACGAAGGTTTTCATTTTCAAGTCGGTCTTCGAAAATGACGATCGCTTATGTAATAAGGTTAGTATATACAAGCGCAAATAAACTATAAATAATCAAAGGTATGATAAAGGGGCGCAGTCGAAGGTGTGTGAGATTCCAAGAGATCCAAACAAAGATAGCAGTGATTAGAAGAATGGCGAAAAGACGCTTCGGTTTACATACCTCCCTTTCATATGATAAAAGAAGCTCTGGAAGAGAACTGGGACTGTTGGTGCCTTCTTACCTTCGACTTGAAGTTTTCGGCGATATATTTTACGTTGAAAGAGCTCATCCTCGTTAGAGAAGTCGTGCCAGACAAGGGAAGATACGACTGCGAAGGGAACTGATCCATAGATATGAGTGTTCTTAGTATCCGAATTGAATGGGCTATCAACGGCGGGAGCAATTTGATACAAAGAGCACACGCCAGAAAATAGAATCTGTCGTGATTTTGAAAGGGAAGGAGGCGCTTGTAGACTAGGGAATGCTGTGAGTAAATAGACATATGGGGCTAGTAAGAGGCGCCTTTGTTCACATGCTGCGCAGTCTGGTCTCCACGGCGCGAGAACTGCAGATGAGCGGGCGGTGCGCCGTCGCGGTCTCCCACGGTAGTGTCAGATGAGAGGGCGGTTACTCTTGGACGTGTTTGACTACCGTGCAAGAACAGCCAGAGATGATGGTCGAAAAGGTACTGATACTGTAGGTCTATTTTTGACTGTACCTCTGGAAGGCGATCGGAGTGATTTAATAGCGTCGAACTGTTGGCAGAGTGCCGACGGATGTCCGACGGAGCTCAAATCTGATTTCAACGGGTCTAACGGCGTCTCATCATGCCAAGTTATGCAAAGCAGTGCAAGCCAGCGCACGATTAATTCCAAGGACGAGGGTGCACTGGTGGATGATTCAATTTCTGTCTTGGGAGAGTATGACAAGACGAGGGAAGAGAAATGAGAGATATGCCGTGAGTCAGCAACAGCCGGACGTTGCCGAGTGGAATGAGATCACGCGTTTCGAAGCGGACATCTGAATCGTTCCCATAAGTATCCCTCCCGCTTTCCCTCTCTCCTCTCTCCCTCTACCCGCCCGCTGTCCTCGTCGTTCGTCGTTGCACACGTCGTAGCCTCACATTGTCCTAGTAATCATTAGCACTGGCCGCAGACGGAGCGTCTTAACTCAATGCCGGGCATATTCACCAACTGGTGTAAGTCGTCACTTGACCACAACCGACTTTCACCTTGTTCTGACTCAATCTATCTTCCATCTATCTAATTCTGTTGTCTTTGGCATCTGGACAATCTATATGCATTGGTGTGATTGAGGAATTCAGATAACAGCCAGTATGCTTCGTGGAACCGCATGCGACGGATGCAAGCTCCACCATTCGTTGCCCGCGTCGACTCCCGTGTAAGTCGCAACGCAACCGCACTACACAATGGTATGTCTCTCCACCCTTCACCTTACCAGACACCCAAAGACCCAAGAGAGATTTGAGAATTTGTCGGTTTCGCTCCATCAAAATCGTTCCCTTCTAGACCGCATTACAATTGGCCTGCTAATTATAACACGTATTATTTGGCATAGGTACCGACGCGAACACCACAGGCGACGTCGTAATCAACATGGGTGACTTGACCACGACCAATCTTACCAATAACAAGGATACGCTATTTGGCCCGAGCATTGGCGTTGTCAGCACTGCCCCGGAATGGTGCACTGCTGATGCCGCGCTCGACGAGAAGACATACAACAGTGAGAAAGAGATAAATGAGAAGGATGATGAAAAGAGAGAGGACGTTGATGAGCTGACGCCGGAGGTTGTCAAGGAGTGGGTACGTCGAAGCAAGGAGGTCAGTTGCTATGTTGCATTATTGTCCGTTATTTTGCCCCTTTACGATATCTCTTATACCCCATAATTATTATTGTGTGCTGACTGCTATTCTGAATTTGTTAGCCATCGGAACCAACGACAACCCTTCAAGCGCTTGTGAACCTTAAGCGCCCTTCTATCCGTCTTTCCCCACTTGCAGCGCCTTCCGAGCCCTCCACATCAAACGCCGACGAATCCGGAGATGCCACTTCCAAACATCACCAACAGCATGGCCTCGAATTTGAATTTGACTGTGACGCTCCGCAGTGCTTGATTTCTTTGCATGTTGTTGGTGTACCAGCTCACCTTGGCGAGTCGGAGGATAACTTGCACAGTGCTGCTAAAGACAAGGAGCGATTAGTACTTTTCGAGACAACTCTTCCGGGCGGTTTTGCGCGCAAGTTAGCGCTATCAGAGGGTGCAACTCTCGAACTCGCACGATTGGAGGCCGCGGCGCGCGGTTATCGTGCTCAACTCGCGGCAGCCACGGCGCCCGCGAGGGGTTCCGACGGAAAGCCCGAAGGCTCCATCACAAACACTACTCCAGCCGCGGACAATGGACATGAACGTGAACAGCGCAAGAAGCGTCTTACGTTCTTCCGCAAGAAGGGCAGTTCGCACACACAACATTCCACTTCTAATACACAGCCGGCGCCGGCGCCAGCTGTGCCTTCGGGACCTGCTCTCGCGGTCGTCGACGCGGAGGCTCCTCATAATGAACCTCAGGGGTCGCTGTCTCCACAGAACCAGAATGCGCTTACGACTTTCTTCGCGGGTGGTGATGCTGAGAAAGCGAAGCGCAAGAAAGAAGCTGATGAAGATGGCGTGCGGATTGCGATTCGCCTTGCAGCGCGCGATGCTGACGGACACGCGCTGAAAGTACGCAACGAGCAGGTCACGTATTTGCATATTGTTAGGCAGGGAACTACTCCCGCTACTGCTACCGGTGACAACGCAGCGGCTTCTAGCGGAGAGGCAGCTGCTACACCCGCGAACGGTGAGCAAGAAAACAACACACAGGCCGCACGAGATGAGGAGGGCAAGGAAAAAGAAGATACCCGATCATGGATAGTCCGCGTGGTGAAGCGCGAGGCTCGAATCGGTGCACACGCATTCCAACTTCACGAGATCTACGGTCTTACCGCACACGCTTCTGCCTCCGAAGCTACTCACAGCGTTACTCCCTCCTCACCCCCTCCTGCTTCTGAGTCACATACCTACCCTCCGCAGCCACAAATTCTGAATGGAGCCGGATCTGAGGCGGATGACAGTCCTGCGGAATGTTTACTCTGTCTGAGCTCTCCGCGCGAAGTTGTACTCCTTCCATGTCGCCATCTTGTCGCATGCCGCGAGTGCGCGGTTAACATGGTTGAGTTTGGTGCAGGTGGTACGGTTACGCAGCCTGAAGCGGAGGTACCCGCCGCTCCTGCACCAGCTACTACTGGAGATGCAGCAGGTGAAGGAGCTAACGGAACTCAAGGGGATCAACCATCTACTCCTGCACCTGCCCCAATGCCTACTCCGACTCCGGCGATTCGTAGGAAGAGAAAAGCAAAGGGTTGGTTCTGCCCCGTATGTCGTCAACGTGAGTCGTTCTTCCCCTTTCATAGATTCTGTAAAGTTTCTCATCTACGTTTTCTCCAGCATACACGAGTTTATTACGCATTACTACCGCCCCACCGCCGACAAAGGGTGCAGGCACAGGGCACGCCACTACAGGCGACACTTCAGCAGACGCGAAGCGCGTCTCACTCGCTTCGTCGCTCACTTCTTCTCCCTCACCACTCAACGAACAGCCACCCCACCCTCTTGCAAACACCCCCGCCCTGCCGCCTGTGGCGGTGACCACGCCTAATTCGGGTGCAGCAACGCCTGCACCGAATGCTACTGAAGAAGGCGGGATGGAGTTACGAGGAGCGTTTGCGAGTATTGCGAGGCCTGGGTTCTTGAGGGGACTTTCTGGACGGGCGGCGAGCACTGCGAGTAGGGAGCGGGATTTGGAGCGAGGGGCGTAATCATAATCGTGTGTCGTATCTTCCTCCTCGCCCCGCTTTGGTGTCCGTTTTGCCGTGTCGCATCGTGTCGTCCCGGTGAGTGAGTGTAGGCAGCTTCTGGGTTCTATGACATGTGATTGTGACGCTCGGTTTGATGTGGTAAAGGACTGACTTGCCGACTTAACCTTATTCCATTCAACACGTCCCTAAAACCTAAACATTCTATGCACACCATCTACCACTATTTCTATGATTATCTCTATGGTCCTGCATTATCGTTGTCGTTGTCCGTTGTCCGTTGTCATTCATTGTCATTGTCGATAGTGTTAGTCGTTAGTCGTGTGTCCTCCTCTTCCTCTTCCTCTTCCTCCCTCTCGTCTTCTTCACCCTTCCTTTTCCTCTTCTCTTCTTCTGTCCGCATTTCCCTGTACCCCACTCTCTATCTTGTGCGTACTTTTTTTTTGCTTGTTTTGTAAGTTAGTCTGTTTGTCATACTAGTAGATAATGTTTTTTTCTTGTTCGCCTTGTAGTGGGATTCTTGTTAAAGGGCATTCGGTCTTCTGAATGAGCATTTCTATGCTTAATGCCTCTCTTCTACGTTCCATCTTGCACTCATATGCTGCCTTCCTATCCATCCTCAAGGCCTTCACTGTAATAGACACACATAGTACTACTACTAAAATCCCCTCCCTCAACTTACTAACCACTCTCACTCCCACCCAAATGCAAAGGATGGATACTCTATTTTAGTTTGCCCTGTCTTGTCTCTCTACTTGCACTTGCCTTGTCTGTCAGTGTTTGTTGTTTCAGTCGTTGTTCTCTTAGTCTTATTCAAGTTATTGCTTCTTCCCTTCCTGCCCTTTTTTTCCTGTTGTAATATTTCTTTGTTTGTACTTATTCTTTTTATACATACACTGTATTGTAAATTGTGAAATGTTTCTGTGAGTTTGGTTTTTTGCCTTTACAACACCTGCAAGAGCTACAGCAAACAAGCAATGTTGCTTGACATTATAATGTGAACCACATATATCATGATGAGTGAATAGTATCATATTATCTTTTAGAAGGACTCTGGAATGCAATGGGGTAATCTTCATCCTGAAATGTAATGTAGAGCTGTTTTGAGTATGGAGGATCCTTCTAGAGTGTTATGTAATACATGTATTTCTACTTCAACCCTTTCTTGTCGCTCAACATCAAACACTATCATCACAGCTTCAACGAGTCCACAGCATGGCCAGTAGAGTATATAAGCACTTGGCTTCTGCCCTCAACCCTAGCGTTGTACCCATCACACCTAGGTCTCGACGCTAACGAACCAGCATCTAACTCGAATACCCGTCTCCTGCGCTGACGTGTCTGTGTCTACGTCAATATCAATTGTTTACCTATTCTTGCAGGGCAGTCTTTTCCTTTTACACTTCTGGAATAAACAGGTTGTAACTGAGACGGCTTTCAGACTCGCAGCGAATCTTTTGCAGAGGACAGCGATTTAAACTACCAGGTTTGTAGGACGAAGGAGCATTTCAGGTGATATATATCTCTTAGCTTCCGTCCTTCTTTCTGAATGAACACACGCAGAAGTCAACTAAGGGTATCGGACTCATTGGCGAACGATTCCACGTTTCTGTGCTAACATGAAGTACTATGTGGACCTGGAATGGATTTGTCGCGGACTCGTCTGTCTGGGTGTTAAACACTGGTCACGCTTTGAGCAATCGGGAGAACGAGAGGGACTTGACAGGTCTATTTCTTATTGGCGCATTGCGTTGGGCCTTTGTCCTGAAAGTCATCCAAGTCGCAACGAAATATGCAGCAATCTTGGAAATGCGCTTTTTTTGAGGTTCGAGAATTTCGGCAATATAGACGATCTACATGAGGCAGTTGATTGCCATCGTGTTGTTCTGGAACTTCGACCACATGGCCATCCAGAGCGTTATCTCTCTCTTAACCAACTTGCGGTTGCCCTTCATACCCGATTTGAGCAGGATGGTCAGACAACAGACCTCGACGAGGCCATCGAATATCATCGTGCTGCCCTGGAACTTCGCCCCACTGGCCATCTCGGTCATTCCGATTCTCTGAATAATCTTGGAAATACTCTTTATGCTCGATTTAAACTGCATGGACAGAAAATAGACCTTGACGAAGCTGTCGAGCATCATCGTACTGCCCTCGAGCGTCGTCCCAATGGCCATCCCAATTGTCCCGTGTCTCTTGATAGCCTTGCAAATGCTCTTTCAGCTCGATTTGAACGGCATGGTCAGCTGGGAGACATCGACGAGGCCATCAAGTATCATCGTGCTGCTCTAGACCTTTGCCCTGCCGGCCATTCCAATCGACCGCCATTTCTGTTGAACCTTGCAAGCACCCTCAGAATTCGATTTGATCAGCATGGTCAAACCACAGATCTTGATGAAGCAATCGAGCATCTCCGCACTGTTCTGGAACTTTTCCACGTTGGTCATCCATATCATTATGGATCTCTGAGTAGCCTTGCAGGTACCCTTCAAACGCGATTTGAACAGTATGGTCGGATGAAAGATCTTGACGAGGCCATCAAGCATCATAGTACCGTTCTAAAGCTTCTCCCAGACGACCATCTCTGGCGATCCATGATGCTTAGTAACCTTGGAACTGCTCTTAGCATTCGGTTTGAACAGTATGGACAGACAATAGACCTTGATGAAGCTATCAAATATCATTGTACTGCCTTGGAGCTTTGTCCTGACAGCCATCTCGATCGATTCACATTTCTTCATAACCTTGCAAATGCCCTTCGAATTCGATTTGTGCAGTATGGTCGGACAATAGACCTCGATGAGGCCATCAACCATAATCGTGCCGCCCTTAAACTCCTCCCAGACCGCCATCCCGATCGATCCATGTCTCTTAGTAACCTTGGAACTGTCCTTCATACCCGATTTGAGCAGGATGGTCAGACAACAGACCTTGATGAGGCCATCGAGTATCAACGTGCAGCCCTGGAACTTCAGCCTGTCAGCAGCCCTGCTTATTCCGGATCTCTGAATAACCTCGCGCTTTATCTTCGAACTCGGTTTGAACAACGTGGACAGATTGCAGACCTCGACGAGTCCATCGAGAATAATCGCGCTGCCCTGGAACGTCTCTCCGTTGAACATCCTGATCTTCCCAAGTCTCTGAATAACCTTGCACTCTCCCTTCGAACTCGATTTAAGCAGAATGGACAGACTACAGACCTCGATGAGGCTATCAGGCATCTTTATGCTGCCTTGAAATTTTGGCCCGTCGGCCATCCCAATCGCTCTGGATTACTGGCGAACTTAGGTCTTTCGTTGTTCCGTCGATTCGACCAGTCTGGCCTCATGGAGTGTTTTGATGAGTGTATACAATTACTCGAACATGCTTCCGTGCACAGATTTTCAAGCTTGATTGGGCGTCTCAAGATCGCCGATCTATGGGCTAAGATTGCTCGGAAATATTCTCACCACACCACGTCTAATGCCTACAGGGAAGCAATGATGCTTCTACAACGTATCCTTGTTATTAGTCCCAGTCTTCCAGCACAACACGACTTCCTTAACGAGAAAAGCGACTACATATCGCTGGCATTAGACGCAGTAGCCTATGCTGTAGATAAAAATAGACTTGAAGAGGCTATAGAGATACTTGAGCAAGGAAGGGGCTTACTCTGGTCACAGATGCGCGGACTTAGGGCACCTCTAGATGGCCTTGCAGAAGTGAACAAAGAGCTTGCTGACAGATTCAGTGACATTAGTTGTCAGCTGGAGAACCTTGCAATGTCACCTACAGAGTCGCAGTCTGGCCCAAGCACGGTCAGACACAACCCGCCTGTACTGGATGTGTATAGAGAACGGAGGCTATATGACGAGAGATTGAGGCTAAAGAGACGGCTCTCTACCGAGCAAGAGGAGCTCATCGGCGAGATACGGCGAATTCCTGGGTTCCAGAGCTTTCTTGAAGCCACACCATTTAATGTACTCCAACAGGCAGCCTCAGAGGGTCCTGTCATTGTGGTCAATCACAGCAAGTATCGATCCGATGTGCTTATTGTTCCCTCACATGAAGACAAGCCGGTTGCTTGTATTCCATTAGATGGAAAGTTCTACAAGGATAGCACTGAGTTGTGTGCCAAGCTTGTGGGAACGCGCACGATCTCTGGGGCTTACTCTGCAGAATATGATCAGATGCTCCGACAAGCGATGAGGACCTTGTGGGATAGGGTTGTCTCCAAAGTCGTCGATAAACTAAACGAGCTCGGAATTGCCGAAGGATCGCGCATTTGGTGGTGCCCTACATCCGTGCTGTCTGCGCTCCCTTTTCATGCTGCAGGTCCGTTCATGGACGAAGACGGTACGGCGGCGTATCTATTGGATAAATACATCTCGTCGTATACTCCGACACTTGGAGCACTTATTGACGCACAATCATCATGCAGAAACGGAGGAGAATCATCTGCTCTTATTGTTGGCGATAAATCACTTCCGTCAGCTACGAAGGAGATTTGCAACATCAAGAATTGTGGCATACAGGTCAAATTGCTCAATAGCAAAACATCCCATGATGCTGTGATCAAAACATTGCAGAAAGCAAGATGGGTCCACTTTGTTTGTCATGGAGGCTTAGATCCAAAACCTTTCAACTCGTCATTCAAGGTATCCGAGCATGGGTTGACTTTACTCGATATTATTCAAGCGAAACTTCCAAACGCAGAGTTCGCATTCCTTTCCGCCTGCCACACTGCCGAACAGTCTCACAATGGCACATACGATGAAGCACTCCACCTTGCTGCAGCAATGCAATTTTCTGGATTTCGAAGCGTGATTGGATCGATGTGGGAGTTGCTTGATGTGGACGGGCCCTTTTTCGCTAAGACAGTATATGAGTACATGTGCAACTGCAACGAGGGCGAGGCGAGGTACAAGCGTGCGGCTGCTGGACTACGCAAGGCAGCTGTAGAACTCAAAGGACGGGCTGAAGTTCGGGCTGAGAGATGGGTCAACTTGATTCACATAGGCGCTTGATTATAGTAATTATGTATAATATGCTCTTAATCCCGTGTCTTGCCTTAAGGATAGAACGTAGTGGAGGCCAACGTGTGAATTAAATACGTTTATTATATAGTAGTGCTTTCTGTTTCCACAGTGTCTATAATAAACAAGAATAGAAGTCTATCTAGCTAATGTACATGGTACTCTATCTACAGTTCATATCAATCTATTCATAAAAGGTCGTATCGTGTCGTATCGTGTCGTATCGTGTCGTATCATGCCAAGTACATCCCACCAATCCTAACCATACAGAGAAGAAGCAGAGCAAGATCGTCGGGAGTAGAACCTCCAAATATAATTTCCTGTCCTGGGTGCATTGATTTACCTCAATCGCGGTGTTACGCCAACCATCGGCGTTGCCGTCCCATTAAGCTCTGGACTCCGAAGCGGCTCTCGCCCACGCCACTCAGATTGCAAGCGCGAATGAACGTGCTTGAACGTTGATAGTGCACCCTTCTCTTGTACAAGTACAAGAGTCGACGCGAAGGGAGTCACATTTTTCGCCGAGGTCCTCTTTTGAGCGCCAGAGGGTCCATTCGAATCCACTAGCTCAGAGCCGACATTCGCATTGCCAGATGGCTGAGGCGGCTGAAGAGCTCCACTGGTGTTCGCGTGCCCCATAACGGGACTGAACTCGGCACGGAAACGGACTGACTTCATTGTCACCAAACCAGTTGACTTATCTACGAGTCGATGGGAGCCAGTCAAAATCGCGATCATTGAACCTTTGCTTCGTTTGAAAACTCACCATATTTCTCGTCCATCTTGCATTTAAGTACTCCCCAGCCCTGCGCCTCCTCAAGTACGACCTGACACCCAAGAGCTTGGAGAACCCGGGTAGCTTCATCGCGTGTCGCTAAACAGTTGTCGACAGAGTGCAAGACATATTGCTGTGCCTTCCAATTGAACAAGTTCGCGAACCAGCCTCTCACTTCGCCGACGGCCATAGAAGGTGCCGATAGGTGTGCCGCATGGTTGGCGGGCTCCGAGATAGTGTACGTATGCCGTCTATTCGCAGCCTGATTGTGAGACGATCTAAGTTGTGAGGTAGCTCGGCGCGTCCGTGCTCTCTTGACACCGGCTTTCCCCTGCCCCTCGAGGATAACCTCTGGCCCAACTTCCGTCTTCTCAATCTTTGCATAGCTGTCGTCTTCCGTAATGACGGGGTGTTTGTCTCGGGAGGTGTCTCCTACATGACCGCGCGAGGATACAGGTACTGGCGGAGCTGAAGAATCGTCAATGTTCTCTTTATCATGCACCCCGCCTTCCGCTTGGTGTACAAGATTTACCGTCTTCTTGTTTGGCAGACTATACTTGAACTCCATTGGAGGTCCCCGTACGTTTTCATTGACGAGTCGAAGCCTTCCTGGACTCGTGACTGCGTGTTCCTCATCAACGGCCATGCTCGAGCTTGCGTCCGTCGCGGAAATACCGTTTCCACCGTTTTCTTCCGTACCGAGTCCCAATCCGATGTTTCCTTGTCCCTGTTTCTGTTGATCTATCAGGATACCTATACTTCGCTCAACGTCGTCTAGCGTTCGTCTCAGAGAGGGATCCTCGACCTTCGGCTTCTCTAGCCATGGCACATTGTCCAGAGCATGGGATGCAGCTGCCATTCCATCGCCGACGGCGACACTCAAGGGCGGCAACTTCGGTGGTTGCGCTAGCACACGTGGGGATCCTGGGTGTGGAACATCTCGAGGAGTACCCGGCATAGACCCTCCTGTCAGTGGGTCGTACCTCTGCTGGCTATATGGAAGTCCGTCGACTGTCTGTGTTCTCGGGCGCATTGCACGACTGGGTGACGCGTTGCTGGACAAGATCACCCGCGGTGGCATGTGAATGTTGTCTACACCATCCTTCGGTGTCCTCAAATTTTTGGCGGTCGCTGCATCGGTCGCTGCAAATACGTCACGCTGCGGCACAGGAGAAGATGCAGGACGTCCCCTTGCAACTTGAGAGGAACGCGGAGTTCGCGGACCACTGGGAGAGACAGGCCGTATCCGAGAATTTAAAGGAGAAATCATAGGCGACTCTGGCTCGAGTGTGGACCCATTCGCCAGCACACGTTGTGGGGGCTTTGGGGCAAGGCGACTCGCTTGAATTTGAGGAGTATGTGAATGATACCCAACAGGTCCTGTGCGCACAGAATCCGTGATCATGTCAGACGGTGACCTTGGTGCATCTTTCATAGGTGGTGCCATATAGTGCCTAATCTGTTGCCCATCATGATAAAAGCGACTCTGCATTCCATATTCTTCAAGCGTACGTTCCCTATGCTTAGCAAGCAAGAAATATAATGCCTTAATGAGTGAGCCTTGACCAGGAGGACTGAGTAGTTCAGCAACAAGTTCATCAAGCGTGGCGCCGCCGCAGATAAGGAGAAGACAACTGAGAAGGTCCTGTTTAACTAACGCCCTAGAAGGTAAAGGCCTGTCCAACTCAGAGATAGAAGGCGGTGACACGCAGATAATCCCAGAGGTTGAGTGACTTAAGAATGGATGACTAAGGATGTCGGGCATAGTAATACGCTTTTCAACATCAACGACGAGCATACGACGAATCAAATCGGCTGCTTCAGGGAAGACGTAACTAGGTATTTCGAATTTTCCACTCTTAACCTTTAAAAGAAGAGCTCGAATACTTTTGTCATCAAACGGAAGGCGACCAGTCATCAGAGCGAACAGAATTACGCCGCAGCTCCAGATATCAGTGGCAGTACCAAGATAGCGCTCTCCTCGCACAATTTCAGGACTAGCATAGTGGGGGCTTCCGCAGCTTGTTTCTAGACGGTGTTCAGGTGGAGCGAAGGCTGCCATTCCCCAATCTGCTATCTTAATATGAGGAGGGTTGAGATTTGCTATGAGAATGTTCTCCGGCTTGAGGTCGCGATGAATGACAGAAAAGGCATGAGAATAAGCAAGTCCGTAGATAATCTGCTTGAAGTAGCACAGTGCCTTGTGAGGTTCCATTCGGCCATGGTTTACGAGATAGTCAAAGAGCTCTCCACCGTTGACATATTCCAGAACAAGGAAGAGATCCCGCTCTCCCTCGAAGACATCAAAGATGCGAACGACGTTTGGATGGTCCATGAGCTTCATCATGATGATTTCTTTGTCTATTCCATTACGGTGCTTCTCTGCCTTGGTTGCACGAGTGTTGAGAGAGTGGCGAGAGGAAAGCATATTCTCAAGTGGCAGAATCTTGACTGCAGCCATCTGACCAGACTCACAATGGCGGGCAACTTTGACGCGACCACTTGCCCCTTTCCCAACGCATTCTCCGAGAATCCAGGGACCAATCTGATGAGGGTCTGTTGGGAGATCGAAGGCAGTCCGAGGAATGTTTGCCTTCTCCTTTTCCCAGCGGGTTCCAAGCGGGGCCTTGTACTGCACAGGCTGAGCCTTCGGAGGTGAACAGGTGTTTGGCATGATTGTCGTAAAGTTCGTGAGTAACTAGGGTATCGCTGTAGAGTACTGTAGATGTGTAGGAGATGGTGGACGTGCGAGTAAAGAGCCGTCAAGTGGCTGGCAACTGCGCCAACGATTTTCACGCGCAGCTGTGCACGTGATCATTCTCAGTATCTGGCTTCAAGCATATGTGGACATCTTTTTTTTTTTCTCACGACGTTCATCATGTCGCAGCCAGCACAAAGTCCCTTGCAAGTATTTTTCGTTCCGTTGCTTGTAATCTGCTGAATATAAAGTTCAGATCTACGGTGTTTTTGCTGCACATCGCCTTGGAGATTCCTGTGGCCATTCAGGGAATTTGGTCACCCGCAAGTCTTCCGCTTCTGGAACTAAACAACACGACGATCGCTATTCTCAAGTTATACGCTGCACTTTCTTTTGCTTCCTGCATCGCTGCATTTTTGTGTTTTTCTCTGCCTGGTATGCCATTTCTCCTATTCAATTAATCGTAGTGAAATGGTAATAATGGTGCGCTACAGAGTTTCTTCCGGGAAAGCGCGCCCTCGCTATCGGTCTTACCGTATATCACTGCATCGCCTCTACTATACTATTCCAAGCTCCTCGCTTCATCCCGCATTCTTTTGGTGAATTATTTGAATCGTATGTCCTTGCACCTCTTCCATTTTTCCCTTTCGCTGATACAGATGCTATTTGGTAAAGGTTCAAACTAACGCCGGAAGTTCTCTGGGGAACATTACACGGCGTTATTGGTCTCGGTTTTGTCTCCTGGTGGCAAGCAACCGTTGCTCTCACTTCGTCCGTCCGGAAGATGCAGTAATTCATGTATCCAAGTGAATTGTATCTGCTGGAGGTACATGTCTTTTTGTGTAATACGTACGGCGGATTTAACAATAGATTATTCGTGCGTGCTTGTGCGAGAGCAAATTGCCAAAGCGTATTGATTCATCACTACGTTTTTTATGACCTTGTGCATTCACGCCGCAAAACATTTTGAATCGTCTGCTATTGAGTTACTGGATTGGGATGCTGAATGTACCAAACAATATACAAGCTTATTTATCCACCGCCCATATTCTCGTGATCGGAAGAAGTGTGTCTTGAATACGGCTGACACTCTGGATTATTTCATTTTTGCTTTCTTCACTTCATGTGGATGCTGTTTCAAGTGGCCTATGTCGGATGTAGCACATTGCTCCAACTACTCAGTGCTTTCTCATTTAATCCATCCTTCGTTCTTATCAATGAACGGAGTTCACATTTTCTCGACATCTCAAGCGCTCAGCTTACAAACATAGGCAAGTTAGTAGAGTAAATGCAGGCAGTTTTTGAATATTAAATCTGGACATATTCGCCCTGGTTTGGCGTGGCTTAATTGCTCTCGGAATTTTGTATTCTATTTATTGTATTTTGCTACCAACGCAAATCTGTTTTTTTTTCTCATTGTCAAGTATTGCTTCCGTTCGGTTCCGAAAAGAGACCTTGGGAGCACGTGACTTCGGAACGCTTACAAGCGGCATTCCGTTCCTTCTTGCACAGTTCAGCCTTGTCGCATGAAGACTTGTTCTACGAGGATTCCGGTGGCATCAACACTCATTACTCGTTGAATTTGGAAAAGAAAGCGATATGGCTGCTCCCCTGTATACAACCGCCTCAGGGCTGCTTTTCCATGCAGGAAAGATTCTTGTTCTAACTGTTGGTCTTCCTGCTCGTGGCAAGACGCACATCTCGCGCGCGCTAGAACGCTACCTGCGCTGGCTCGGTATCCGAACACTCGTCGTCTCTCTCGGCGACTATCGGCGCAAAGCTCTAGGTAGCGCACAGCAGATTCCAAAGGATTACTTCACATTAGGTGCGCATACATATACCATACAGCATCACAAGAGATTGTCCTCATCATGTGCGATCTCGGAAACACGGTGCCATGCAAGAAGGCGAAAAGAGTGAAGAAACAAAGCGATTAAGAGCTAAAGTTGCGGAAGGATGCGAGCAGCAGATATTCCGATTCTTTGAGCAAATGAATGGTCAAGTCGTTATTTATGATGCGAACAACGGTACCCGAGCAGGTCGCCAAGCAATCGCAGAGAGGTTCGACAAGAGGGGTATTCATGTTGTATTCCTTGGTAAGCTTCTGGTTCATACATTCTTCCGGTACCCTTACTTAGTGATTGACGACAGAGAGCGTTTGCGACAATGAGGAAATCATTGAAGCAAATATCCGAAGCGTCAAAATCTCATCCCCTGATGTACGTTTCTTCCGTGTGCCTTTGGATAAGAGCTGACTACCTCTCGTCCAGTATAAAGGCTGGGATCCTGAACGTGCCGTCGAAGACTATTATGGTAGGATTCGTGATCACGAACGATACTATGAACCTGTCACAGAGACCAATTGGCCATTTATTCGAATATTTAATGTACGTCATTCCGTTCTTACGACGTTACTTACCGGAGACAGGTCTGAACTCTGACTCATACAGGTGGGAGACAAGATAGAGGTTAACGTGAGCGCTTTGCAGTCTGGTGCTCTAAAACATACATAACATACATTTGTCCATCTTCGGCAGGATATCAAAGGCTATCTACAGGTAAAACAGCATCTTTCATGCGTAAGCTCGTCGCCGAAGCTAACAGCCATCTGCATCAGTCGCGTATTATCTTTTTCCTTATGAACATTCACAATAAATTCCGGACAATCTACTTTGCCCGGGTACGTCCTGACTTATGTTCCGGGGGTCAATTTCCTGACAGGAAGCCTAGTCTGGCCAATCACTCATCGAGCACTCGTATAAGGCAGATTCAGATCTATCTCCTGCGGGATGGGAGTATGCAACACGCCTTAAGGATTTCGTTCTTGAACGTCGTGCAAAGGCACTGGAAGCCAGAGGAATGAACCCTGCCGAGAGGAAGCTTGTGGTAAGCATCAATTAATCTGTCGGAACATCAAGCTGAATTGAGATTTATAATTTGATAGATATGGACTTCCGCGCGGAGGCGTGCACACCACACAGCTTGGCCGTTTGTCACCCATGCAGCCACTTACGGTCCCTCCGCAGCCCCAACGCCGGGTCTAATGAGCTCCAATCCAGGTTCCCGCCAAGGAACACCCTTGCTTACTGCCGTTACCAACTCTGCGGTGGCCGCGGGTGCGCCCCCGCCGCTACACTTGCCAGAAGCGGCAACTATTGAGAAAGAATTGCTTAGGAGACTTGGAAAAGATGGCACTTTATCGGAGCCCCCAAAATCAGACAGGCTTGCTCCGCCTGGAGATTCTCAAAATCCGGCTGCACCGAAGCGGTTATTCTCTTCAGTAAAAGTGATTGAGAAGCAGCAGATGAGCGAGATCAATCCCGGTGTTTGGGATGGCCTCTCACCTGAGAAGGCACAGGAGCTCTATCCAGAAGAATGGGCCCGCTTTTTACGCGATCCATACGCATTCCGAGCTCCACGTGCAGAAAGCTACCACGATCTATGCGGTGCGCAGCCTTCCATATTAGTTGTCCTAGGAACACGTCAACAGAAAAACTGATTCGTGCAATTGCAGTGCGACTGGAGCCGATACTAATAGAGCTGGAACGCGAGCAGGAAGATTTGCTCATTATTGGTCATGCCTCCGTCATCCGGTGTTTGCTCGCCTACCTTATTGGATTACCCGCATCCGAGATACCCGCGATTGAGGTTGCTCGTGGAGATCTGTTAGAGGTACGGCCGGCGAGCTACGGAGTGCACAGCCAAGCCTACCACTTCTGGGATGGACCAGGGAGGCGAGGAAGTAGCAGCGGTAGCGGCGGTTCTGGGTCAGCTAAGGGGCTTGGTCTGGATGCTGGTCCAGGCAAGCCGAAGTCTCGAGCTGGGAGTGCTGGTGCTATTACTCGTGACAAGGAGAAGGCAAAGCAGCGTGCGGCGAGTATGAAGGCCGGAACCGAATGGTGGGCAGCTAGCGAGACGGCCAACACAATCAAAGGCCCCACCACCGAAAGGTTAGCGCCAGGTGATGCTTTCGACGGCGCAGGTGGGTCAGGAGGCGCGTTTGGTGAGGCGATTGCAAGTGACGGCGAAAGTGACGGTGGCCAGGACGGCGACAAAGAAGAAATGCGAGATTCGCAGGAAGTCGCTGGAGAAGAGGATTCCGATTCCGACGGCTCGGCCAACTTCTACGAGAACGTTGCGGAGGACACCAGGGGCAAGAGAAAGATCGACATTGAATTTGCGCATGGAATCTGACTGGTGTTGAGGCCCTATTTTGTGTGTCGTCCAGTCATTCGCAGATTTCACATGTCTTCTAGCTATACGAAGCAGACAAACATCCATAACGAACCAGATATAACTGTACTCCGATGGTGTAATTTGTATAGACGAAAAACAAACTGTGTAATTATAGACAGAAGTGATATAAAGATTGATCCTCCTTTCCTTGCGCGCTTCCCTAGTAAGGTACAACATTACTATCAATCTTCTCTATATAACCATCACATCAGAATATAACAAAAGATCAAAATCAGGTCAAGAAGACAACCAAACTGACGCAGAACAGGCTCATCAAAGCATCACACTAGTAACGCTAAAAATTTCAACACCCATATGATGATCTGCGCATATACTCATCTATCTTCATGCATACACGCAGATAAGTGTACATATGTACATAAATAGCAAGCACATTCCTACCTCAATCTTTTGAAATCCTACATTCAAGCCGTCAAATGTACAGATCTTGCCTGCCTGCATTTTTTTTTCAAACTCCAAGCCGCTCCTAGCCGAGCCCGAGTCATCCATCAAGTGCAGAACCAAGTCTAAGACGAGACTGCACCACACTCACGAGAATGAATGCACCATACATTGATACAACGTGGTTGCAAACCTTAACAGAGCCAACCATATACATGTCTAATGTTAGTCCACTCTTGTACCCACCCAGTCAGCCTTACCCTATTACCACCTAGTCCACCCCAAACTAGACAGCAATTACTACATCCCCCGTCTGCGAGTCCCCCAGCCACACCACTCGTCACAGTCACCCTCGTTTTCGCAAGCATATTCGTTCCAGGGCTCTCCCACTCTCCTTTCTCTCACGATCTCGCTGTTCCCGAACCTCCCCCGCATGTGAAGCCGAATAGTGGTTGTGGTCATTTCAAATGGACTTGAATCACTTGATACATTTTTAGAAAGAAATTGAAATTTCAATGAGGTGGATGAGGTTCTGCGCCATCCATAGAAAGAATGAGTGCTAGTGTGCATTTGCCAAGTTGAGATGCGCGGAGCGCCCCGGTAGACAGCATGCGATGGTTCAGTTTGGTGCGGAGAAGCTTGATTCTGGAATAGAATGAGTGAGAAAGACTCAAAACCTAGGAACGCGGATACAGAAGACTTTTGTCTGCCCTTTGCTGACTTGCTACAGAGGTGCTGAAGACCGTAAGTTAGGCGACAAAACTCACCGTCGCGGTGATGTCGTAAAGCACAGAGCAGATCATCAAGCCGCGAAGACATACGAGAACCAACCAGAAGTCAGAACCAGACACAAGGAAGGAAGAGCAACGCAACTGAACGCCGTCCGTCCACGCTCAAGTCGGAAAGTGGCGCGGGAAAGAAAACAGAAACTTGGACCAAGAGAAAAACATCATCACCAGATCCAAGACAGCTAAAGTAGCGAATCACATTGTAGTTGGCTCTCGACAGCGAAGAAAAGTATCCTTGACATTTCGGATCCTCTTTCTCTCTTTTCCTTCGATAAAGTTCGCTTATGAAGATTTGAGATCGTCGATGCCTAAGTAGGAGTAACGGAACTTTAAAAATTGCTTTGTCAGAAAATGTAAATATAGGTAAATAAATAAATACAAGAATAATGTGAATTTTTACCCCGACAAACGAACAGGCATAGCTCAGTGCAGAGCGAAGTATTAGATGTAGGTATGTAGTGGTTAGATAGAGGAAGTCCAGTAGTGCTCAGTGACCGAAGAGTTGACAGCATATATGCAGGACAGGCCTGCTGTAGAAAAATGCAGAAAAATAATAAAGTTTGCTCTGACATACTGATGAGCGAAAATTTCTGCATGGCTGGTGGTGACTCTACTCATGCCAGCGACTAGGCGGGTTGTCATGTATGCTCCATGCGCGGTTATTTGCTGCAAAAAGGGAGGGCAACACTGAAGAAATCAGTCAAAAGTAGCTGGTTCATAAAGATATATAATTATTCTAACCCTACCAAGGACAATATCAGTCACTGACATCTGAAAGTTAGCCGCTAGGACTAGACAATGCAATACCGTGCTAGTGATCTTTATATACGTGAAAATCAGTGCTGGTCCGAGTTGGACAGAACTGTTCATACTACTGTTAGTAAAAAAATAGTTAATTAGTGTTAATATAGTAACTGTATATTAGAGAATAATACACACTGTGTTGTATCTGAACCAGAGTCTTTCCAGAGCCGGAACAGACACCGCAGTATAATCAGTAACACGCAAATACCAGGGGCTATACAAGTTGTAGAGTAACAATTGCTAATAGTATAAAAAATCAAAAGCAGGCCAAATAACTGAAAGCTGTATAAAATAGTACCAAACAGAATTAACAGCGTGCTTCCAGATGCCAAACTGTAGAGCGTTTCACATTAGAATTGCATTTGTAGATTAATCACCTGTAGTCAAGAGACTTTATTTAATTTTACTCTAGAACTTAGTAATAAAACATATACTTTACTAATGAACTGCTTTCAGTATGACAGTAAGATGTTCGACCCATCCGCTCAGCTTCCGGGTCGTTTGGGAGGTTTCTTCTAGGCCGTTGAGTAGATCTACATTACAATTCTAAAGTAAATATATTGACGACTTCATGTTTTGTCATCAATGATAAAGAAGTAGTCTATCATTAATTTTGGTTAATTAATAGAAGTGCCTTAGACGTCTGTGGAAGGCAGGCAGCTTGTTCGATAAATAAGAAGCCTGTTGGAAGGACATACAGGCGAGTCTAGAGGTACACGACAGGGTAAGCCAAAGACTAGACCACCGATCGAGGACGTAAGTCTGGTGCGTCACAACAGACGTCAGAAACAAACACTCGAGCGCGTCATACGAGTTCATTCAGAAGATCAGGTGAAATCAGCCTATAGTTCCGAATCCGATAAGTAGACCCTGTTGTAATGAAGGGGTCAGAGGCTAAAGAGCGAGAAGAGGTACACGATCGATGTGCGCGCGATGTGTCAAGTCGAGTCGACAACAAGAGCGTGCACATATCCGGAAGGAAATTAGCGCCTGTTTGGAGTTTTATTTGAAATGATCACTCTCCATTTCAGTTGATGAATGAATAAACTGGGAAGAAAGAAAGCGAAATGTTTGAAGCATCAGATCTCGATGAGGTTAGTAACCCATAGATCCACCGCCACTTAGTCAAGTAACCCTAGGACAAGCGCGGAGAGGTAAGGACGAGGGACAGATTTTTCCTACCTACGCATTCAAACGCAGACCCCAATAGAAGTATGGATAAGGCAGGAAGGTCCTAGAACCGTACATTGTGTGCCAAAACCTCGGCGGACGGATAAACAATGATGCAGTGGTAAGTCGAGAACATCAGCAATCGAGCAAGAAGCTCCGTCATGCCAGAAATAAACACGCAGCAACCACGCAGTAGGCTCAGATGGGCTGGCCAAAGTCAGACGGCATGACCACCCCGTTCTATTCATTCCCTCTACCTTCGCTTCCTTTTCCCTCGCTGTTTCCACTCTTTCGGACAAATGCGAAAGGCTATAATTTGCCTTTCGCACGGTGCTCAGTCTGTGCTGAGCTTTCTGTTTCTGTCCGCAGGAATGGGAGAAGCGCATACAATTGATGCAGATCAGCTTGTTGGGGCGATGACGATGATATGATGGAGATGGGTTGTATGTATGCACATTTACGGGATATTCAAGCTCACGAAATGCCACTCCGGGAAGGGCGAGTAGATACAGCCAGCCAAACTGGCTGACAGTATTAAATGGTGACGAGATATCTCGCAGATCTGCTTAAGCCCCTGTTTGGGCGCGAAGTTCGTGGAGGTGCGGCAGGTGATAGCCTCACTGTCCGGCCTTGCAGTGCCTGCCGAGGAGGCGAGTCCAGTCGCGACGGTTAAGTGGATGCGTGCATGAGTATATAGCAAGACACGCATGCAAAGGGTGGGCATTATTGGAACGATATCGTCTCGTCCGAGGCGAGACCTGAATAAGGTGCATGGATGCGGTGATAAGCATGTAACCTAGACGAGCTTAATGGACGTCCCTCGGGAGTATGATCGAGCTGCGTGCCGTAGCTACGGTATGTAAATTATGACAGGGCGCATGGATGTATGCATGCCTGCTGCACCACTATCTGCCGTCGCGTCAGATAGGCGCACAGGCGTTGTTGGTGCTTCGTCCACGAATATTAAAATTAATGCACACGTGCCCCTGGCCGTCGTCGACATCCAACGACGGACCGTTGATCGGCGGTCGCAACACGGGGACTGAATTGGCAAACATGTAAGCAGACGAGCATCTGAAAGTTCTGAATGAACCGCAAACGCAATCGCCAGAGCTTGATGCCTCGAGAAGTGCCGGTAAGAAGCATGGTCTACTCCTGTCTGTTTACGTGACAGTTGACCTGATCTTCCGCAGAGAAAGCACGTTGGACAGCGATAGGGTCCAGAGAATGCACGCCACGACAGTGGCCCACGCTCATTCGGGTCGCGGGACGACACCCTGACACCCTCTTTTCTGGCTTCTTGCTGACTCGGAGTGACGAGAAGTGAGCAGAGCATGAATAGAGCCAGGTCCAGTGCGACCTTTGATTTCTTTACCATTGTCAGAGCGTGACTACAGGAGGCAGACGGAGAACAAAGAACGCGGGAAGACAGGGCAGCAACGTATGAACATTGAATAGGAGAAAGAACCCGGGATTGTGCGATAGCCGAGAATAATACTAGCATCTTCGATGGGTGATGCTAAAGAAGGCAGTTGATCCAGAGATGGGAATGGAGTGAGCCTCGGAACCAGGGCTTCCATAATATGCAGAGGCTGAGAGGCATATGAATATAGCGCTCTGCTGGAGCTTCGAGAGGGGTGTAAACATTAGCGAGGAGACGTCAGCAGATTCTGCGAGGCTTGCCCGTGTTTTGTATTCTGACTCGAATGGGTTGTCTGATCTGTCGATCGTGGCCTAGTGAGGAAGGAGAGTGCGGGTTCGTCTGCCATGATAGCTACTTTGGTACTACTATTCAATGTTCACATGCGATGCGTGTATTCTGGCTATCTATCTAGCGACGGCGGAGTGGAGAGAGTGAGATCTGTGGATCTTGGGAAAGTAGTGTGGGAGGACCAGGGACGGAGAGCGGACCAAGAAGAGGAGGGGAGTGTGTGTGTGCTGATGGATGGAAGCAGGCCGAGCGTCTCGAAGCGTCCGAAAAACAATACAAAGAAGTGCTAGGTTAGGGTCCGTTTTCATAATATAGCCTTTCGCCTATCACGCGTGACTGGGGTTCGTCTGCTTAAACAACACAACAACACGTCCAAATACGCCTAAAAGCACGTCTGCTCTCTTCCCTCCTTCCAACGCCCATCTTGTCCTCCACTCCATCCACCATGTCCGTCGCCCTCTATGGCTATCCGTCGCGTCCACCGCCCATGAAGCGCCGTCGCACGGCCACCACCGTTCTCGCAGGCAATTTCGACCCGCGTCCACCTCGCGACGTCCTTACAAGCCTCCTCAACGGCGTCGGTCCCTACAAGCCCGTCGAAGGCGATGAGGAAGATAGGAGGGTCAGACGGTTGGAGCGGAAGAAGAGAGAGAAGGAAAAGAAACGGCTCAAGAAACAGCACGCGCGCGCAGAGCAGGCAGACGGCACGCGTCGCCAGGTCAGCATCGGCGCGGGCGCAGTCTCCGCAGGGCCATCCACGGCAACCACGGTGCATGGAATTGGAGCGCCAACAGTCAACAGCAGCACGTCGTCCTTCTGGCGTATACGCGGACCCGCTGTTGCCCCTACACGCTCCGTTTCACCCACACCGCCACCAGAACTCTCCTCACCACCAACACCCGGCCCGTCAATTTCGTCAACCATGTCCTTCGGCTCCTCCAAGCGCCCACGCACTCCTGAAGATGGCCGTTCACTTCTCGACCATGCGTTTGAGTCGTCATCGCCTCCTCCGCAGCCCAAGCCGCGCAAGAAGCGCATTGCCTCTAGGAAAGGTTGGAAGGGTTGGGTTGAAGGTTCCCCGCCGCCTTCGAACAAGTTAATCAACCTTGACGAGGCCCCTGTGATGGTAGAAAGGCGGCTGCGCAGCGGCAAGAACTTCGATGCCATTTCTGAAGGCAAAGATACCTGGGTCACTCCAAGTTCGTAATTCCCGTGTCCAAGCTGTCCCCTACCGCCTAAAATTCTAAAACCTCGTCTCTAATTACCAAGGTCCATACTCGTCTTAACCGCCGAGGAATCAAAGTCATAACTCTCGCCTCCATCTTTCTACGATTTATCTCGAAAACGCTAAGGACCTTATCAATTGTCTTGCTGTCGTCTAATCAGCGGTTGTTTCCCGTATCCGTGTGCGATTCCTGCTTCCTCTTTTCTTTGTTCAACAACCGCTGGATGTACTTTATCATTGTTTTGGGTTTGGTCTTCTTTTTCACGGCTCTTGTTTCTCTGTTATCTAGAACTACTTTGATTTCACTTTATTGCCCTTTCAACTGCTATCGTCGCTCTATCCGTAGTATACCTGGAATGTCGCTGCCTTGCTAGCAAGACACTGTCAATTTGTCATCGCCGTGTGCTGTCCGAAGTCTTGCATTTTTTTCTTTGAACAAATGCACCATCAGTGACGCCCGCATGGCGTCAGCGCCTAAGTTCTATTCAAAATCCACCAGATGCCGTACAATTAATGCTTACGGAACCAGAATGCAGATTGCTAAAATGTTATAGTGGACATTGAAACTCCTACCCGCGAAAGTGCCAGCGCGCAAGCCCCACAAGCGACCATCTTTCCAGTATGCGGAGTAAATGATTCAAAGACACTGACGGGGACGTTGCGAGGAAGCCCTTAGTCACCGAGGCGGGCTCAGCCGGTGCGCGTGCATGCCAACGATCCCCCTGACTAACCGATCGATCAACCGTGCTTCCACTTAGAGACATTCTCCGCGCAAAATGTACGCGAACCACAAACAAAATCTGTCCTGTCATCCAATAAGCTCCAGCCCCATAAGTGGCCCACGTCCAAGCAATTAATTTGCGCGAATTAGCGCATTCCACGTGTAGAGTGTAAGGGTCTAAGTATTCCGTTCTTCTGGGTTGTTTGTGGGTTCTCTTTGTTTGGTCTCGCGAATTTTATTTGGCGCCGTTTTTCTTCCAGAATCGGAAGCAAACTCTGATCCTGGTTACGGTAATTAACACGAGCCGTCACACGTGTGACGCGTTACGACCACTGATGAGAAATCATTTTCTTTTCCAGACCTGTTTCTGACTCCGACTACTCGCAGGTCGCAACTCGCCTCTTTCATCACTCTGTGTCTCGGAGGCATCTGCTTCATCGCCTTTGATTTGGAAACTAATATTGCAGTTGCAGCTCTGTGTCGTACCGGGAGACCTGATATCCGCTACGCAGTGCTAGTGCTATCTCCCCGTTAGTCAATTCCCCCCCTCTCCATTATAGCTTCCGTTTTAGTCCTTTCTCTTCACACGAAAGGAGCAGCGTGTTATTGGTCACTTATGAACGCCGCTTCTTACTTTTTCACGAGACTTTCATTAATATCCCTCCGGTCTTTCTTCTGTTCACTACTGACACAAGGCTCTCTTTCTCTGCATCTGTTAAGATTTGATAGAAGATAGGAATCGAACGCGTCGATTTGGCTCAGTTGCAATTTTTCCCCCCGTTTTTTGCACTCGCGTCACTTGTGATTTCTGAGTTCGCCGGTCAGCTCAGAACTCCAGAAGGGTATTCTGTGCTTTGAGATCTCTGTGATATATAAGCTTAATCAAGGAGCTTATTGCATGACCACTCTTCCCTCATCATTTATAACGGTCTCTCAACTCCCTCCAGGCTGCAACTCATTTCCGCGACGCGAACTCAGCGGATCGTCAATTCCTTCGTGACGTTCCCCGAGCTGTATCACTCCTTTAGCATATCCTATCTAAACGGTACCGCTCTGACTATCGCGGACCACTCTGCATCACCGCAAAGTTCAAATTATTAGGATCTACTGGTTCCGATCTCAAACTCCGTGCTCCGGACTAGCGCTGACTCGGACCCCACGGACAATTAATCTATTCTCGACGCAAGGCATTCAACCATTCCGCATCAACAGGACCATTTTCCGTTTCAAGTCTTCAGATTCGTACTGCTAAGCTATTCAAAAGACGAGGAGCGCCAAAACTTTAGTTTTGGAACTTTCTTTTTACGTTACGTTAACGATGGCACAAAGTATGGCTTCAATGGTATTGCCCGCGCCGCCTTCTTGGTACCCGGGCCACATGCGCCAGTTCATGCGTAATCTACCCGCCTATCTCAGTCGTACAGACGTCGTACTCGAGCTGCGCGATGCCCGCTTACCTTTGACGAGTATCAACTCGACGTTCGAGGGTGGGTGTGTGATTTTTACTTCCGTGCCTAACGTTTTTATTTCCCGACCTTCGTTTCGCGAAATTTTTTCGATGCCGTTTGGATATCCGTCTATTCAAAAAGCCGATTTCCAGAAGCAAATACGTGTTCGTCAATCAGGCGTCATCAGGCCCCTGGATACGCTGTTGAACAAACAAACAGACTGCGCTGATGCAGTGGATTTGCAGCGCCGAAGAGCGATGCTTTGTTTGTCATTGATCATATTGGCTCTGTCTGAGCGCAGTTCTTTGCCGACCGGCCAAGCTTACGCAAAGCCCCTTTCTTGCCCTTCCATTACGAGTAACCGCTTTGATTGTATTGACCTGGATTGATGTTTCATCACGTCAGTGTTGAATGACACTCTTGACTGACATTCATTCTGTCTTCTTTCCCCATCATTTAGGCGTTCTCCGAAAATGGAGGCATGAGCGTCAGAAGCTTGCACAGGCGTTTTCTAATTCGAGTAACCAGCCGTTGAGTGGAGCTGGTCCCTCATTGCGTGGACATTCGTCGCTCGTTTGTGAGCATATAGTCGTCATGAATAAGCGTGACCTAGTCCCGGAGTGGGGAATTGAGGTACGAACTTTCCCTGTCCTCATATACGTTTTCGGTATTGCTTACGGCTGATCTTTTTTACCCTCTCATGGAATGTCTATCGATCATGTCTATACTCCGTAGCCATACCAACGAGCAATGGTATCTAGATTCCCCGACCAGCAGACTATATTCGCATCATGGAATCGGCCTCGGGACGTCAAAAGTCTGCACGAGACACTCGTGAGTACGTTCATCCTTATTTGTTGTTCAATTATTTGCTTGGACATGTCACTGACTGTATGACGTTATTACTGTTGTCCTCCAACGCCAGGCATAGCTCGTGAGAACGCGCATGTGTCTAACGAGTTGAACGTCCTTGTTGTCGGGATGCCGAATGTTGGGAAATCGACATTACTCAACGCCCTTCGGAATGAGGGAATGCCGGGACGTACGTCTGTTTTCTTCCGCCTCGCTTATCACGTTTTCATCATGCCTATTATGTCACTGGATTAACGAACAACTCGGTCTATTACAGCAACACCCAAAGCACTTCGTACATCCGCGTTCCCTGGACTAACAAAAGCGTTATCAACGCGTCTCAAACTATCTCAAGACCCGCTCGTCTATTCTTTCGACTCGCCCGGGGTGATGCTCCCCTTTCTCGGGAAGGGTGAACTCGGTGCGGAGAGGGGAATCAAGCTTGCTCTTATTGGTACGCCGTTTCTCCGGAAATGCATCAACGCCGGGTGAGATGTTTTACTGAGTAAGGTCGCGAATAGCTGGGATTAGGCAAGGTCTTTATCCCGACGAGACGTTGGCAGAGTACTTGCTTTATCGGCTTAATTTATTGAACCCTGAAGGTTCGTCTTTGTGCTTTTTCGTCCATATCATTACACTTGCCTTCCAATTTTTTAAATAAAATTTCAATGCGTACCTGGATTCGATATACCCTAATATTCGCTCCTTCTTTCAGAACCTGCATACCTTTCTGTGCTTCCCCCAGGCACATCACCGACAAATGACGTATACTACTTTCTCGATTTACTAGCGCAACGCCTACGCATGCTGAAGCGAGGTGGGGACCGTGATACCGCGCGCGCGGCGGAATGGTTCGTGCGATGGTGGCGAGAAGAGGGTTGTGCGTTATCTGCAAACGCTCCGTTTTTACCGTCGACGAGTTCTGTCGGTTCTGACGCGGGGATAGAACCATCCGGTGCACCTGCAGACTCAGACTCAGATGCAGGTTCGCTATTACATGGGAATATTACGTCGACATCGAAGGCGCGACGTGGAGGATGGGGCTTCGACTTCCAATGGGAGATAAACGACGCAGATTTGAGCTGGAGCCCTGACTCAAACTGGAGCAACGTGCAATCCGACGAGAATACCAAGTGTATAGTCCAGCGAGAAATGGGACGTGTGATTGATGAGTTCGTACGACGTACGGAAGAGGAAGAAAGGGATGGAGGGTCCGTCTCAGCTACCCAGTTGAAGAAACTCAAGAAGGAGGAACGAACTGCGAAGAGGGAGAGGCGGGTGAGGGATATGCTAGCTAGACGACGGTCTGGGTAGAGTTGAGGTACCTACTTACTCGCGCCTATATCTGAGGGAACAGCAATTGGCCAGTTTCTTGAGGACTCCCCCCCTCACCAACAGCTCGCTTACTCATGGAGTATACTACTATCGTACCTAATACTGTAGTAATGCAAGAACACAAGCCGGGACCGAGACCACCTCTTCCTCTCTTACTTCTTGACTCGTACGTTAGGTTCACCTCGGAAGGTTCACAGCTTTCGGGGTTGTGAACTTATATACTATACATACAAATAAATTCTATATTATTCCAGGAACGACCTTTAGGTTACTCTTCCCGCTGCAGCCGCGGAAGTCCTACGGTCCGCCTTGGTGCCGCTTTTGGCTCGGTAGTTAGTGGTCCAACAGAGTGTTTAGAAGCAGTCTCTGTGGACGGATGGCCGGAGTTTACAAGAGTTTTACGAATAATCTCAAGATACAACGACTGATGAGTAGTGAGTTTGAAATGCTTTGTCTGTCCTATATTGCTGTCCACTGACTGAGACACTAGGGTGAACTATTGGTTAGTAATATATAATAGTGGACAAGAGGACTAATAGCTCAGTGGTAGAGCGTGGGATTGCAGATCCTAAGGTCGGGTGTTCGACCCACTCTTGGTCCTTCACCAGGAACTAGGTATGTTTTTTTATTTTATTTAAATAAAGTTATTTTCCCCTCTTATTCTGCAGCACCACATCCCACTCTCAGTAAAATCTGAGCACTATCGACTGTACAAACCCCAAGGGTTCTAATGTATTACCTCTGATTCCCAAGTTATCCATTGGCTGAAAATTGGACTAAGAGACACTTTGTATTTTCAGTCACGATAGGTTTGGGTCATTGCAGCGTATTTTGGCAAGTTTGGAGGAGAGTCGTGTAGGATGTAGTTTATGGCCTGTTATAAATGACGTGTGATAGTAGAATGTTCCTTGACGATTGCATTCAAGTTTCCCGAACAGTTTTCAAAGCAATAAATAGATTTGCATGTCAGCAGTAAATGCAACACTATTGTGATCTCTTTACACGGCGGACATACTCATCAAGAAACATGAAGGGTGTATCATCTACTTTTGGTTACCTTCCGTCCTCCATTTCGCCAACGAGTTAAGAGCCCGGTTACCCGTGAGGATCGTTACAGAGCCCAGAATTGCACCGTATGCCAAAACCTGTCCGAGATGCAAAGCAACCCAGTACCACAAAAGTAATCCTTCAAATGCGCCGAGGAGACCGACGAAAGTGAGGATTTGGGGTTTGAAGAGGTATGGAAGTTTGTGTGGGATTTGCACGAGCTGGTTCGTCGTTGATACGATATTATTTAGAATTGGTTAGAGAACCGAAACATATTAATAAATATAAATAATTCTTTTCGCAAGAATGGAACAGATGACTTACGAGAGTGAAAAGAACGAGCCACGGAGCGAGTACGACGCCAGCGAAAACTGCACTGATGAACCTTGGTGGGGACTTGGGTTCTGGACGGAATGTGTGATGGATCTCAGGGAGCGGGTGGAAGGTTGCTTCTTCCGAGTGCTGCGGAGCGGGTGCGGAAGGAGGGATGGAGAGGTCGAAGAAATGCGCTTTGAGCGGGTCGTGTACGAAGGAACCGATCAGGAGGGAGACGTGCAGGGGTGTGTCGCCGGAGGGTGGTAAGGAAGGTGGTGGGCGGGCCATGTTCTACGGAAATGAGATGATAAAGCAAGCAGGTAAGAAGGGTTAATATGAGTAGGTGGATGAAAAATGATGATAATAATACGCACGAGCTCGAACTTGGCCTTCCCTCCGGAGTTGACACGGATTGGTTGGATACCTTCTTCACCCGTCGTCTCATCATAGAAACGAAGGAATGTTTGGTGCGGTTGCACCCCCTTGCTGTCTTTCCCTTTCTCTGTGATTGAGAATGTCAACTTGAGCCTGTCGGTTGGACCTAGTGCTAACGGCGTCGAGGGTAATTTTCCACCAAAGTCCAAACTAAATAAATTCATGGATTTTTAACCATGTATCATAAAAGACAAGTCAGAATCGTAGAGCGAAGCATTACGCAGCAATGACACGTACGACTCTGCACGCAGCTGCGTGCCTTCGGAAGACAAGACCGACACAGCGGCATTTTGGACGGCAAGCTTTGCTGCACTAGCTAACGCAGCTAGTATAGGGAGTAAAATGAGTGAACGAGCCATCGTTCGTTTTGAAGTTGCGTATGAAGTTACTTTTCGTTGCAAGACGCGTCGAGGCAACTGACACGCTGCACTTACAGCGCATCCTAATTGGGAAATCTGTGTCGTGGCATGTGATCGACACATGTAATAAAAATAGAATTCGGTCTGACGTGAAAGTCTACGTATAACTCAAAGAACACAGTATTCCGTAACAGCACTGTTCTGACCTTGCTTTGGGCCTATTACATTGAGTATTTGATGAAACATACATTGTTGCATCGGAGAATACGTCGCACAAAGAACGTTCTGCCATTAGCCTATTACGGATTTATAGCACTTGTTACTTATCCGCTCCTACATTCAAACGTCCCGTTTACGAAAGCTACGTATTCAGCCTCCGCACATATCGCCTACTCATCAAAGTAAAACATTGATCCATGCTCAAACGTATTTCGTTCTGGACATTGTAGTCAGTATCATTTTACGACAATTACTGATTCCACTCACATAACAATCGACATGTACATCATAAATCCTCTGGAGTCAATCAAGCTCCTATGTGGATCAGGTTAACCCATCTCTCGGCGCGAATATCGTCTCGCGTTTTGAGCTCTATAGCTGCTTTGCGAAGTCCAGCAGCCGCGCGCTTATACCTCGCCTCGCCCTCATCGCAGTCGCACATGTACTCATATACCGTCTTGGCAAAAAAGGGCCCGCCCACGTCAAGTAGTTCCCACATTGATCTAATAACACTTCGAAACCCGGAGAACTGCATTGCTGCAGCCAAGTGGAGCACTTCGTCGAATGTGAAATTGAGAGGCTGCTCAGCAGTATGGCAGGCGGAAAGGAACGCGGACTCAGCATTCGGTGGTTTCTAATCCTCCATGGCAAACAAAGTGGACCCATCTCGTCTCCCGTAATGCTTCCATCACAGCATCGTGAGATGCTTTGCTACTGAGCAATTTAGTCTGTATGCCACAATTTTTGATGCTGCGAATATCCTTTTTAGCTGACGAAAGCGATGTATCACAGACAACAAGAGCGGGTGATTCTTCTCCATTTCTGCATGATGACTGTGCATCGATGAGTGCTCCAAGCGTCGGAGTATATGACGAGATGTATTTGTCTAATAGATACTTCTTAGTGCAGTCTGTATCCTCGAACGGACCTGCGGCGTGAAAAGGAAGCGCAGACAACATGGATGTAGGGCACCACCAAATGCGCGATCCTTCGGCGATTCCGAGCTCGTTTAATTTGTCTACAATTGTGGAGACAACTCTATCCCACAATGCCTTCATCGCTCAGCGGAGTATCTCGTCATATTCTGCTGAGTTATCCCCAGAGGTCATGCGTGTTCCCACGAGCTCGCCGTACAGCTGAATGCTATCATTGTGAAACTCTCCATCTAATGGGACACTAACGACCGGGAGATCCTTGCGGGAGAGGATAATGAGCGCATCGCATCGATATATGCTATGATTAACGACAATGACTGGACTCAAGTATCTCTACAGCATATACTACTGCATCTAATGCGAGTGTTCCATAGTGGTGCTCATGGTGAAGGAAGCTGTGCTGTGCATGAAGGGTAGGACTAATGATCAGGACATGTTGCAGAAGCGACATTGTTGCCTTGTACACTCTAGACTTGGTACAGTGAGAATGATGGTGAGCACGGCTAGCCTAAACAGAGGCAATACCGAGACGATCCATCATGCTCGAAAACGTATACGCAGTGGCACGTTCAAGTAATTACCTACACTCTTCGAAATCGTCCTTGAGTCCAAATGGCTGGAATCGAGAGAATAATGGACGACTCAAATTGCTCAGTGATCGGGAACGATCGCGACGGCCGCCGGGACAAAGCTCCACAGCAGTACGATGATGCCTGATGGCCTCATCGAGCTTGAATGGAAGCTGCAAGGATACAAAGAGACACATAACGACTGGGATGGTGGTCTGACTTTAGTACTACGGCAGTACGAAAGAGTTCAATTGCCTCCTTTAGGTCTGCGCTTCTCCCGCAATACTCAAATCGCGTGCTAAGAAAAGATCCAAGGAGATCCATTGCATCGGAGCGAAGTGGGTATCCTACTGCACAAAGTCCTAGTGCAATCCGGCCATGAAAAATAGACCTGTCAAGGTCTTCCAATTCTCCCGATTGCCGATAGCAGTTCCAGTATTTTTTGGCCAATTTGGCCAGCACACGGTAAATCAAATCAAGATCCACAAAGAACACAATCATGATGTAGGAACGGTTTTGAACAATTCTAATTCTCTTTGAGTGGCCTGTATGTTCAGTCTAAAGGGGGGAAACATGTAACAAAGGATGTATTACCTAGAGCCTTCCAGGCCCTTCCTTTGTCCTTGAAGCCTGGTAATGTTGGTAGCTGCCCTCCACACAAACCCCCCTCCCCCCCCCCTGTACGTGGTACGTACAAAACTCTTCTTCTCTGCCGCTTGTAGTATGCAACACAGGTAGACTGTCCGAGAAAAGTAAGTGGCCAGTGTTGCCCTAAGCACCATTACAGCATACTGTATCTCTGTCAGACTGTAGGACATTGGCTCAAGCCTTGGGCAGAACGTGAGTATTGAGGGCAGAGGTTGGGCACTCTTCTACTACACTATATACATATGCTAAAAGCACCTTGGAGCTGTGAACATAATTGATACTGAGGACAAAAGAGGGTGCAGATGTGAGAAAGGACTTGGATGAAGTAGATCATGGAATCTTCTACAAAAATCCCACAGTGCCTTCACAACTTAAAAATAAATGTAGTGACAAATAAATGATGGTTTCTAGTTGGCTGCTAGAGTTAAATATGTTTCTGCTTAGAAAATTCAACTTACATAACATGTTTGAGTCACTGTTCGAAATTCTCAGAGTAACAGGAAGTACTTGTTGCTGAAACACAAAGAACCTACTAGCCCTGCTCAATTCTTGTATCTGACGAATATTTACCTTGGCAGAAGGAATGTTAGGGAGGGTAGATCTAGGGTCTACTTCCATTTTGAGTAGGATCTCTGTGTGTGCCTTAGAAACAGCAGACACACCTTGAGGAGGTGTATTTCGTGTATTTTGCACGTCAGAGAATGAAACTAAGAGAACGGCTGGTCCAGCAGCCTTACATAGATCTAAGACATGAGTGTAGGTATAGATAATTGTTAGAATAATTGAGACACACATGAAAACATGCTCTGCTACCACCATCTAGCCAAGTTACAGCATATTCTGAAAATATTTGGTCTACTTGTCCTGTTAGATGCTGAAACTGATGAAGAGGCTTGGGAAGGCCTTATTTTCATTTTAATTGCATATCAACTTTGACCACAAAGTGGGCCAAGAGGCTCATATACAGCTGTCAAATCTGATGATTACATGTATAAACTGTTACACCATTATTCTACTAGGTGGTTTAAGTCTCATCTCAGGTATGTAGTTAACATATAAAATATTGGTCTGTAGGCTCCATGTCAACAGTGAGACACAAGAAAATAGAGCAGAAATGTGCATTTTTCTTCAAAATCTCTACCATCATGGACTGGTCCTTGTAACACCACCATTCCTTGTAACACCCTATACATAGTACCACTACTCACAACAATTTTACCTCAAAAAATATATAAATGAATTTCTATTATATCTTCCTAGTGTATGTAAAAAAATTGTGGTAAACAGATTAGAATTTGTTGAGCTATGTTGAAAATAAGGGTAAAAACTAGATAATCAAGAAAATGCTCAGATTTTCCAGTGATAGTCATGGCTCCTCCTACAACACAACTTCAACTAAAAAATACAAGACTATCTGTTATGTTAAAATAAGCATACATACAAATTTTTAGACAATTTCATTAAGATTTGCAATTTATAAAAATTAAAAAGTACAAATCACAGTTTATTTTAGTCACATGACTGTACTGAGCAATATTCAGTCAAGAGATACACTCATTACCAAGGGCCACACAGTTAAAATATTGACTTAAATATCTGAGTATACTAATATAGAAGTCCAATACAAATATTATATTGCTTTAATGACTTTAAAAATAATGCAGACAAGGTAAGGTAGACAAAAGATAAACTCGACAAGCTGTGACAGTAACGTGTCACGGACTCGCTTAACTAATTAGGAAGGACCCTAGCAGCGAAATTTACGAGAGGGCAAGGCAAAAAAAATATTATCAGTATTTTTTTTGTTAAATATACATCTACATCTTATCTACAGTTTTCTGTAACAGTATATATGATATGAGTACCTCTTACTGGCTCACTAAGCCTGCTTTCTGTTGAGACAATTATAGTATGTATTAATAATATTACGTAGTTGCCATATATGGGAGGTATTTGTCATAATGTTGTAGCCGAGGACGGCGAAATTTGACAAGAATTTGTAGAATTTTTTTTGTGTGTGGCAAAATAACAATCAGGTCATTTAGAGCAAAAAATAGTCTTTTGGAAATAACTTGGTCATTTTTTATTTTTTGAAAATCTGTTACATCATTCTGTAGAAAAGCATAATTCTAACAATTCTATGGTGCTACTTTGTGGATTTCGGCTCTGTGGTTGAACGAGTTTCCTTGTCATAGTTTGTGTCTGATTTAGGCAGTTCAGGGTAGATCACGTGCATCACACAGTTAGTTGAGTTTATGTTTTGTCTCAGACTTGACTTTCTGCATCCAAGCCCTGAGTCTCACAGCTCTTTTTTGGACAACCCTGAATGGCCACTTACATAATACTTATGTGGTGGCTCTCAGACTAAGAAGTTAGGAGGGGGGGTTTGAGGGGGCAAAGCCACCCCAATTAGGTTTAGGATAGGTTGGGCTGTTAGGTTGGGTATTGGCTAGGCTTGGGGATAGGATTAGGGAGGGGAATATGTATTTTCATTAGAAAACTGACTTTATTTTGACTTAGTGAAATACAAGTTGGACAGTGAGTGGCCAATTCAGACTAACCAAAAAAGAGCTGTGGGACTCAGGGCTTGGATGCAGAATTGACACAACTGTTTTGTCTACCTTAGATTACTTGTGTGTACATTGTGGGAAAATGAGTGTTACAAGGAATAGTGACATGCTCTTTTGGGCACAAAACATCTATCCTTTATATCTAATTTATTTCTCATTTATTTGTCACAGAAATTTGTAGAGTAATGTTAAACAGTATTTATTTTCATCTAGTATTTTTTGTTTGAGGTTAAAAGGTGTGAAAATGAAGTAAATTCAGAATTAAAATGTAGTGTTACAAGGACTGGTCTATGACAGTATATTAGGTCTGCTTACTCTATTTACACTTTTGATTGTCCGATGGAATGATGGATCTGCGCTACTTAAGGTGCTCATTTCTTAGCTGTATTTCTCTCCCTGTATTTACCGGTTTCTACTCTCTTCCGACTCCCGGTGACGTGCCGGGAAACAAAATACAGAGCATCAAAAACAAGAATTGAGCACAGCTACTCCGAGTCAAATGGAAGCAAGCCAGCAACCCAATATGTACAGCATTTGAACTCAATCCGGTACAACACGTATCAGTGCATCACAAATGAAATGACCCACACGCTACAGATAGTGTACCCCATTTATTAAATCAATATTATGTGATCAATGTATACAGGATTAGGAGTAGTGTCACGGTCGAGAGTTATGGTAAAACATGCAACTCCTGGGCAAAAGACTCGGAAGTAACCAGGATTTTAAATCATGTATATTATTTGGGCTTCTATTCTGTGAATGCAATCGTTTTATGTGCTGACTTGTTGGAGAACACGGTCTGCACAGGAGACGATTCATTACATGTATGACAAACATATGATTGCATAGTATCATGTTATATTATATATACAGCGTTGCGACGGTGATCATAATATAATAGTCCTTAGCTCACTCTGACTCGGACGCGCAAACCTCCTGGCTACGTGCATATAGCATTATCATGTCTAAGTTTCATGCTAGTCCTCGCGTACTTCCACTAATCCCACTCACTCATCTAACGCAATTCCTCTCACAACATCTCTCCACTCATCCAAATGGGTCAAAACCGCGCTACACTTCTCCCTAATGTTCGCTTCAGCATCCGCGCCTAGCACCAGTAAGCCTGGAGTAGACCAGTCCCTCCCACCACCAACATCATCATTAGCCAATCCCTTCACACCGTACTTGTCGTCGGTGACGTAGTTAATTATCGCATGTGCGCATTTCTCTGCGTCTCCGCTGCACACGACGGAGTCCATCCATTCGATCTGGCGGGTTCGTAGCTCTGCGTAGTCTGCGATGTGTTGCTCTTCGGTAGTAGTCCGTGAGTTTGTGAGGGAGGGTGATTCTGTAGCAACTGCCCCTGATGGTGTTTTGTCATTGAAATTCTGCGATCCCGATTTGGGGATTGATGGTAAGAGCGCTTCGGGAGCCGTCGGGAGGAGAGACATCTTTTTCCAGTTTTGTGTACGCATCCCGCCTGGGAGGACGTTTAGCACTTTGATGTTGAATTGTGCTACTTCGGTCGAGAGAGCTTCCGCGGCAGCTGTGTTTTTGTAAGGAAAAGTAATCAGCTTTCATGAGAGAAGTGGATTGGCATGAGTAGAACCATCGGCTTACCTATAAGTGCTGCTTTTGATGCAGCGTAAGTTCCTGATTGGTAAGTGCGCGGAATATGAGTACATTTTAAGTCATTTTGGTGTTCAAGGTCACTAACCAAGCATCTGCAATACAATGAACGGGATTCATTAGATTTTTTTCGAATTAAGAAATCACTGTTCAATGTCTACTTACGGGGACATTAGCTCTCCACGACGAGCGACTCCCCACGAATACGATAGTCCCTTCTCTTTGCGCCCGCATATACGGTAAGAACGCATGAGTGACGTTCATCGGCCCGAAGAAGTTCGTATTGAATTGCGTTTGATAGCCTTCGACACTATAAATTTTCATAAAAAAAGTTAGCTCTCAACTCAGTCTCTCTCGAATATCATAAAAAGAGAATGATAGAATATGCGACAAAAATTATCAAGAGGAAGTCATAATGAGATGAACTTACCCAACTTCCTCAGATATCCCAAGCATCCCAACACCAGCATTATTCACAAGTACGTCGACACGTCCCCACCTTCCTACCGCTTCCGATGCTAATTCGCGCATATAGGCGAATGGTGCGGTGACGTCGAGACTCATGGTGTGTATTCTATCCTTCGTCTCTGGACTTTACACGAACGCAAACGGATATGTGAATTTAGCGCTCTTAGTTTCTCGAGATAAAAAAACGGGAGTAAGGATATAAGAATGACTTACTTGCTTAAAATTTCACGAATACTATCGACGCTTCGGGCGGTTGCGATAACGCAGTCTCCGCGTGCGAGGGCAACGTGGACTAGTGAGCGGCCTAACCCTGATGAAGTGCCTGTGAAAGCGAATTGTAAGTCATAGATATAATTGTAAGTTGAGTTAGCTTAATTATGTATATTTTGTGCTTCGAAAGGTGTGATGCTTTGCGTTTCAATAAAAACGGTTGGATACACACCTGTTATGACCCATACTAATCTCCTGGAAGCTCCATCGTACTGTTTGTCTTCGGAGTTGGCACTAGGAGACATGAGGAAGTCGACACTGATACCGGGCTACCAGCTAGCGATGCCTCTTTGTGTGTCTATAGGTCGCGTCTCGAAGGATGAAAGGGCAACCAAGCTCAAAATCTTCAAAATAGAATGAAAACTCGACAGTAGAGGAAGATGGACTGCTCGTTTGGTCGTCGAGTAAGAAGGAATATCACTGTTATCTTCTCAACTGGTCATACAGAACGCGCACGGGCCGGAAAAGAAGTGATATGCGACAGACTATGATTAGCACAGAGTTCAGCGAATGATAGATCTCGGGTTGATGGGGTGGCAGCAATAGTGAGAATGTTAACACTTAGAGGCAACTAATCAAAGTACATGCGACTTGATTGCTAAGTTGCGTGGTTAGACTCCGAGTCGAGTCATTTTTCCAAAGTTCGCTTGTTTGTTTGTTTCATTTAGACGCCGAAGAATTCTTCCGCATCCGCATGATCAACTAACTGAGGTACGTGACTAATAGGAAGAATAACAAAGGACGACAAATCACATTTTAAGTTAGCAGAGGCTGGAAGAGGCTTTGACTTGCTTGCTCTTGGAGCGTTCTGTATATTAGCACTACACCACCGATTCATCTTATTTCATGATGGCAGTAGAGGAATGCATGTGCATGGAGATTCCTATATTCATAACGCATGCTAGAGGGTGGAAAAGGTGTAGAATGCAAAAGTGTACATATAAAGGAAATCATGCGACGAGTTTTACGACACCGCCTGCTTCCTTAATTTTTACTCTGTCAAATGTAAAATCAAAAATCGAACATAGATTCTGGCGAGTTAGAGGACAACGTACTCTGCGCGCTTTGACACGAATCGTGCTTTTACGATGCAAGGCAACTTCGGAAGCCTAAGACAAACGCATAAGCACCACCCCATACAAAAACCGAGTTTAGATATGCAACGTACAATCCATTCCCAAGCACCTTAGTATACCCCGCCGCCAGAGTATCAATAACCGGCACAACATCCGAGCTCTCGGTCAATCCCTCTTTCTCTTCCTTAGGTACAAGCGTCCATAACTTGTCCACATTAATCGGGCGGCTCCAATATTGGTTGCGCGTGATGCGGAAGTATCGCATACCGACTTTACCGAAGTAACCAGGATGGTATTTGTCAAAGTTCGTACTACGCGAAATCATGTCAATATTATTGTACGTTGGAGAGAATAGAGTAAGGAAGACTCACCGGTGGTGATGAGCACCACCAGCAAGACCACGACCACCTGGGTGCTTGCGATGCTTGCCTACACGACCGTGACCAGCGGAGACATGTCCGCGGTGCTTGCGAGTTTGTGAGAAGCGGGTCGGCATCTGGAAGATAGCAGAGTGGTTAGCCTGTGTGTTCAACTAAGATACCGTTTCGCCAGCCAGAGTATCCATGGACGATGCGCGCCATCCAACACCCAATCAACCAATCCATCCTTTTCTTCCTCGTCCAACGTTCTTCCGCTCTTTACGATTGTTGGATAGCACTCCATGGACGACAACTGGTCTGGCTAACAGCAGCGAAGAGTGGTATTCACCTTTGAATGTCTTGAGGAGGTCGGGTCACTGTCTTCCTTGTCCCTCTCTGTCCAGTCAAACACAAATTCTGCGCTACTTCCCAATTTGGTATCTGCGTCACGAGTTCGTTCGTGTCATGTCACGCTTTGAATTTCTGACTACAACGCGTCTTTCGTCTCTTTTCAATCTGCTTCCATCCACTGCTGGTGAGTCTCAATTTTCTAGTGTTTGTCATTCGAATATGATGGTGGCTATAAGCCAATATTTATTGTCGTTGACTGCTTATGATAACAACATGTCCAATACTCTGACTTCCTACATTTTCTTCTAACACAATCCACGAACTTGTTGCTGATTTCCTCTATCAAAATGTGCAGTAGAGTGAAGCACCATGAACGCTATCCAACGACACGAACTTTATGTACTCGAGGAGGGCGAAGAATGGTAAGAAAAACCTACAACTTCTCAATGACTATCGTTTAATCGTTTACTGACGACTTGACCTTTACGCTAGGGTAATGGTTACAGAGGACACCAAGATCCCCAACGCAGCAACGATAAAAATCCGTAAACAGGATCATACACTCGGGAACATGCTCAGGCAGTACGTCCCACCTCCCCTCCTCTCACCTCCTCTTCACCAGTATCACCCACTAACAACGAACACGTTCCAGTCAACTCCTAGCAAACCAATCAGTCCTCTTCGCAGGCTACAGAGTCCCACACCCTCTCCAACCCTACTTCCTCCTTAAAATCCAAACAGATGGTACGATCACACCAAGTCAAGCTCTCGAAAAGGCTTCAACGGATTTGATTGGTACGCTTACTACGCTTGAGACGAAGTTCCGTAGGGAGTTTCAGTATCGTGATTTGGAGAGGGCGGATAACGCTACTGCTGCTGCTACTGTTGGTGGTGGTGTGGGTGGATTAGGAATGGGTGGTGGTGTTGGTGGAGGGGGAGGGGACGTGGGGATGGATGCGAGCGGTGGTGTGTATGGAGAGGGGACTGCTTGGTCGAGTAATGCGTATTTGGATATTGATGGTTGATTTTTGGTGTGTTCTGTTGGATCATTGTGCTCATACATTCTATACTTTTTGCATTGTATCATTATGGCAAAAGCATGTATTTTCTTCGTGGCGAATTATCTTACAACATGTTATCCGCCCCCGTCCTCCCGTTGGCTTCGGAGCATATATTGTCTTCATTCACATTTTTGGTCCTTGGGCATAAGATAAATCATGTCCGAAGACGTAAGTAATATTATACGAGTAAATAACATCCAAACACAACGTTTAGATCTAGAGAGCGGTATTATTTACTCCCGGCTGTCTTCTCCATCCTCTCAAGCAACACCTTCGTACACCTCATCAACGACTCACTCTCCTGAGGAACCGCCAACCCACCCCCCGCCCACCTAACCTTCAAATTCTCATCCACAAGATAAACAAAACCAATGTGTTTGTTATTCATCCCCAATGGTTCACGTAAATACTCCATATTTTGTCGGGAGAGTAGGTAAAATGGGTGTAGTTCTTTGGGGATGTTACGGCGGAGGGAGGAGAGGTAGAGTGAGACTAGGAAGGCCTTGGCGGGGTTTTCTTGGAGGTTGTGTACCTTTTCCGCTCTATGCGTTGTTCGTGATTCCTGTCAGCATGCTACACCACATGGGATGAGATAGAAGAAAGACATACCATGATTACCGTTCAAATGAAACAAGACGAAGGTTAGGGAGGAGAGGTGGTAGTGGTCTGAGGACAAGGGAGTGTTGTGCGAAACAGGAAGCGCGCGTCTGGGTTACTTATACAAAACCACGTGACTGGCGTCATCATTTCCTGCCTGCGCGAATTTAATTTTCTTGACGCGCTTGCGTTGCAGGGAACAGCATGATTGCTCGTAGTCTTGCTCGACGTTCTCAATCCCGTCTAGCTAATGAGCTCTTTCTTCAAAGAGCTGGAGGATCTGTCTCTGCTACTGTAAGACCTAGGCGATATAGGTCGACGACTACAGCTGCCAATGCATCGACACCTTCGGAACCTTCGAGCTCTGCTTCTCCACTAGCCTCGTCTTCGTCTTCTGCAGGACCAATAGACCAAGCTACATCTTCAGAAGGCGCAACGCTTCCATATCTCCAACGCCCGTTAGGTGTACCCGAGCCACCATCAACTTTCCGAAAGTCATGGCGCGACGAAACTCTTGAGTTAATGGACCAAGACGTCCGTCTCGCTCGACGAAAACACATGTCAGTTCCACATCCTTCATTACCACTATTAGAAATATTATAATAACAAACAAACTAATTAACTAACTAACTAGTATCAAAGAAGCAACCAAAGGCTACTTCAGCGACCTAAACGCAACTCGCAAACTCGGCGGGAAGACATGGATCGCACCCCAAACCCTCATTCGCGAAGACCACGCCCTATATTTCCCCGACATCTCTGGTAGCTCGTTGAAAGATAAGACTACGGTGCATACGACGGACTTGTGTAAAGGGAAGGTTTCGGTTGTCGCTATGCTCTCGAGTGCGATTTCAGATGTACGTTGTCGTTCCGTTCCTCTTTCTTTCCGTTTTTTCTTTTTCTTTTTCTTCTTCTTTCCTCTGTGAGGACGTCCATGCTGAAAGTGGTATGTTGGTTATAGGAACACGTCGACAGCTTCACCCGCCAAACAAACGACTCATTCCTCTCCTCAACCAAAAACCCCAACCCCCACCCTCACTACCAATTCATACAAATCACTCTATAATTGCTATCACTGCCAACGCGTCAACTAACAAAACAACTGCTCATTCTAGGCAAAGCCGGAAAATCAGGCGGAAAAGCAAGTGGAGAGGGCAAGTCGCAATCGCGTTCTGCGAAAGCAGGCCTCCAGTTCCCTGTCGGTCGTATCCATCGTCTCCTTAAACGCGGGAACTATGCACAACGTGTTGGCGCTGGTGCTCCAGGTCTGTTGCGTTCTCCTCACTCGCCGCAGAGAATAATATGACTGATACCCATTTGATGTAGTTTACCTGGCTGCAGTATTAGAATACCTCGCCGCTGAGATTCTAGAGTTGGCTGGGAACGCCGCTCGAGACAACAAGAAACAGCGTATCGTCCCGCGTCACTTGCAACTCGCCATTCGCAACGACGAGGAGTGAGTCATATATCCAGCTTCTCGATGAATTTGAAACTCGACATGCTTACTTGACACTCGCAGACTGAACAAACTCCTCGGCAACGTTGTCATCAGTCAAGGAGGTGTCGTGCCTTTCATCAATCCTGAGGTAAGCAGCACATCATTCATTCATCTTATCGTTGCTTCTTTTCTCCTTTTATTAATTATATGCTTATAATTATATTATATTATCACCTTTACTAATTGTTCATTTAGCTCCTCCCGAACAAATCCGCGAAGGGCAAGAAAGAGGGTCAGAGTCAGGAGGTGTAGAGTGTCACTGCTACCATTACTTTTTCACCCATGTTATGCATATCCTTGTGCAATGCTGTAGTTTGTTCGAGTATCAATGTTCCTTGTACAATATCAGATTTTCCTCGTTCTCTAGCATGATTTGAAAACATATCATCTATTGATAAGTTATACGACTGTGTACACCGCAACTCTCATACAAGATCCTAGATCAAGACAAGTCACTTACAATCCCTATCTGTACTATAAATTCGTTCGTTTTCTCTCCCGAAACCCAACTAGGACCGAAGACGTACAACAGAATAGAAACATGGACAACATACATGTGGGTATATTACAATTCAGCCTCTCCACTGGCACACAAGTCGTTATTCAAACTCCTCATCCACCTCACTCCCTTCCGCAACCCCAAGGGCTCGCACGCTATCCTCCTCCGCATCAAGGTCTCTATCCAAATCAACCTTCTCAATCTCCTCCAGAAGACCATCAACGTCCACTCCTTTCTCGTTCTCCGCCTCCCCTTCCTTAGCAGAAAGCGAAGAAGAAAGCACCTCAACCCTCGCCCTCAGCGCCCTCACCTCCTCCTTCAACGCCCCAATATACTCATCCCTCCTCTCCACCCTCCCCTTCAACACTCTAATAAAATCATTCCCAGCCCTTAACAGCTGCAACTTGCTCACTGCGCGATTCGGTCCGCTCACATCACCCCTCGGTGGGCCTCGCGGAGGCATCGAACCAGGTAACGGCACCTCTCCTGCGTAATTCTCATCTGACGGGAGAGGTAAGGGGGGGAGCAGGAATCGAAGCGCGTCGAAGCTTGTTTTAAGTGAATCTCGTCTCTTTTGTTCGGCTGCTTTATGTGAAGTCTTTCGGATGGCGGGTGTTGGTTGGGGGAGAGGTGTAGCGGGTGCGATGTGAAGAGCTGCTGCGGAGCCGGAGATGTGATGACTGTAATTGGATTGCGAGCCGAGTTGAGCTGCGGAGGACGGTGCGAGTCCACCTGGGAGGAGAGGTTTGAGGGAGGGACTGATAAGTGAGGTTGAGGAACGCCTTTTAGAGACTGATTTCGTCGTAGTGGAGGTGTTGGATGGTTTGGGGTTTGGAGGAGATTTGGTTTTGGCTTTTCCTTTTCCTTTCTCGACGGATTGGGTTTGTGTTTGAGTATGGCCTTCGGGTGCGGGTGAGGACAAACCGCTACCTAGTCCCAGACGACCGAGGTTCATGATACTCGCTGGAGTCACAGGTGATAAAGCAGGACTCGTCTGCGATGAACCAGAAGGAAAAGCTGAAGAGGGTTGTGCGCTTGAAGAAGTACTGCCGCCCGACTCGGGCGGTTGTGTAGGCGGAGGCATCGACAAGTCAACAGGCGATGGTGTGTCACCAACAAAATCACCCAAAACGATGCTACTTCCACCAGATTGTGCTCGAATCGCGGGCGTCGCACTAGCGCTAACGCTCCCACGAGCGTTCATTGTCTTGCGCCTGCTGCCGGCCACAGCACGTACGGCCGGAGACTGGCGCTTTCTCGCCCCGTCAATACTATCATCTCCGCTACTTGACGCACCGCGCTTCGAGCCTCGACGCTTCGGCTCTGCCTGCACTCGTTCTTGCGACTGCTGTTGCAACTGTTGTTGTACTGGCTGGTACGACACTGCACCGAGCCATGGACTTGAAATGCTAAAGTCAAGGTCTGGAGATACCGGCGGTGCCTGCGTGGGGAACGCAAGATGTGCAGGTGCGGAGCTCGAACCCTGCGGGAGCGAGTGGGGCGTATTCAAATGAGCGGCAGGACCTGGCTGTGCTAGGTAATTTTGGAGGATCATCGGGGACACGAAATTTGGCGGAGGCTGTGGTCTAAGTTCGGTAGAATTGACTACAAATCATATCATAGGCGTTGTTTAGCATCGAATATATTTATGTCTCGCATAGACATTACACGTACCGGGTGTCGGAAGACCTTGGAACTGGCTGACGTCTCGGAACGGCGTTTGCTGCAGCGGAGTCGACTCCATGCTAGCTGATAAGCTGCTCTGGCCGCTTATGAGCTCGATCTGGAATTAAAAACATGTCAGCGAGCACGGTCGAGCGGCACATTGCTCAGCCAGATTAAATGTTTCGTGAGAGCGAGGGAATTTCAGAAGGATGTCGGCATCCGAAGAAACGTAAAAAGATCTTGTGCAGAACAAAATCATCTCGAAGGCCGCGTTCAAACCCCGGGCAGCAGACATGCCTTAAGCGGATGAAGCACAACAACTACGTATCTCCATCCGGAAGGCAACTTGCAAACGTTCATTTTGAGGGTGCATCGCGAAACATCCTATCTGACACAGGCGACGACAGCATAATGCCACCCACCTGTTGCTGAAAGATCTGATTTTGTAATTGTTGGAGCTGCTGCAATTGTTGCAACCGTATCTGTTGCTCAAGGAGCGCTGCCGTGTTCGTGTTGCTTGCAGAGCTCGGTTGACCAGTGTTGATGTTTGACGACGAGTTGTCGACGGACATGGGGAACTGCATTTGCATCGAAAGCAGCTGTTGCAGAGCGTCAAAGTTGATATTGTTTGCCGCTGCGTTTCCCTGAGCAGAGCCAGCTGATGGATGCATGGACGAGGCGTCGTCTCGCCTGCCGTCGCTGTGCTTGTCTGCGAAGACGTTGAAGTCAGATATGTCCATGGTGGTGTTTTGCTGGTGGTGAGCGGGAAAGTCGAAGACGGTCAATTGAGTCGGAGTCCCGCCCGTGCCGGCACCCGCACCGGGGGGAACAGTACTGCCACAATTTCTCCTGCTCTCTTCAGGGCGTCTGCCTGTTACCTGTGCGCTGTTGTTCATGAGCCCGCCGAAGTTGAGGTCGGCATAGACGGCGTCTGCATTGGCGTCCATCGCTGTTGCGAGTAGCAGCGAATGGATGAGGCTGGTTGACTACCTACTGATCAAGAATTATTGGAAATTTTTGCGTGATTTTCGTCGGCCCGGTGTGCCTGCTGTTTGCTAAATCATTTTGTTGTATTCCTTATCGGGCAACCTCTCTCTTACCCCTTCGATTTTCCGATTGTCTAACACAGACAAGAGTACGCTTTCTGCAAGTAGAGGCGACCGCCTGAAGAGTCAGACGAGGCGTGTGCCCAGCAAAGGTCAGCGCCTCGATTTAATCACGCCTCGTTCATTCATAACTTTAGAACTTTAGATCATAGACAGTCCAGAGCCAAGCATAACCAGAGACACGCGCCCGTACAGTCCAAGCTAAACTCAGAGCAGCATCCAACTTTATTTGTATTAACATGAATTGCAGTCCATTCTGTAAGTTGAGATGAGATTATTACATTGACGACATAACTCAGTCTTACAGATCTGTTGTAGAAAGTTATCAAATGGAAACATTTACTCTTGTATGGTCCCGTCTCTTCATTATGATAGCAAAGTTATGTCCTCAGTACTCCAGAGCGTCTGTAGCCATTCGTCCTTTATACACTTACATCTCTACATCTGATTATGCCTCATGTTAGTGAAGCTGTAAATTAGATTGTAGCAACCTGCATTTCTGACAAAGCACGTGTGTGGTTCAATACCCTTATAAGACAGCTAGTCAGGGATGTATATTGCACTATATCCTCTCTATCAATGGCAAACCCGACTCTTGGCTGCAGACACACCTTCACACTCTTCCCTTGCTCACAAGTTGGACATGATTATTTACACCTGGTATAACTGTTTCTTTCCAACACTATTATTGAACAGTATGTCAATATAGTAATATTAACTATTATAGTCTATGATAATACTTGGTACTTAGTCCTTCAAACTAGAATCTTACTGATAGAAAGTATTACTCAAGCCATAACAACAGATAAAGGGGTATGATGATTGTATAATTATCTCTCAAGTATCCTACTAAGTAATGTCTGTACAGATTAAATATTTCTGAGTAGGCAAGCTTAATTTTAAGTTGTATGTGTGTTCATTACTCATTATTAATAACAAAGCATATACCATTCAAGTCTATTAGTCTACTTTATTTTGTAGTAAGTACTTGTGAGTCATAATAGTTGAGATTATCTGATACTAAGATTTAGAACCTCTGTATTAGATTACTAGGAGAAATTTGCTCTATAATTAGTAAGTAGATAAATATACAATTTATTAGATTTTATAAGAACATTTATATGAATACACTTACTCTGGGTATCACTTTTAATCAAAGTGAATTAAGGTGATTCAAAACAATACTAAGAAGAATATATAATAATCTGAATCTGAAAATATTTACCTTTTAACTGTATGTTGTACCTTTGACAATCTATTCTCTAATTAACTTGAAAATTAGGTTAGACAACATTATGGATAACTCTTTTGTATAGTGAGTAATCTATTATAATTATATACAATCCTTGTATAATATAACACTACTTTTAGACCTTTCTATAGTTGTACTTATAGACTATAAGTAAATTGATCTAAAGTACTAAAGAGACAATATATATTTAACTGTTATATAGACATTCTCCAAATTTGTGTATTAACACCATAATATAATAGTAGGTTTATTATAGAATAATAACTGAATACTTAACTATTTTTACAAATAAGAAACTTTCAATCTATCTTAAAATACTTCTTATAATAAAAGGAGGCACCTCTCTTAGTATTCCTAACTATAATTATTAGTATCAAGATAGTACAAGTGTTAATCAATATTTTACCTTGATTAAAGAATTGACTACAATATTGTATGTTTCACTTTTTAGTACTAAACTTGTAAAGAGTATTAAAATATATACATCTAGAAACAGTACTCTACAATTTCCAGTAGTAATCTTATAGTAAGACAGATAATTGTATATCTTGGTTCTATCTAACAAAGACTAGAACCATTCCTCTAATATATAGAACAATTTTACTTTCTTTAGCCCTTTATAAGGTAGTAAAATATTGAAAAAAGCCCTCTAGTTTCAAAGGCTTTTATCTGGTCAGGGTCCTCATTAAAGATCAAATTCTATATTACAGATTGTAAGTGAACAACTGAACAAGAATATCACACTTGTTAGGAAAAAGTCTTAATTATTATATACTCTTATATGTATATATAATATGTAAAAAAACAATATTATCCATAATGACATTTATTACACCCCTCATTAGATAAGATATATAAAAGATACTATAAGGTTGTAATAAGACAGATTTATATTATAAGAATTAATAAACATTATATGTCCTTATAATAGGGATATAAGAATTATAGCTCTTAGGAAAGTCTATAATAGTATATATTGTACTCCTCTTCTGATATAGTATAATACTTCTTCTACTATCTTATAATCCTTAAATAAGTTAATTTACAGCTTATATCTTATCTGAATAGCTTATTATACAATATATATTTTATTTAAATATTTTATTCTTTACTAACAATACTGAACAGTACATAATATTAACACATTATAACAGAAACAAAACTATTACTACCTTAGCAAATCATAACAACTGATAAATATACTATAGGTATTTATCTCCTTGTACTCTTTCTTTCTCTGCTTTGCAAGTTTGCCCTAGTATTTACATTCCTCTACAAACAGCAAACACTATTAGTATGAGATTGTTTTAGAGAGGTCAGCTTGACACTAATGTTGTACAACCAGGTTGCCTTCTGTAGGTAGTACAGTCTCTACCTTGTTCTTTTTCAAACAGTATTCATAACAAAAGACAATAAATACTTTCTTAGGTTGTTTGATATGGTCTTAGTCACTAAGACTTAGTTGTTGCTCAGTCCCTACAAGTTGAATTGTGTGTGTCTGTTAGTTGTAAGGTTGTATATGTTGTGTAGGTTGAGGTTGTACTTGTGAGAGAAGTTGTAAGACTGTCTGGCTAAAGGTGTGAGTGTAAGTATTAGTATTAATGTAAGTAGTTAACTGGAGCAAGAAGATAGATGTATTGTGATAGTGTATAGTATGTGTGAGTAGTGTACTAGGGTTGTAATCCAGAGTGTTAAACAAGATGATTTAGACTGTAAGTAAAGCTGTGTTTGTACCTACACATTACATACTCTGACTATGTCTTACAATTAGAGGTACAGTAAACTGAGTTGTTAGGGATGACTATAAAGGTGTATCTCTAGAACATTCTAGCTTAAAGGGAGGAGGTGAAGTAGAAGGTGTAGACAGACTCAGCTCAGGAGGGGTGAGTAGTAGGCTACTACTTCTGTTATTTGAAACAGTGTTATAAACAGTACTAGGTAATATAAATACACATTAAGTATAGAATGGTAGGTGGGGAAGGAAAGTATGTAAGGGGTTAGAGAGAGGATTACACTTTAGGAATGGTTGTACATAGACATTATTGTAAGTATGTACTTACCAATTGTTGCTTGTACTATAGAGTAGGAAGAAGTACATGAATGTATTGAATTTATTAAAGAAATTGTTCAGTATTAGAAACAATGTAGATACACAAATACACATTCAAAAAGGAAGGCAAACAAAAAGAAAAGGAGGACAATAAAGGAAAGGTAACTGTAGAGGAGTAGAAGGGAGACAAAAAAGTTAGGGAGAGAGAGATAAGTATTTATTATAGTACTTATTATGAAATAGACTAACTGCTTACACTGTATGTTAAAGGCAGAAGGGGACACTAAAGTCAGCTGTATAGTATAGTATAGTATATTACTAATATAGGTCCCTAAAAAGAAACACTAGGGCTGGGTTGTGTTGTTACAGAATCTGAGCTCAATACAGGCATTATAATGACTAATTAGAGAGACAAGTACAGTAATGTTTATTGTCTACCTACATAGTTACAGACAGTGTGCCTGCTAGTAAGCAGAGGACTGGAATAGAGGGAACAAAAGTAACAAGGGTTACTATTCAGTATATGTATTATAATAGCTTTAAATATTGAGTAAATATATTTTAACAAAAATATATTGAGAGTAAATACTTTATTATAGTATTTTACTTGAAGAAAAAGACTTGTGTCTACTATATAATATAATATAAAAGCATTTTCTACACTTATAATGTGTACTAAAGTTCTATTAATGTTTATAATAAATAGAAACTCTGTTTGAGAGGTTATAAACTTAATAAATGTATAGTACTCAAATGTAACATGTATATTATAATAGTATAGTAAATATAAAGTGAGTTACTTAGCTTATGTAATTGTTGAATATTACATAGGACTTTGCTTAAATCTTGAGTACTACACTTGCCCTTGTCACTTCTTACCTTTGACCTCTTCCTACCCTCAACCCTCTACCCTATGTATTATATTCATTAATAATACTTTTAGAACCTTTATAAGATGTATAAGAATTATCTTTACTTTATAACCTTATTAAAATTCTTACAGTTACTATATAATTTATAAATAATGTGTATTCTACTATATAAGAACTATAAAGCTATATAAGAAAATGGACTTTTCCCTGACACTAAAACTACTCTAGTATTTACTTTGTTGTACACTGAACATAGTAGATAATCTTGTTACAACAAGCAATCCATTTGTTACAAACCTCTTAGTCTTAACAAGGAGTCCAACCCTTCTCTACATCCTTGGAAGCCACTTGCTGATCAACCTGAAAGAGGCTAGCAAGAGGGGGGTGAATGAAGGAACCAATTACAGGTTGTAGAGTGTGAGTAATATTGAATTTGCTGCCTTAGAAGGTATGATTATCTGTATCTTTCTAGCTCCAACCTAACTAATTCATTTCAGGTGCTCCAGCAGTTGCAAGCTTGCAGGAGGAAGTAACATCTAGTATTTGACAAGCCCTGCTTATCATTCGTTCTGGATGTCAATCAGCAACAAGGAATTTCGGACCCACTTAAAGCTAGATTTATTTATAAATTATGCTCTTACAATATTTTGATTTAATCATTCCTACCTTACATTATGCACTTTTCTTTTTTGAATCCTTCTCTGATGTTATTTGTAGAGCTGTACACTAACTATCAATATCAATATCTTGTCTATTTATTTGCACAGGTATTTTGTGCATTATACTACCTTATTTATTAATGTTATGTCTTGCAGAGTTCCAAAGCCAGTCTCAAATTCGCCTATCTAACTGTCTCAGCAGTGTAAAACATATCAACGCAATATTATTCGAGTAGAAACAGTAAGACGAATGTATACTAGAGTTTCTCTCCATACAACAATCAGACAGAATCCATTCAAAGTTTACGGAGGAGCAGGGGGTCAGGACAAAATGAACTAATGAACTACGCCGTCATAAGCTTCACGCCTCTATCAAAGTCTTCTCATTCTCCTCGGCCACAGCCGGCTTCACCTCAAGACTACTTGCTCTCCTCTAGCACCGCGTCTTGCACATCGGCAGGATTACGCGCCCAGTCTTCTCTGTACTGCCACAGCTTCTTCACCTCACCACGTGCTAGAGCACGCAGGAGAACTACGGCATTCATGACTGGTGGTCCAATGATCAGAACAAGAAAACTTGCAGACTCTGCCTGGCAGTAAATGTAGCCCGTAACCTTGAGTGCAGCCACGATGACATACGAGGTGAGCCAGCCCCACATCACAGTGTGGAAATAAGGCTTCTTAAAGCGTGGGTATGGCTGCAAGGACGTTGCGAAGCGTGAGTAGGGATAGGAAAGACGTGTACCCGGCACCGTTGCCGCGTTATGGAGTGCGATTTGGATATCTGGTTGCCCTACAAGTACTTCATCCGGGCGCGCAAATGCATGATCCATGCGATAACAGAGCGCAATGAGATGGAAGTGTCCAGTAGTCACAAACATCGTAAGAATCAGCCCAGACCAATTCGTGCCGCCAACATGCGGTGTGAAGCGTGACACGCGGATGGGCCATGAGTCTTCCGGATGGTGAAAGATAACAATGTAACAAGCCAGAAGGGTCTAGACAAGCAAATTGAGTAAAGTCCAGTCCCCGATGTAATTTGGAACTCCTAAAGCTTACCATAATGAAGCCACTAATTAAAGTGTCCCTGTAAGCTGCCTTCTTGGTAGGGACACAATTGGAAGTCATGAAATGAATGAACGACGCAAAGAGAACCGCGGAACAAATGGAGTTATGAACCCAGAGAGCGCCAATAGATAGCAGTATTGACGACAGGACGACTTTGGCCGTTACCCAGCGTGGACGACGAATCCGCTGCGTATCACAACTGACAGGAATCCAGAAAAGAACTAAGCATATATGTGAGCTAAAAATACGTGGAAAACGAAGAGGCAGTATAGAACTAACAGCCTTCGGCGTCCCGTAGGACAGCCCTGTCTTTCAGCCCTAGTAGCAGATACAGCATCTAAGTGCAAGATGAATGCCAGACGTCACTTATACAAAAGAAGGATCACACCTTAGCAAGCAGAAAGATCCCGGGCAGGAACAGTGTTACTGCATAATAGGACATCGTCCAATCAATCTGGCCAAAAGTTGAGTTGTAATACCTGATATATCCAGACTCCGATTCAGGCCCAGAATCATCAACGTCTTCTGGAACATAGGTATCATTGTCATCTCCATCCCGAGAGCGGTTCAGCATACCCTTGTCAGCAAGAAACTTCTCAAAAAATCCTGAAATTGCAAGCAGAATCAGAGCGATGCAGACATAACCGATCCGCATGCGTAGTGCCTCTTTCTTGACTGCAGCGCGTGTGGCAGCAATTTCAGCCTGGCGCGCAGTACTGACGCCCAGCTCGCAATCATCAGACGCAACCTCTTTCTCATGGTGTGGGAGCTGCTTCACAGCATGCCAAAGCTGTACGAACGTCGAGGACAACAGAAACTCTTCAACGCGTGGGAAACATTAAAGATAAGCAACCTCCTCGCACCTTCAAGGACGCGCAACTTTCGATGGCATAAATAATGAGTGTGGGCAGCACGACGGGTGCGTAGCTCATAAGTTCGTTGACAAAATTGTCGATGAAGTCCGGCGAGTCTGTAGTGAAATCCATAGTGATGATGGTGGGTGGAGATGATGAAGAGTAGGTAGCAGTGCACTGTTACCACTGTAATACCAGACTGTCGCTTGCCGGCTTTTCTTTCTTAGACTTTGTGATTAGCGCCCATATTAGCCATTCGGCATTTGATCCTTTTACTCATATCCTTTCACGACCGTCGACCGTGCAATTGCCCTATTGATGAAGCACACCTCAGGTCTAAATCACAGATTCCGTCATACTCCAGCAGCTCTTTGCATGAACAAAATTTCGTATCTTCATCATCCGCACTACTGAGGCTATTTTCTACTCTTAGTTCAATTTTATCCTGACAAGATGACAAGCTGGTTTTCTCTGACGGATCATTTGTAGCAACTTTGTAAAACTCAATTGTTTGAAAAGGAAAACATTATCACTATGCATAAATCAAGAGTCACTTAGAATGGATGCCAATTTTATGCACTGATTATAATATTCTAAAATAATACATTTCCAGACTCCAGCACCTCTTTTAATAAGGACTATCAATCATAGAGTGCAAGTGTTTTGAGCAATCTTGTATACATATATACCTACCTACCTACCATAATGGCGATCTAGGAAAACTGTTTTTTGCCCATCATACCAAAGAATCAGTTACTTCCAACATTAGCCACTAATTCATATGTAATACTATTTGTTGGGTAGAACAGCACCTTAACTCCCCTGTCTAAAAATCACTGACCATCAGATTATCACATTGGCTCAACTCAGTACTCAGAGAAGGTACTGTTGTAAGAGATGCTTTGATGAATTAGATGAGGTTGTCAAATAGAAATGTTTATTCTATTACATCTCCCATCTCTGATTCTCTGCCTTGTGTTAGCGAGCGCCGAGGTGATGTTCTCATTACTACCGAGTGTCAATATCTCCTTGTTTCCTATAAATACATTTCCCATCTGATTGTATCCTGTGTCAGTAAAGTTAATCAAGGGTCCGAATGATGTGCATCTCTAATGAGGCACTGTGGCTAATTTTAAGACAGGTTGACAATTAAAACACAAGCACCCTGAATCTCACTCATAAAGATGCATACAGTTCGCATCATTAGTCTAATTTGTATTGCTTATAAGACTGCTGGTCCAGAATCCGTCTTGTCCCAATATCCTTCCTATCAATAGCAAATCCGACTCTCAATTATAAACATAGTTACTCACTGTCCACTCGCTCAGATGGTGAACCTGATCCTCTACTCTTGGCACGGCTGTTTCTTTTCGACAACGTCATTGCACAGTATTTTAATATGGCAATGTTGACCATCCTAGTCTATGATTCTAGTTTGTGCTATAATCCTTCAGACTGGAATATTACTGACAGAAAGTTTTACTCAAGTCATAGCAATGGACAAAGAGGTATGATGGTTGCACAGTTATCTCTTGAGTATCTGCTGAGCAATGTCTGTACAGATTAAATATTTCTGGGTGAGCAAGCTCAATTTTAAGTTGTGTATATATATAACTCATTATTAATAACAAAGCACAAACCATTCAATTCTATTAGTCTACTTTACTTTACAGTAAGTACTTGCTGGTCATAATAGTTGAGTCTAATATTAAGATTCAGAATCTTTGTATTGGATTGCTAGGAGCAATTTGCTCTATAGTTAGTAAGTAGACAAATATATAGTTTATTAGATTGTATATTGTTTATATTAATACCTATTCCAGGTAGCACTTTCAATCAAAGTGAATTAAGGTAAAGAAAAATTGCTAAGAAAAATATACAAATAACCTAAATCTGAAAATGTATACTTTATAGCTGTATGTTGTGCCTTTAACAATCTATGCCCCTATTAACTTGAAAACTAGGCCAAGCAACAACTTGGATATCTCTTTTGTACAGTAAGCAGTCAACTACAATTTAATACAATTCTTACATAACACTACTTTCAGACCTTTTCATAGTTGTACTTATAGACTGTAAGTAAATTGATCTAAAATACTAAAGAGCTATTATATATATAACTATTCTATAGACATTCTCCAAATCCGAGTATTAGCACTGTACCAGAATAGTAGGTTTACTATAAAACAATGACTGGTTAATTAACCTACTTTTCTATAGACAAGAAACTTTCATTCTATCTGAAAATACTTCTTATAATAGAAGGAGGCACTTCTCTTGGCATTCCTATCTACATTTATTGGAATCAAGATAGTAAGAGTGTTAATCAATATTATACTTAATCAAGAACTAACTACAATTTTATATATTTCAGTTTATAGGACTGAGCTTCTAAAGGGGATCAAAATACTAGTATGTGCATCTAGAAACAATCCTCCACAAATACCTGCAGTAATCACATGGTAGGGCAATAATTAATTATCTTAGCTCTATCTGACACTGTATAGGACTATACCTTGTATATATGGAACCATTTTACTTTCTCTAGCCCTTTATAAGGCAACAGAATACTGGAGAATGTCTTCTGGATTCAAAGGATTCCACCTGGTCTGAGTCCTCATTGAAGACCAGATTATATATTATGGCTTGTAAGTAGAGCAACTGAATAGGATCATTTTACTCAAACTATTTCAGTGCAATACTTTGTTGTGTACTCAACATAACAGCTCAGCACGTTGAGGTATATAATGCTTTCATTGCAAACTTCTTAGGCTCAGTGGGGAGCCCGACATTGCTCTGTGTACTTGGGAGTCGAGTCATAATTAACCTGAAGGTAGCAGGCGAGAGAGGAGTGAACCAAGGAACAAATTACAGGTCAGGGACTATAAGTGACATTGCATTTGGTGAAGGTATGCTCGTCCGTGTCTTTCTGGCTCAACTTCGGCTAATTCCTTTCAGGTGCTCCCACAGTAGAAGGCTCACTTGCAAATGAGGAAGGCACATTTAGTGCTTGACAACTCCTGCTCATTATTCGTCCTGTGCTTCAGTTAACAACAGAGTATTTCTGCACGTTTTTGACACTAGATCATTACAAATTTCCTATTCTTACTGTGTTTTACCTGATCCATTCCTTTGAATCCTGTCCTACAATATGTGTTATCCTCCTTTGATTCTTCATCTAAAGTGATTTGCCGACTCGCACGTTATTTATCAATGTCTTGATTATTTATTTGTGTCGATATTGTGTATTAAAAAAATAAACCAATTTATTTATTGAAAATGCTATGTCTTGCTAAGTTTATTTCCTTGACCGGTCGCAGTGCATAAACTGCATCTAGCTCAAATGAAGAACACAGCAGTGACCAACGAGCCGAACGTCCAGCTTACCCTTAAATACCTTCATTTATTTATTTTAACAATGCACGGGTCCAAAAGATAACCAAAGATAACCTTTGACTTCGAGCTTCCGTTCCTTGCCAGCGTCAATATCCAAATACAGATCACACTAGTACTGGCTGGAAGGCAATTGGCTCGATAACATAGTTTTTTGCGAGCAGACGTCCATACAATGATATCATCGTCCATACAAAAAAGATAAAGAGGTACTCTTCCCATCCCTGACACACAAACATCTCCATCTACGCCCAAGAACAAACACCAAAGTAAAACACAAGATCATTGTCATCTATTTTATCAGACATTGGATCAGCAACCGCTACATGATTCTAACAATATTTGGAGATAGATAGGTAAGTTGGTAGGTAGTGACACGGAGGAGACGGGGCAACGCTTGAGCCGAGAGGAGAGGAGGAGGGAAGAGGAAGGAGGAGGAGAGGGAGAAGAAGGGACATTATTAATAGCATACGAGTCCTAGACAGACAGAAAGTTACGCTCCCTAACCCCCCTTCCGGACCCAAGCGACGCGAGCAAAGTAAGTGAAGAAGTAAGCAACCATCAATCAGAGTCTTTCCAATCCAAGACCAAGATGAGAGTGGGAAAAGGGGGAGGTGGAGAAAGTTTTCGTAACCAGATGCGCATACAACCAACAAAAAATATCCATGTATCGTATCGTCAGTTTTCACTTGTTCCATGCAAATTATTATTTCCCGCCCGACGTCTTGAAGAGTACGAGCCCTATGAGTGCTATTGAGTATCCGAATACTTGTAGAGGGGTAATCTCGACACCGAGTAAGAGGACAGAGCTTGTTACAAGGAGGATATCCTGCACGGTAGAATAGGGAGAATCGTAATTAGCACTCAGCCTGAAAGAATAGACAAGACAAGATGAAGTGAGACAACACAACGTCACGTACCTTGAAGACACCAGCAAGAGTGAGAATAAGACCGCTACCCGCACCAACCAGGAAAACAGCTGCGATGTTCAGCAAGAACGCAATGGCAGCATTTGAGAACATGATCAACGGCCCGACGCGCATCACTTCGTAGAAGGGCTCAAGTCCCTCCGTGAGAGGGATCACCATTAAGTTGATCAACGCGCACACCTGCCAAAATCGGAATCAAAATTTATTGAGTGAATTTGATTTTTGAATTTGAAAATAATAGGAGAAAACAGCTTCCGTACCGGAGCATAGTAATGAAGAGATACTAAAGGATCCATCTTAAGTCCGTGAAGAAGGACCTGGATCATGACAAGTCGTGACGCCTCGAACGCAACCGCCGCTGCCTGGATGATGAATCCTGTAAGGTCGAAATGCAACTCGCCGCGCGATGCGAGAGCAACGCCACTGGAAATCATCACGACGATGCAAGCAAGTTTCTTGCTCGGCTCCTGGAGACGGAAGACCCAAGTAATAAGTAGGATGGCAACGGGGTTAAAGGCTTTGAGCATCTGGATGTAGTGCACGCTGAGGTAGAGGTATGCTTTGTTGCTGAGGATGAGCGAGCCACTGAATAGAACGCCGATGGGGAGGATTGATTTCATGAACATGTCTTTGGTGATGTGTACGTCTTTTGCGCCGTCGAGTAGACGTGTAGTACGTTGAAGTACACGCGTGCCAATTGCCTGAAACCCCGACGTCAGATTGAGTTGAAGGGAAGAAAATTCGGAGTATACGCACTGCAAAGGTAAGATGCCATGTTACAAGAAATACGGGAAATTTGAAGTCGAGCCTGTTGTAGACATGATTGTTGTAAATGATGACGGCCGAACTGAGCACGATCCAGACTGGTATGATTGCTGCAGCCGAGTATTTTTGTCTCGGATGTGCAGGTGCAGGTGCAGCGCTAACAGGCTGTGGTAAAAGCTCCTCCTTCACCTCCTCATTGTATGACTTCTCGTCGCTGGGTTCAACCGCCTCCGTACGGGCGATATCGGACGACATGTCAAGCTTAACACACTAAATGCACGAATCTAAGTTTTAAAGGCTGCAAAAACGCGAAATCAACACCACAGATGAGCAAGAGACTGCAACGTGGCACGTACAGTGGACTGGTGATGAGCGTGAGATGGTGAGGTGGAGAGCGGGAGTAGATAAACGAGATTGGGATAGTGTAAGATATAAAGGTACTTCGGGCTCGCCACCCTACAGCCGCGACAACGACACGCAGTGACCGGCTGTGATAGGAATATCTATGAAAGGAAGGCGACTCACCCACCTCCTTCTCCATTCGGATATATTGAGCCGGGAACGTACCTTATCAAATAAATCAGGGTTTGCTAATTCCGAGACAGGCACGCGTCGGCGTTCTTTCCCGCGCTCAATTGCCAATTCAATATCTGCGCGTGCTCCTGCGACGCGTGATTTTAACAGTCTCTTTAGCTAGCCTTGACTGGTGCAGTCAGTCATGCCGCTGCTCACTCGACGAGAAATAACCCTCCTACTCTTTGCACTCACCGTCTTTCTTGTCGCATACAATTTCGAATCGTCGGTCCCAACTCTCAGTCTTGCACGCTCGGCAATCAACGATCTCTCTGCATCAGCTCTCCTCAACGTTCAAAACGTTTTTCGCGAGGATGGCAGGCGGTCGTCAAAGTTTGCTGATGACCTAGAGGTTGCTGTTCTGGGTGACTGGGAGATAGAAAGTAGGAAGCAATATGATCTTGGGCCGGGAGGTGTAACAGAAGACCAACATCATTTATACTGGGGTAACGGGAATATTCCTTCGACGAACTTGGTTGCACATGTACCAGGTGCGATAGTATTATTCGTCTTCCTAAGGGCATTTTCTAAAACAAGTATTATCAGGATATACTATTCTTGACAATGTTCTGCTCCTCAACGGAACTCTATATCTTGTATCCGATCGGACTTCTCAGTCATTCCCAACTGTTGCAGCGATGTTGTCGACTAATCTCGGTATATCCGATCCACCTGTTCTGCAGGATCTCAGAATCGTAACGAGACGTCAGGCTATTGATATTTTAGGCTACGACGCACACAGGTACTTTGACGTTGCAAGTTCACAAGAGCTTGATATGGATGCTCAACTGTGTACAGATTAACAGGTGCCTCGTTAATTTGTCTGGACCATTCTCACTGTACGTCGATTTGCGTCAAATCTTCTTTTGTTATATTCTCAGCAACACGTTTCATGTCATATTCCTGGTCTGATTATCGGCATCTTGCCGCGTTACCGCATCACTTCGACGGATTTTCAAATGGGTTTAACTAACGAACTATTTTCATCCCAACAACAGTACTAGACAACCAAACATTCCTCGCCCTACACCGAGCATACGCCACTCTCGCAGAATCAGACACCACCTCACCACCACTCGTCCCACCATCACTCTCACTCTTCCCCAATGCAAAGCGTACCGAAATCGACGAATCTGGATACTCACTCCGACTCGCACGGCTAGCATTCCCCTTCATGGGACATCTCTTCGCAGAAGATTGGATAGATTACGAACGTTCGAACCGGCCCGTGATTTTTGATCGTATCCTGCTTGCGGATCGGGCGGCGGCGGAACATGCCGCTCAGGCATTTGATTTTGGTACGGAGGTTATTGTTTCTCCGCATTTGGACAGGGATAGGGAGGAGGAAGTAAATCGTGAATTAACGAAAGGAAATAAGAAGGGAGTAAGGATATCAGGAATGACGATTGAGGCTACGGATAAAAGGTTATCGTTCGCGCCTGCTTTCGCGTTGCCTGCGCGGGAAGACTGGGCAGCACCGATTCGTGAAGCTGCTTTGTCTTTACCTTCACCGAAAGTGGGAAGTGAGAAACGCCGTGCCGTAACGTATGTGTCGACGCAAGGCCGTCGGATGGGTCCGAGGTTGAGAAACGACGACCATGATGCGCTTGTACGCGAGCTGAAGAAACTCGGTTCGTCGCAGAAGTGGGACGTGCATATTATCGAGATCGGTGGTGATGGCGGTGAGCCTACTCCGTGGGTGGAGCATATACGTGCAGCAGCACAATCTTCGGTTGGTACTTTATCATTGTCTTGTCTTTTTTCTTCTCGTCGGATGACTAATCATTTAAAATACTTTTTAAAGATCATGCTTGGCGTGTACGGCGACTCTTTAACAAACAGTATCTTACTCCGACCCGGTCCACCTACACCTGCCGTAATCGAGTTCTTCCCTGACGGTCGGTACACGAACGAACACGAGTTTGTCACTCGAGCACTTGGGATACATTACGTTGCTTGGAGAAACACAAAGTTAGTATATATGTTTATTTGTTTTCTATTTGACTTGATTCTTATTGACTAACCGATTTATGATAGAAAATTCTCTCGAGGCTCACTCCCACCCATCTCCCCACCAACGACAGCAGATAGTCGAGTATTGAGTATCGACGTATCTGCTGTGATCTCGTACGTCAAGGAACAGATGAAACGCTCATAAGATTTCTGTCCTCAACAATTGCGGTTCACTCTGTGTTGCATATTTCGTTAGTTCGATTTTTGTTTGGGTTGGAGTCGTACGTTGCTTCGTTTTTTTGTCACGCTGTTTGTTTTCCTCTAAGCTCTGCGTCTGCACTCGCATAAGATAATACTAGCTGTATTTATTGGATACCTTATAGAACTCATTCTTCTGCAGTTTGTGCGCAAGTGAAAGGACTACAAGTACATAGCATTGGCAGCGGTCATCTTATATTCAAGCAGAACACAAGCTCTTGGCAGTTATAATAGGCGTCACCTTATTACATTATGCATATATAAGAATGCATCTTTGCCATAATTGCATGGACTGCGTTATCTCACACAACCGACCTAAGCAAACTGCTCGGAAAATACTACCTTTTCTTTCTATGTCCCGAGAATTGTGCCTTATCCATGTATTTCCTGTACAGTTCATCCTTCCACTATTGAGAAAGTATGATATTGTTAGTATTCCCGCATAGAATGGAATCGTTAAGGCTGTATACGGACACGTTTGGCTAAGTTCACTGCTGCTCTTGCTGTTAATCTGTCTTGCGGAGGATACTTGAGAGTCCCTTCCACCAAATCTATTGCTACGTGATTCCATAATTGTCGAGGTTTATTATTGTTTTATTATTATTAAAAATAGTAGGCATCATCAGTGTATTTGGCTCCTTCAATCTGAAAACGTTCTAGCCTACCGAATTTCGAGACATCTGCGTTCACTCTTCTTATCCGTTCAATGCTCGGCGTACAGCTCTTGATGTTCTCTATTGTGACCGCCAAGCTGTTATCTTCAAACGGATGGGAGGCAGCCAGCAGTATGTAAACAACAATTCTAGAAGATGTTAATACTCGGACTCGTATGACAATCCTAAAGGCAGAAACAATTTCCGCACCCAATAGACCACATATCAAGTTGTTTAGCATCATAGTATTTATGTTTATGATACTCTGGTGGTGCATATCTGTCGGAAAGTTCCACAGGTGTCCTTTGTACGTCCCTGTATTCGCAAGCACTGGTACCAGTCCATAAACGCATGATCGGACAAAGTCGACTAAAATTTCAGTATCAACTCACTTTCCAAAATCTCCTATTTTTATAATTCCATTCCCGAAGCTAAAGATATTTTCAAGGCTAACAGACTCAGGTTTCTCATGCACTATATATGCTAACTAACGTACTCACTTTATGTCTCGGTGGACTAAGTCTTCCTTGACATGCATGGTATAAATGCCTTCGAGGATTTTCCTTATTACAGATAATGAGATTGTCAGTTAATTTGAAAGATAATTGGCAAGCATAAGATATACAAACAATATAACGTTGGCCACTTCATGTTCAGGAAACCAAGTTTTGAATATTCTAGGCCTGTTGCTAATATCGTCCTCTCTCAAAACATGTTTTTCAACCTCATCCATGATAGTTTGTAAAGATCCAAACGGTGCATATTCTATCACAAGGATTTCCTTACTGAGGGACTCAATCCGGTTGACCTGCAAATAATAGTCATTATCAGGCACAAGTACGCTAAAGGACGATTTAGTTACGAATAGATTAGGATATTTTAGTGTCAAGGTCTTCATAGAATCATTTTCTTCTTTATATACGCCATCTTTTATCGCAACAAAACCGAGCTGTTTATCTCTAATGTGCCGTGATCTGCTTTGTACGTACGCCAAGGCTCTCTACAAGTTTAAATACAGGAAAGGAGGTGGAGAATCATAAATCGCGGAATTAGAGCATTCGAGTCAGGTACCAGGTTGTCCGGGGGATGAACAGAGTGCAACGCACCCATACTGTTGCATTGGCCCCTCCTCCTAATTTCTTATCTATAACATAGTAACGTCCAGGGTATTTAGGTGAGTGTATTTGGCCTCCTGAATTGAGTGACATGTGAATCTGTATTCTTGAGTTCTCAGGCAGATAAAGTAACCTAACTGCAGGTCTATTGACAGAGATGAGGTTAATACTTGGGGAAGATAATACAGGCAGAGGAATGTAAAGGCCGGAGCCTCACTCAAGAACACGGAACAGGCAAAGACCTGGGATTGGAGAGGTCGACCTAAGTACAGGAGCAAGTACGAAGATGAGATCTAAGTAATCTACAAATAGCCCTTTTATATTTATCTAAAGTCACGTGTGTAACCTCGGAGGTTACAAGGAACTTTGTATCACTCGAATTGTGATCCTTCTTCAGAGTTGATCAAGCAAAGGTGCGGTTGTTATGACTGCATGTTGAACATTGCCAGACAAGCCACTGGTTGCGACCTTGCAGTGATGTTGCTATTCCTAAGTCGGAGCGTACACTCTTGCAGTATGAATTGACTGACAAAATACTATGTCTCTGAGGATTCAGTTGCTTTAGCAGTGTGTCGAATTAGTATGCTTCAAAAATCGAAATAAAATTTTATGCATGAAAGCTACATTGCCGATCGTGAAAAGTAAGTGGCGAGGTTGTTCCCTGGTTGTATATGCAAACTTTGCTACGTTATGCTCCTTGTGCAGCAAATTTCAAGTTCCTAGCCTCGAGCTCATTTTTTCTCCCAGTATCACTGAGAGTAAATTCCTGTAAGTCCTACCAGATGAGCAATATGATTTGAAATTTCTCGGAAAGATGGTTAGTCTGTCAGTCACATAAATGGTTGCCATTGTCCATAAAAAGACTCCCGCCAACCACACATTTCTTCACTTTCCCGCCAAACACTGAATATATAAAATATTGTCGAGGAGGTCAGCCAAACTCTCATGACAAGGACTGAAACTTGGAGAACTAGGTGCACTCGCTACATTCATTACCTACTGAAACTATGAACCGTGCACAGGAGTTTGCTCTGATTCATGGTTTGTAGAACGAGCGGACAAGCACAAGAAAGGTGCAATTACTAGTCAAATATCTGGCTAGCACTTGTCAAGATAAATAAAAAGCTTAAGTAAAAGTAGTATTCCCAGAAAAATAAATTACGCACGCAAAAATCCACAAGTTCTGTGGATTATTGACTGTATCCCTTGTGTACGCAAATCGTACTAATTTTACATTCAGAAATAGTTCAGCAATGAAGGAATAGGACTTACTCGTGGGAAGCTCAGATTTGTATGCTGACAGTTTGGTAAATATCACAGTTTCGTACAGTCGCAGCACAATTTGAGCTCACCAATAGGTACATCCTCATCAAGGAAACTCCAAGCTGTGAGCATATACTGTCAGTACGAGTGACAATAAAGTGGCAGGGTTCAAAAAGAACAACAAACCAGTCCTCCAATTGTGTCTGCCATAAGACCAAGTCAGCAATCCAATAAATCCACGAAAGATAGGAGCTTGCCGGAAGTTTCCGTCTACAAGGCTATGTGACCGTGCAGAGAGTTAGTATATTTTATTTAATGCACCAACCATACTCACAGATCAGGAGGTGCGAGAGGGTCCTTAATTATGAAGATACCAAAAGTGAGATACTTCCTGAGAAAGGGTGCTTTTGCTCTCACATCTTTCAAATTGGCTGTCTTGATCTCTGTATCTATGTCAGCCCATTCAAGGACTTGATTGCCCGCCATGCCTATCCACAGATGAGTATTATGTTGTGTTTACCAATGCCAATATTAGGTTCGCACCTTTGAACTCAATATCTTCGTCAGGCTTGCCGCCGAAGACAGCAATAGTAGTGTTATGCAGCTCGTTCATGAGCGTGCTGAACATTGCACAGGTTGACGCGCAATTGCCATTGCTGACTAATAACAAGAATGTGATTAGCATGAGGATGTAAAATCAAGATAGCTGAGAGATTAAGTGTACCAATAGCTATGTTCCTGCAATTATGAACTCAGTATTTCACGTGTGAGTAATGTTAAATCATGTTACATACTCGAGAGCAATAGGCGGCGTTTGCGGGATGTCGACGTCAAATGGTGTACAGATTTCCTTGAGAAATAAATCAAGCCAAGCGAATTAATATCAAATATTTAAATATTACTTACATGGAATCGTTGAGATGTAGGATCGCTAACATCATTGACAGTAAATGGTAAAGAGGGATCGTTATAGTTGAAAGTCGTCGGATACTGCGTGTCATTCAAGAACGCCCCTATAAGTCCAACAAAGTAACATTAGTTATGAGAATCAATGAACTTCTCAAAATGATTAATGGACTGACAGTTTGAGGGTGAATAATATTGTTGAGTAACATTTAGTGCAATGTCATTCTTCACAATCTTCTGTGCAAGCTCATTTGCACGACTAGTTGACACAAATCCTCTAAATACAGAGAACAACGTCACCACGCCAATCACAAGATCCAATTAGAAAGAGAGAACGAAGCAATGTTAAAGGAGTGCTGTCTGTCAGAAAGGCAAAAAACCTCACGGATATCCGATCTGTGCGCCTGCAAGGTACTGGTGCAAGAATAGTCCAAGGCACACGAATCCTCCTAGACATAGCAGTCATCAGTGCGCAACAATCGGGGGAAGAGCACCAGGAAAAAGAGTAATACGAAGCTAACTCACCACCGTTACCCGTAAGATCAATAAGAAGCCGTGAGACATTTGCAGAGAGGAAGTTGTTCATCGCAGAGACTGTATCGGTCTGGAACTGAGAGAAGTCGCCATCAAACGAACCTACGAACATCTGAAATACCCCGTCATTTATTAGAGTGGTCCCCATTAAATAAGAGGAAGGAAAATCTATTTACCACACCAGTCTGGTTGTCAGGCAAAATATACGACTTGATCACTCCTGCAGAGGTATTGACCTGCGGGAGAGTCGGTTGGAATTCTGGTGGAAGGTCAATCGCATTGCTTGGCGGAGAATCCATGATAAAGGCCTTCGCAAGAAGTCGGTCGTTCCGGCGGAAGGCATTCTTAGAAATTCTGCCTACTTTCGCGTCGACACCATTGGTGGTATTAGTTGAGGCACAATTATTTGTCCAGCTATACCAGAAATCAGTTCATCAGAGCTCCAAAATAAGGGAACAAGAGATCAGGAATTGGACTGACAAAGATGTCTGGTCTGTAAACGAGTTGCCTACGAATTGCACTAAAAATGGCACAGTCACATTTTCTTCATCAGTGCTGTTTGCCATAATGAGACTAAACGTTAGGTTCTCCTGTACTGGCATTGGTCGAGCAGCAAGATCACCGACACGCTGTGAATAGTTGGTTCCACTAATACGGTAGCTGCTTAGTGCACTGTTTACGCGCACTCCATGGTCGAGGTAGTTCCCAGAGACGTTCTTCGCTATGATGTCTATATATTCGAATGGATCTATGTCCTCAATGGAGACCACCTTTGCGCCCGCAAGACGTTGCCAGTCGAAATCAATCGAGTCATAGAAATCTGAGAAATTGGTTCCGAGCAATCCGAACAACTCGACGGAGTTTGGTACGACAAAGACGTTCTGTTCACCATCCTCTTCGAGGATGACTACTGGGGCAGGAAGCAAGTTCTGGAAGGTCGTATAGCAGTTTGGAAACCAGCCTTGATATGTAACGTCAGTCAGTGTACTAGCCGATACAGAAATTCTTCTGCTTACGCGTGTGACCATCGTTTAATTGAGTCGTGAAGTCGAAGAGATCCTTGTTAAAGTCGAAATCCGTCTGCAGGAAAAGATGAGCAACGCAGACGAAATCTATTTCAGTAAGACTTACCTCGTAGTCAGTACTGTTTATTCGTTCGAGTTCTGCTCGGATATCTACCGTAGACTCTTCAAACGGAGCTGGCGAATCTAAATAATAGTTCTCAAAAGTGAAAAAGTCAAAGACACGCGAGACAACCTGCAAGATGTTCTGGCGGAGGGTTTCGTTGAAGGGGAAAGACTTTAAGCAGGCGAGTGCGTCAGTGGGAGGAACAAAAGTCTGTCCAGCAATAGCTGCACATGGATCAGTGGCCCTTGGTAAATGAACTATAGATGCTATGGTCGCGAGAGCCAAGCAGAGTACAGGAAAGAGTGACGAAACTCGTATGTAGTGTACCATCTTGTAGGTACCTGCATTTGCAGACCAGAGACATGGTCAATTTAAAGTCCTTCCGAGCCCCACTCAAGTTAGGAAGGTATTATTCTGAGCAATTCTGAGGCTTGCATGATGGCTATCTCCTCGATTCTCGATTTCCACTCACACCGGCCGGGTAGAGCGGGCTGCAAGTGGAGATCCATGGATAAACGTTAAGTGCCAGCAGGTAATGAGAGCAGACCATCGGCGAAGAGAGACTCTTCATGCGTCTTGCATATGGTCGGCGAGTTGAACTGACCGAGATCAGAAAACTTATCTGCCACCCTAGCAGTCAAAACACCAAAAGGCATGTTTTTTAAAAAGTCCTAGGTGACAGTGCCTTTGTTTATACTTTATGCTCGCGGGAAGAAAAGCAGTCGAAAACCGATCGAAAAAGATCATGGCTGAGAACATCTGAAATTAACTTCACGCACCCAGTGAGTTTTGTTGCTTTATCCAACAAGATTGAGTTCTGATTCACGTACGATTGATAGTCCGAGACAGTCGTTTGTAGAAATCGAGCTTGAGAACGAGTTAGCCTACCCGGTTTTGAGATATTATCCGAAGCATGAGGGTGACGGAACATATACGCTAAGAAAATCAACTTCACTTCAGCGTTTATACCGGATCCGAAAGCTCGGGTAGTTTTAGAGTCAGACGTGATGATAGTTGCTGTGCTTTCGTGGCCGTTCTTGTACGCTTTTTCAAAGGCATCATGGCTGTTGATGAATCGTATATGTATGGATGAACCTATCTGATTTGTGCGCGTGATTGGACTGATAGAGAACTTTTGCAAGAGGCTCCGAGAAAACAGAGACCATGAGTCTAGACAGAAGATAAATGGTCTTGTTGAAACGCATACCGTCGGAGTGAGCGCCTCACAGAAACTAGCATGCTAGCGCGTCCGTGCGAACAGCAGGTCTTCTGGTCGCGCTGTTCGTGTATTCTTATAGCTGGTTGCGAAGTAAGGAATTAACCTACAGCGGTGATCTGTTGATCTACTCTCGGTTGCCGTGATAGGAAGATGACATAAGCAGGCTGTGCATCTGGTCGAAGCTCCTCGCCTCGCCTCACTCATCTCGATTCTCCGCAGTGCCTCCTCCTTTTCCCTCGCAAGTTCGTTTTCCTGTCCTTTCTTGCAGACTCTCTTCGACGTCCGCTTCGTACTATACCCTTGCTGTTTCTCTGCTGCTGAGCGGTCCTGTCTATCGATTATTTTGAGATATTTGGACGGGCTCCACAGGCAGAACTGAACTACCCGCAAGAAAGCCGACCCGACAGGACACGCGCTGGCCAAGACAGTTTAGCCTCCTGCATTTCGTCACTCCACTCCTCTCACTATCATCCACCATGTCCCCATCGACGCCTTCGTCGCGGAGACGCCTCGCGTCCTTGTCGGCCATTGCGTCGACAGGGGTAACGTTCTGTGCGCTCTTGCCCCTTGCTAACGCATTCTCGTTCAACATCGACAACACTCCAAAGCAATGCAACAACATGACTATTAGCATCACGGGCTCAGGAGGTGTCCCCCCTTATTCTGTGTTGATTATTCCTTTCGGTGGAACCCCTCTCCCCAACAACGTCGAGGCGCGCACTATCCTCTCTGAGAAGTTTGATGGATCTTCCACGTCGATCTCTTTCAAGCTCAATTATCCCGCACTTTCTCAATTTGTTGCCGTCGTACGTTCCGCATTTAGCTTGTTTGTTCTTTGGGTACGTCTATGAACTGAATTTACATCGTTGCAAAATTAGGTGAGCGATAGCACAGGCTTTGGTAGCGGCGGGACGAGCTCAGCGGCGATCGTAGCAACATCGGGTGATTCAAGCTGCTTCGATTCAACACAGAATGTTCAATCAAAATTCTTCTTTAATCTCGACCCTCTGAACCAGATTGTTCAGTGTACCCAGTCTCGAATCTGGTGGGATCCGAACACAGTACAGGGACAACCAACATTCTACGGTGTGATACCTGGTGGTAAATCGTTTAATATTACCGTGGGACAAACAACACCGAAAGACGGAGAGGGAGTAGGCTTTTTTTGGACGCCAAATGTCAAAGGAGGGACTACACTTATGCTCGGTGCTGGCGATAATAGGGGTCTTGGTGCTGGTGGAAGTGTCACCTATATTGTCTCGGCAGGGAATGGCAATACTGGATGTCTTGACTCCTCTGCACCCTCTTCAACAGCAGGAAGTCCTGCAGGCGGCAACTATCCAACGAGCACGTCTGAGGCCCAGAATGGTAATAGCTCGTCGAGTTCGAACGCGGGTCCAATCGCAGGTGGTGTTGTAGCAGCAGTGGTCGTCATTTGCGCCTTCATTCTGGTCCTCCTATTCCTGCGGCGGCGCAAACAGCGAGATGCATCTGCCAAGGAACGTCCCGATCTCTTCACAGATAACGAAAACCCAGTACACGATGGTGAAATTGCACATCTTGCTCCTCCAGAGCCATACATTGTGCCCTCAGAGCCACCACAATCAGAATGGGGAAGCAGCAGCCGTGCACCAGGTTCATCATATGGTTACGGAGTTGGCACGGGCGCGGCGAGGACGGGCGCAGCACAGCCGCTCTTTGACCACCGGATGTCTGGGTATAGCCTTAGCACGGGTACAGAGGGTGAGCATTTGCGGCCATCAACGCCGCAGACGGCGACTACGAGCGCGGGTACGAGCGCAGGCACGAGTCGTAAAGGTGCTGCGCCTCCTGTATTCCGTCCAGTGAATATTATCCAACACGAAGATGCTGGGACGACTGTTGATGGCGAGGACGACGCAGAAACGGTTGAACTCCCACCTGCATATACCAATATTCGACGGTAATCATTCAGCTAAGGGGATTTGAAAAGAAATTAATTTTCTTGCCTGGTGGGTATTTGATTTTAAACTTTTCCTAATTCCGCCCTTGTTGCTATAACATGCAAAATATCTCCCTTCCCTGTTCCGTCCAATGTTTGTCTTCCTACGCCTGGCTGTTAACGGACCTTTCATACATTAGACCCCGTCGCATGACCTGGGTTACATTACGCATTTTTCCCTATTTTCAACACTCAACTACATTCCAATTCGAGCAAACGTGTTTAAGTATATACCCACCCTTCTTACCCATCCTGTTGCCGTTCTCCTTAACTACCCCCTTTTTATTATTTCATTTGCAAAATGCATCTCAGTTCAAATTGGAATCTGGTTCATTCGTTTCGTTTCATTTCAAATTAGCTGTCTACTTGCTTTTCTTATTAAGTTTCTTTTTATCCTCTTTTTTCTTGTTATTAAATATTCGATTTCGCACTGTGTCTCCTCTTATATGAGTCTCAGGAGGCTTCGACGTTCCTTGTATCCTCCTTGCCAAATGCCAATCATACACCCAGTTTTTTCTTGTCACTTGCCCATTCGATAGCCATGGTGTTCTTTTTTTGTCGTAATAAATATTGCTCGACAAGGAAATTTTCAATATCTGCTTGCCTACCCTGTTCTTTTAGGCACCGAAGTTTTGTGCACAAACAAACAAGCAAATTACAAAATTTACTCCACCTTTCCAATTTAGTAGCAGAATTGCATTGATTTGATTTGATTGCATGATCTAATTTTCTTTAAGTATTTGCCTTTACAGATTGGATGTGCTAATGTTAACCACTACTCTGGAAGGTATAGAATGTACACAACACTTCCCACAAAATGTGTTTGAGTAATCAGCAAGTAATAATATTTTATTACAAATAAATTAAACAGTAAAAGTACTATAATTCTATAATTCTAGGTCTTCATCCAGTCTTAATCTTTAAGACCTCTATAATAGTGGTTTCTGTAACCTCTGAGGTTACACACATGACTTTAGTTAAGTATATAAAGGACTATTTGTAGACACTTAGAGATTATCTTTGTACTTGCTCCTGTACTTAGGTCAACCTCTCCAATCCCAGGTCTTTGCCTGTTCTGTGTTCTTGAGTAAGGCTCTGGCCTTTACACTTTTTTTTGAACATTGCAAAATTTAGGGATTACCTCTCATCTACTGCCTTTCACTTGTGCTACTGGATTGTCAGCCTCCCCCCAGCTTCCCCCTACACATCTACTATCTACTATACATCTACAGTACTCTACAGTAAGACTCTAGTTAATTACAAGCATTATGAATACTATACAGATATCCTGTTCTCTCTCAAGGGCTTATAGGGAGATTGTTACCACCTGCTGGCCAACCTTCAATCTCTCAACAGACCCTTATCAGAGGTCCTGGGCTTCTGGGAGAATGTACTATAAAGATTGTATATGGTTGTGCCAGAGTAGAGCACATTACACATCATTGTGAGTCTGGTCAGCTGTCTACAATTAAGGTTCTGCCACTCAAGAATATACTTTACTGTGCCACTTTAAGCAGATTATCTACAGACTTGCTCTTACTCATAACCTTTCTGCCACTTGTCACAATCTCAAGCTAGTGTCTAGAAACAAGCTGTGAAAGCCCCTACTATCCTATTCCTGAAATTGTTTAAGGAGAACACTATCTTGGTACTACTACTGAGATTAGAAGCTACTGTGTAATTACTCTATCAGAACACTGTCAAAAAACAAGCTATAGAAGGACCTACTATCCTAGTCCTGAAATTGTATAAGGAAGTACTATCTTAATACTACTACTAATATCTGGAACTGTAGTATAATTCTCTTCAGGAGCTATAGGTTCTATACTAACAGATACTATCTACTTTTAGTACAACAGATGTTACAATTGAGTTAGCAATTATAGTGTATTCATTGTATGCTTGTTTTACCTACTATAATGTGTATCTCTCTATTATTAAGGTGTTTGTTAAGACTGTCTATTCCTTACTATACTATCTCTTGCTCTGTTACTGTCTAGTGTCTACTGTCATTATCTACTGTCTACTAAGAGTATAAAGTCCCTTTCCCTTCCCTTTCTGTTTCCTAGAGTATAAAGCCCCTTTTCTAGTTGTAGACCTAGTCAGAGTACTAAGCTCCTGTTAGTGTCAATTCCAGTCCTAAACATATAAGGCCTCTGCTAGTGTCACCTCCTGTTTTCTAGAGTATAAAGTCCCTTTTCTAGTTGTAGACCTAGTCAGGGTACTAAGCCCCTACTAGTGTCAACTCTAGTCCCAGATGTTTAGAGCCTCTACTAGTGTCACCTCTAGTCCTAGACCTAGCTAGAGTATTAAGTCCCTACTAGTGTCATTCTTAGTTATAGACCTAGTTAGGGATTATACCTTACTAGTATTATCCAGTCCTTTCCTGTCCTGTCCTGTTCTGTCCTGTCCTGTCCTGTCCTGTCCTGTCCTGTCCTGTCCTGTCCTGTCCTGTCCTGTCCTGTCCTGTCCTGTCCTGTCCTATCCTATCCTGTCCTCCTTTGTCCTTTTAGTATAAACAGACCCTCTGTTACCTCTATATACTCTGTTTTACTTACACACTACTTGTACTCTTATTACTCCTAGAATTAGTACATTAATTTTGTCAACCTAGTCCTTCTACTCCTCCTAGTACTAATGTATGTCTAAGGATGACTGTTCACTTCTCAACCATGTGTTTTGATCAACATCTTAGTTGTCCTCTAAGTAACAAGTACTAGTATAACTAAAGAGTTGTTGAGTTCTCTTTATTATACACTCTAACTTTCATACTCCTTTTTACTCATACTACCAAATGTTAGTAACAGTATAGAGGGGACCTAAAGGCTTAGTAAGGGGACCTAGGCTACAACTATCCTACACAACAGAAATACAGAATGTAAGTACTAGAACATAGTCAGAACTTGTAGAGTAGGCAGAGAGAGAGTGTGAGACAAGAGTAGAGTATATAGAGTAAGTCTAAGAGTATAGGACTATCTAGAGTAGACAAGATCAAGACTACAGGACCAGTCTGATCTTGTACACTTATATATACTAAACTACACAAGAGCACTTAGAGAGTATGAGTCACTTAAGAATGATAAGCTACAAAGAATGAAAGAAAGGAATGTCAAAGATAAAGGTACAAAGAATGAAAGGATAGACAAAGGGTAAGAGACTATAGAATAAACAAAGAATGAAGGGGTAGTTAAAGGAATAGAATAATAAAGTAAGGAAGGGTAGTAACAAGAGTCAGTATGTATATAGTTTATAGATAGTACTCTTAAGAGACAGAAGTCCTGAGTTCTAGTACAGAAGAGTACAGAACCCTTAGAACTGAAGGTACAAGAGTAGAGAACTGTAACATCACCCTCCTCTCTAAAACCAATTGTCCTAATTGGTAAACATTAGGCTTGGTTAGTAGCTTAAGTATAGGTTAGAATAGTAGGGTTTAGAAATCTGTAAGACAGAGTTGATACAGAGTACTCAGATAAAGTTAATAGAAGTCTTGGATTGTTTTAGTAGTATGGGTGAGATTCTCAGTAGGTTCCTAAGTGTGTTCTTTAACTAGGTATCCCTTCTAGTAGATAAGGAACTTGAGCTTTCTGTGTACTAGCTTAGTATCTACTACATACTCTACTTTGTATTCCAGTTTAGAACTAATGAGTTCTAGTAGAGGTAGTAGGAGTCTTTATTACAAAGGAAAACTTAGATTGTAGTACTAAGACAGTAGAACCTTGTTAAACACTGAGTGTATACACTTTCATGTTGCTAGAAGTTAGAGTTTGTAGGTAGAGGTACTAATCTTCTTTTTAATAACAAAGGGTCTAAAGTACTTGTTGTCCAACTTCTTTATTAAGTAATTCATAGTCAGGTTAGTAGCTTCTAGTATAACTTTGTCACTAGACTAGTAATCCTTGACTGTAAACCTCTTCTAATTATAGTTCTACTTTATAACCTATACTACCTTTTCTAAAAGAGCTTGTGTGTCCTCCCTGGTTCTGTGTATCTGTTCTACAAAGTCTGTTACAGATTCAGAACTGTTGTTCTGGTTCAGAACTGTCCCTTAGTACAAATGTCTCTTATGATTAAGGAAGAACAGGGACTGTCCTGTTATAGAGTGTTACTAGTTATTGTGTACAAATTCTGTCAGAGCTAACTATTCAGACTAATCTGATTACTAATGATTAATAAACATTTAGAGGTAGAGCTTGATCTCCTGATTGACTCACTCAGTTTGACTGTCAGTCTATAAGTAATAGACAGTAGAAGGGTTCTCTTAAATTCTGAGAAGTATATACAAGTCCTGTATGAATTTTGACTTGAATTATAGTCTACAATCATGAATGAGCTTCTAAGGGAGTCTGTACAACTAGAAGATGTGATCCTAATAAATGTACACTATACCTTCAGAAGTGAGTTCTGTTCAGGTTGAAACTGTATAGACTTACTTAGAGAATCAGTTAATAATTACACAGATAGTGTTGTAACCCTGAGACTCAGGTAGCTTACTAATCAGGTCTACTAAGACTTCTTCCTAAGAGTGATCTAGAATCTAATACAGATGTAGAGGAGTCCAAACCCTTGTTTGGTAGGCCTTAGTCTGTTAGTACATATTATAACTAGTTATATACTTTAGAATTTCCCTCTACATTCTAGACTACTAGTAGTTCTAAGTAATAAGTTCCTACATTTTGTGTTAGCCTAAATGTTCTACAGTCAGATTGTTGTAATAAGCTTGGACAATGTCCTCTCACAGCTTCTGATCCTTCAGAATGTACAGTCAGTCTTCCTAGTAAACCTATCCATCCTTATCCTTCTCCTAATCCTTAGCCTACTTCTCTAGCTACTTTACTACAACCTAGTCCTGTATGTGTCTCAGAGCTTACTGTATGTGAGTAATAAAGTTGACATTCTTGGATTCAAGTCAGATCTCTTAGATTGTCTCAGACACAAAACAGGAATTGTCTAGGAGAACAAGATTTTTGTTATTATTCTCCCCCCTTTTATAACTTACTTATTTTAAGAGTAAATCAGTTTTCATTATTTGTGTTCTAGGTTTGTAGGTTAGTATAAAGTCATAGTTCTATAGTTCTAACATCTAGCAGGCTTAGTAGTAGTTGAGCTTCTGAGGTGTCTAGAAGTACTAGAGATTAAGATGATTACTCTAAATCTTAAACTTCTGTACAGTACTAAGGAGATATTAATACTACTCCTCTAAGGAACAGACAATTGTAAGGAGTTCCTTATTATAGATAGGGTAGTTCTATTCTATTGTAGAGAGGGATTCTGATTAGA